GGGGGGGGGGGGGGGCGATTTTTTTTGTACTCTTTGAGATTTGCAGGAAATAAGGGATTATTTTGATTTTATGCAAAAAAATGCATCGCGCACATGCAAGTGTGCACTCGGTGGGCGCATGTGGGATATTATCGCAAAATGCACGACATGGGGGTGGTTCACCTTACAGGTCACGTAAGTGTCTCACGTAAAATCGGATAAGCCTTGGTTATCTTCGAGGTTCGAGAAAAATTGTCAAGGGATGAAAAGTAGGATATCTAGATTTTTGAAAATTTCCTCATTTTCTCTTTTCTTCGACTCATCTTATTTTTCTTCGTTATTTTTCTTACGCCCCGAGTACACCCTTTCGCGCACTATACTACGGCCAACTTCAAGGCTTCTGGAACTATGTATTTACAGTAGCGTGAAGTCATGATTTATCGATGGAGCAAAACTATCCACCCGCAGTCCCACTTTTATACTTTTCTGTACGTTGACTCGCGATGTCGCTGCAACTTTCCTTGGCATCCTTCCAGGGCCACTTTCAGGCTGGATGAGTGGGTGGGTCGAGTGGTCGGGTCAGAGGGCACGATTCGGTAATCATGAACTATCGGGGTCAGTGCACCCCGGCGCTTCTGCGCTCCGTTCGCACCGCCGAAAGTTCCATATGACTTTCGAATGCATATGTAGAAAATTATGAATTTTCATTTTTTTATTTTTTTTTCGTACTATTTGACCAAAAATTATTTTTGGAATTTACGAAAAAATATATTCCTACTTGTACACTTTTTCGACCATTCCATCCAGTTGGAGGGTGGTTTGGCACAAGGTACGAAGATGCACTGGTTAACCGGGTCACTGCGGGTCGAAGGACCCTGGCGGTTCATTTAACGTCGGGTCGTTAATCGGGTCACATTGGTACAAAGAACGTTCCCCTAGTGTTGTATAAGGTAGAGGTGTGAATTTCGAAAGAAAAAATTATATTAAACACATAACCCTTATGGGGTTTCAAGTATCGAGTCTCCTCGAAGCTCTTTTCACTTTTATTCCGATATTGTATGAAAATAGGGGATGAAGGTGCAGGAAGATTCAGCCTGTTTTTTTTTTGTCTCAAAGTGGGTTACCACAGAACTCAGGCTGATCACGTAATGCAAAATATTCTAAGGGACGTCTTCTGTATCCGGGTTAACCTGATCTTTAGGGGTTACGGATATTTATAAGGAGTAGGAAATAAGATAACCTTATTTTAACATAAGAAGAGATTCCCCCTTTGAATTTTAGGCCGTTCGATAACACGTCCTCGCGCATTTACGGGGGTGAATGGATGACGCTTCATTCAAAGAAATTCACCCTCTGTGTGTATCCGTGCGTTCGCAGACGTTATCACGTTTCATAATGTATCCGAAGAATATATTTATAATTTATTATAACGGAGTTACTGCGAATCTACCATCCGGTTAAGATCCCGCAAGAAGATTGTCGGACACTTTTTCGGATGAAAAAAATTTATAAACAAATTTCGTAAGATGCTGAGATAAAAAATCTTTCGAATCAACCGTTCACGCTTCTTATCTCTTTCTATTCACTTTGACTTTACTTACCTTAACGATTTTATCCGGGAGTCGGATGAACGTCACTAGATCCTCGGATAGGGGTGATTTCAAAGAATTTCGAAATCGCACATCGGAATTCTCCTAAGAGTGACTTGCTACTCGCGCTCGGAGCTCCGTTTTAACAGGGTGGTGGTCCTGCGAATACTGAGCCTCGCGGGCTTCGTTCTGCTGGTCGATAAACCACCCTCCCCAGTCGCCCACCTTACTAGACATAAAGGTGTCCTGACACCTAACGAGTCATCCACGCGAAACCAGGAACAAAAACGCTACCCTTAACTGGAATCACGAAAATTTGGACATTCCAGCATATCGAATTCAATGTTTTCTTCTGTCATTTCATTAGGGCGTGATTGGAATAATTTTGTAAAAAATTTTTAAATATTCACCCTACCGTTTAAAAGTATCTTCCTTATCGATCGGTACAAACGATTTCTACTTTACCATCGCGGGAGGGCAATACTGAATGAACCGGAGCTTCCTTAACCCACCGTAACAGTGCTTATAGATACTGGTCTAAAAATAACCACCAATGAAAACGCACGTCTAAATTCCACGCCCACGGATATATACGTGGCGGGAAATTCAAAAATACAATTTCCTTTTTCAAGTACCACGGTCCGTAGATCAATTGATTAGAGAGTCTAATAAAGAAATAATGAAGATCGATCTTTCATATATATGTTAGTGAAAACGTTTTATTAAACTCTGAAAGTTACAATAGTGGTAGAGTTTCACGGTAGAATCACATAGAATGATTATAATAATTTTCATTCGCATACCTAACGACTTTTCTCATAGTTTCCCTCGTTCGACCTAAATTTCGCTTCCCCGCCTCATCACGCATCCTCGCTTCGCATACCTGCTATAAATATAGAGTTAATTAACTTAAGTAAGTTAAGGTAAAGACAGACGATCGCATCTAATCTCAAAAAAAGGATTTTGCGTATTCAAACAGTGGCAGAAAAAAAATTTATCAAAATATTACGACGTAACAAAAATTCATCAAAATTCACCGTCTTGATATTCGTTCGTTCAAATCTCCCGCGAAAATTATCTCCTTTCCCTTCCCCACTGAAAGCCATACACTCCACTCCTGCTACTCGCTCGCCCCTCTTCCTGCATTAATTCTACACTGTACCACGACTTTCCTAACCTACAAATCTACAGTGTACTTCGCACTACACAATTTTTCTCTACACTCTTACAATACAAGCAGCCAGGAAGATAAGAACATGAAGATCCAGACAAGTAGTGAAGGACAAAGATAAACGGAAGCAATAGTTTATATTGAAAAAAAAAAAAAAAAAAAAAAAAAAAAAAAAAAAAAAAAAAAAAAAAAAAAAAAAAAAAAAAAAATTTCACAATATCCACAAACGCCACATTCTCAATACGTTCTCCAAAAATCCCCATCACATCCCGCGTGTTAAAATTTCTCTTTCACCCTAACCCACTTTCCGGTATCTCGCATATTTTCTTTTTTTTTCTTTCCTCCCTCAAGTCCAATCATCAGAGCCACGAAAATCTCTTCCACTCATTAAAAAAATAATACCCTTTAGGACGCAAGAGGATCACAAAAATCTTTCCTATCCACAATCCTCGCAGCTAAGCATATCTCGTCCATAGCCTGTATATATATATATATATATATATAGCCCCCTATTACGTCATAATTTCCACATATGTATTTTCCATGTGCAAAAACATACCACGTGTATCTTTCTTAAAAATCATCACATTCAATGCCATTCCTCATATTAATTATTTATGCTCGCATGCCACGTTATAAGTATATGCAAAGTATGTAGATACTTTATATATATAATCGTTAACACTGCTTATAAAAGTCATCGTTTGCACATAATATCAATGTAGATAAAAGATGTATTCACAGATAGCTTCCGGTAGTTCGCAGTAAGGTTTTTGGAAATTTTTTTTTCAACCCCATAACCCCCCTCGCCCACCCCAACCCTCTGTAGCACATAACAAGTGTACACCTATAGATACATATATTGTATAACGCGTGTATGCTCGCACGTATGTTACAAGGGGAACAAGTAAAAAAGAGGTAATTTTTTTTTTTCAATTCGTTAAAAAAATATCGCAGATTAATTGCACATGTAAGTCATGTGTGTATATGTCAAACTATAAATGCATACGTAAATTCGTAAAAGCTCGCGCGTACACGTGTCTGTGTCAGTGTAGGATAACGTTTATGCGTTTTTAAGCGTGAGAACTTTTTTTTTATAATTATAATATAGGTACAGCAGTCGATTTTTTTTTTTTTTTCCCGAAAGATTCGCCTCGAAATTTCAAATTTATGTAAATCTTACGTTACCGTTAAGAGGGTTAATACGTTTCTCTTAGAGCGCACAGAGGTCACGTGTGAACCGGGCTTTCGAATTCGGCATTTTCATTGCCGATCGTCGATCGAGGAAGCTTGCGAATAATGAAAAAAAAAAAAAAAAAAAATCTTTTTCATATTATCTCAACAACATTATCATCCCCCCATACGGCCTGTTTACGCTTACTATATGTCTACTTTTTTTTTTTTATTTTTGCCAAATTTTATCTTGCTCTCTCAGCCACGCACGTGGTCATTTATTTCTCGAAATAAGTAAACGTCATTTTGATCGTATACGCACGGACGCGTACGGTTCGTTCAAGGCCTGGCAGTATACGCATACACGCGTGTAAAAAAGCCTATTTTTGGGTTGGCCGGTAAGGGGATGAAATTTTGTTTACTTTTTCTAATGTCATTCGAAGACGCATTTTTTTTTCTTGCAATAGCGCATTCAAATATTCACACGTTTTCATATGTCGTCATATATTCACCCCCCTCCTCCTCTATCCCCCCCCCTGTTAATAATTAATATCAATAGACACCTTTACGCTATCAAAGATAATTTTGTAGATTACAATCTTCCATTCCGCAGATCACTTGTAGATTACAATCTCTTATCCGTACACTTGTGCGTGGACGAAACGCTTACAGAATCTTTTGGATTTTTATTTTTTAACATCTTTCTGTTTCTTAATACTTTTTATACTATTCCTTACAATCTTTCTGTTATTTATACTATTCGCTCTTACGTGCGTATATATCTATATATACACACACGTTGACGCTTAATAAATTTAAGTGGACCCCAAACGGTTTTATTTTCTTTTTTTTTCCATTTTTTTTTTTTTTCGTTTTTCCAGTTTCACTTCAGGTTAATTTTATTCTCCCTCTTAATGCACCTGCCCAATATTTTTTTTTTTCTCGAGCGAATTTCGCATACGCAATTTTACACGTAACCCATGCACTATAGGTATAGTTTATCAGTTGTGCACATAGAGTCTATATAACGATGCTTTTATATTGACATTATGGACACTACTGGGAACACTATACCTAATACGTATGTTACAGATAATATTGTGCTTGCTGATAATTTTCTATCTTACACAAGACGCTTCCCGTATAGGCAAGCGCTAAAATATTATTATTATATTCACTGTTAAATTTTTGTGACGTTACTTATCGTTTATTACTTTTAAAATTAAATAGATATATATATGTAAATACTTCAGTGTAAATAGATCGCTCAAGTAGTATATATATATAATGCTTTTGTATAGGTATATTATTAATAGTATTATTATGTATAGGTAGGTGAGGCAAATACACATACGATAATAGATATATATATATATGTATAAGTCAATATTACGTACCCAGTTGGTACCGAAGAGATTTTGAAAAAGTAACGCTTGTTATTTTTGAATTCGTAGTAACGACAATAATGTAAGTCATAATTACACGCGTTATTCGAGTGAAAATGTTAGACGTATATTTTCAATTCTTTTTTTTTTGTTCAAGTCTTTGAGTTCTGTTTCTTCTCCCGTTTTTTTAATTTTTTCGTTTTTTTTTTTTTTCCTATTCTCATTTAATATATATGTATATTTGCACGTGTTTGCGAGCGATCTAAAGTAACCAGGATCAATGCAAGGCTTTAAATGAATATGCGTATTGGGGTTATACGTGGAGTAACAATTTTGACTTGTCTGTTCTTTTCCTCTGATTTTTGAAATTATTTGTTTTACAAAAAAAATTAAGTATAGAAATTCGTTTCTACTTTTAGAATCCCTCGCGAATAAATTGGCACGAAAAATCACACGCGACGCGTACAGCCTCTTTCATAAATGGATGATACATGTATAATATGTTACAGTATGTACTTTGACAGATATTTTTGCTCGACGCGCAAAGGTATCCTTTGATTCGTAGTACAATCGTTCTGTCCTCGTCGCTCCAATTACGATTCCATTGACATTTGCACAGTATAAAAAAAACAAAGAAATTCTTCCAAGACGCGTGCGCGAAAGACATTTTTGACAATATTAATATTAATTTTTTTCAAAATTTCTTAGAGTTCGAATCATTAAACGAATCAATTTAACAGTATAGAACCGCAAAGCAGTCCCATATTGCAATTCGAGAAAGAAAGCTAACTATTTGTTGTCATTATAATAATAATAATAATAATAATAATATCATCTTCATCCCGCCAATCATCCTTCATCTCGATTAATTAAAATAAAAAGAGTTTATCAAGAGAGAGATCGAAAATAAAATGAAGAATAATTGATGGGATAAAAGCGAGAGACAGTATATATATAGTATGTTTACTTATGTATAGCTATATGTATATATAGAAAGTTATAAAAGATAAAAGGATCAAGTACAATTTACATGCACATTGAGAAAGCATATTATATGGGCAAGTGCCCTGGCTTACTCTTTCCCAAAGTGCTTCGAGAATTGGAAAACTTTTTATAAGAATTTTATTCCCTTTGAAATTCAAATTTCCCGCTCAACTTTCATCGCCTACATAATTACGCTCGCACATCCGATATCCTTGTTTCGGCATTTTTGTCCGTTTCAGAGGTTATGTAATTCCTTACGACGACACACGATCTAGCACGACAGCTGCAGCATGCGATTGGAAGAGAAAAAGAAAAACGTATTTCCTCCTACTCTACCGCACAATCATTTATCACGTGTCTATCAGCACCGTGTGCGGTAGAAAGATGAATTGTCTTGTTTCTTTCTTTTTTTTTATGCATTTGCTGTTGCTGCTGCTGCTGCTTAGATAAAGCGTTTTGTTAGGCCTCGACCGATTGATGGGAACCCTGAGAACTGCGCTTCTTCTTTTGATTATCATGATGATGATGATGATGATGATGATGATGGTACACGGTATGCATCAAGGCATCGGCTTCCGGTTGATTCGCATGTCCCGCCAACAAATCCAAAGCCCCTCTCGGTACGTTTTCCGGATCCGCCGCTGGAACTGGTGTCGCCACTGGTGACTCAGCTGGAAGTGGCATGCAGTGTAGCACGTAGCATCTCACGGCAGCCAAAACGATGCCTGAAAGACAATTTCAAGGTGAAAATTCATACAAATAAGCGGACTATATACACTTTGATACTCCTGACATAGATACATTATCGTTATATTTATATATATGCCTTTTTCAAGGCGCAATCTCGATTGGAAATATTTATCCGATTTATTTCTAGTTACTTTCGTTCCTGTCGCGACAATTGCTGCTATAGGAAACTCGTAAGATCAAAGACTCGCAAGTTATTCGTTTCGTACCGAGATACCTTGACATTGTACAAAGATTAGTCCAATGAAATTTCAGCTATCGCTGTCTCTCTTACTCTCGCGTGAGCGCCCGTATACTCTATCTCTCTCGCACTACCGCGAAACACTTTTTTTTCATTCTCGCCAATAGCATCGGATAACGTAACGTATGACTAAAAAATGTTTTGTCTCGTGACGTGTAACAATTTAATGACACGTAATATGTATTACCTATGACTATTAAAGTAGTGCCAGCTATAAGAAGGGCCAGTCTGTGATCCGTGGTCGTGGCGCCAGGTGCCAGCTGTACCAGTCCCACCACCAGGACAACCGCTCCAAGCAGAAGACATACAACAACCGCGTGAAGTCCTGATATCTAAACAACCATGAATAAGGTAAATAGCAGCGGATACAGTTAATTCATGCTTTCTAATAGACTTTAAGGCGCGCCTACCTTGCCGCAGAAATATAATTCAGGCAATGGTTCCAGGTGGCTATTGTGACCATGCGGACTGGGAGTCGGAGGTGAACCTTGTGGTGGTGGCATCCATTGACCTCCAAGATAAAGCTGACTGGGTCGCTTCAGACGTTTCTCTTGTCTTCTACGCTCGTGGCGTACAGCCACAGCTGGCATCGCGCCTATCATCCTGAAGAATATACATGAGAATTTTTATCAACAAAATCAGACATGAAGAATAATTTGATAATTTCACATGGCGTCGCGCCCTGTACTTTGGATTAAAATTTTTTTAGATTTTTCATTAAAGATATTACTGATACCAGTAACACTTTTTCTTTCCTAGTTGCATCCCACAGCATAATCTACGTAGACTACGTGAAATGCCATTGGAATTATATTCTCCCTCTTTCTAATTCGCACAATAGAAATTGGTTCTGTTTTTGTTTTTATGGAATAAAAACTAGCCCTACGACCAATGAGTGCGAGGGTGGGAGAGAGCAAAAAGCCTATTCAACCCAGTCCTAGTGCACGATGCACCGGGTTGTTTCCTGGAGCGCAACACGCTATGAACTTTGATGACCCCGCGTGACCCCGCTCGGTCGATACGTCACTATGTTCCAGACCCAACTATCACCCGCCTACCTCTACAGCCTCGTCGAGCTCTCGAACGACTTTCCAGGCTACCAACGTACAAGCCCGGCCAGTACCATGTAATTGTTTTAGGGGGTTGCGCATCCTTAAAAATCATCAGGTATTTTTGATACAAATGTGGACGCGTATATTAATATATGCTCGCTGTAGCGTTAATGTATATATATATATATATATATATATATATATATATATATATACACACGTGTATGCTATATCAAGCTATTCGATCTACGCAAAAGCGTGTATATAGGTGATATATAGTACATAAATATTACATACGAATACATATGATGGTACACAGTAGGTCATTTTGAGATCGGAATCATTATCCACGAATTGAAGGGTGTGGTTCGTTCAGGATAAGAATACACAGTGGACTTAGGTTAAGCTAATAATCATTAATCCTAAATTAATGGATCGGAGGGTTGATCCAGCAATTATTGCTACGGCAATTACCTGCGGTTTTAGGAAATTTATAGGCTGACTTTTTCTTTGTTATTTTGAAAACGTGGCTTGATAAACGTCCAAGTTTTGAGCTACAGGTATCTTATGTGTACCGAAGTGCACGTAGTATACATATAATGTTGGCACGGGTTGATATGAGGGTAGGCGTGAAAATTGATAATGCAATAAATACAAAGATTAAAAAAGGAATACAGCGTTTCATAAAGTTTTATTCTCGAAAAGTCGTGCGTCAAATGTATATAAGTGGTACAATATATATATATATATGTATATACATATATTTATATAATATATTGGAGAAACGGCATAAGAAAGCTTATCGAGTACTTTTCATTTCTATTTTTTTTCCTTTTTTTTTTATGTCTGTGCTCATTTTACGTTCGTAACTCGTAATGCGGTAATAATAATAGATAATTATTAATAAACACGAACAATAGTTTAAAAATGAATCTGCCTTCTTTTAGTGTTACTGTCGTATATTTTTTTGTCGAAAAAAATGAAATTCTGGATCGTTCAAGAATATTTGTTTTGGACTTGTATTTTTTTTTATAGTTACAATAAGATAGCATGTGCACAACGACGAAATAGAAATCTGATGAAAAATAGAAATTTGAAAAAAAAGTACAATATTTCGCTTGCGTATTACCTACTTATGGAATGTCAATGTCGTTTCTTTCGTCTTAATATTAATTTTATTTTCTGTGAATATTCTCTTAAGAGATTTACAGACCAAAGGCAGCAGGCAGCGACCAATGGGGACACAGGATCGGGCTGTGACGTCATGCATCGGGCCTAAAGCGTCTTTACCATTGGTCGCTGCTCGCTGTTCACTGGAATTGGCCTGAACGAGCCCTTAGAGTTCCGGCAGTCCGAAATCATTCGTTCTTACGGAATGTATGCTTTTAAACGTAGAAAGTCATCTTGTTGTCATTCTCGTATTTAAAATTGTCATTTTAATTCTAACTCCTGCCCAAATTTCTTTTCGGTTCGTGTAAATAGATGTTTTGTCTTTGTCAGCTGTATGGTATGCACGTATATATGTACACGGTACGTTAAATCGACGACTGCGCATCGAGCAAGCGCATGGTCTCCCAAGGGCGGGAAAATCAAATGGAAGTTTCGTAAATAGGTGACCACCAGGTGGATTTTTGAAGCGTTTCATTTTTTTTTTTTGATTTTTTAAAGATATTTCTTAATAGCGACACACGCATACACACAGACACTCGTAGACGATTTATTCAATCCTGCATCTTTAATTCTCACGATTATCTCATTTTTATTATCACTTATTTTAATGCGGCTTCTTTTTCTCGCGATTCGAGCTATCGAAGCTTTTCTCTAATCGCGTTTAAAATTTACATCGAGCTTCCCTCGACATTTTCTCGTTTATTACGTCCTACTCTCAAATTCACTAATTTTACCATTTTCTTTTTTCTTTATCTTGCGACTGTATTCGGTTTATTGATTTCAGTGTATACATAAGTAAAAGTAAGGGTGACTTATTATTTTTCGTGAACAATTTCGTTTCAATGTAAATTGTGAATTACGTATAACGTACGGAAATTTATTACAGCAAACGACGGTTAATCGTCGTGTCGAAGGAACCTGTAATTATAGAAAATAGGTGAAAAACTAAACTAAAATTATAAGGCAATTTTATGTGCAATTATTTTGACCAAAAAAAAAATGAAAAATCGAGTCTTCCGGTATATAGGGGCAAACAAATTTGCCGCGAGGCACGACCGTGTGTCGTCACGCAATTATTTTTTATAAATTCGATTCCGCAAATTCAAATTACGCGCCTTATCCAAACAGAAAGTACCGAACGTCCAAGCGTACGTAAGTTACGTATTTCAAATTGAATGACGATTTAGTGAATTCTTCAAAATTTCCAGTGCGAAGGTTTTTTTTTTTTACGTTATCCAAAGTATAAAATTTTTTTACGTCTTTCACGCGATCGTGCATAAGAAGGCACTTTGTCGCGCAATGGAAATACGGTCGTAACGTAAAATCGGGAAAAGATGTTAATAATTTTTATTTTCTTATTAATCGTTCACGAACATATTCACATGCAATAATGGTACCTGGCTGATAGTTTCCATTAATGCAAATTTTCTTTGTCACTTCCTCACCTCTTTTCTTTATGCAATTAATTATTAGTTCCCAGATCCGTCTCATCTTCCCCGGTCCCGAATCCCCCCTTATTCGTAATGGCATTCGCGGAAAATGTCGATCGATCCTCAATATTACGCGTGCTCGTCATTATTTCGCTTTAATAATTTTACGAATATTAAAAAGTCACATTTCATACAGAATAAAGATATTTCAGCAGTTTCACATCACTGGTTCAATAATCATTCTTTCGGATCGATGTAAATCGATCGATCGATCGATCGACCAATCAGTCAATCATCATTTGGATCACAGAATGGTAGCGCCCGAGCGTGGCAATTTTTATCTCAATTACAATCTAGAGGTATTTTCGAAAAAGTACTAGGTCACTTTTCCACCTCGGCTGATTGACAATAAAAAATCTTTGTGCTATATCAGTTAAACGCCAAATCGCAAAAGCGGCGAACCTCCCGTGATATGTAAGCGTAATGCTAGTGATTTTTTTTTAGAAAAAAAACTCACTCATTTTCTACAATCTTTCCATCCCCCATCGAGCGACCCGGTCGTCTTCGAAAATTCCGAAACTAATATCTAAAGCTAGGCGCTAATGATAGTTTACGTAAGATAAGTACAAGAGGTATTATAAAATTTAAATATCGTATATGTATATGTATAAATAGGTCCACGGGATACTTTGGGAACCCGAAGCATTAGAGGGTCAAAATTGCAAGATAATGTTTTTTTTAAAAAAAAAAAAAACTAAAACCTTGCGGTGCGACAGCATTGGAATTCTATGCTAAACTAACCTAACCTAACCTAAAAATATAAACAATTTTATTAACAATAAAAAAAATATAAACAAATTCGGTGTTAGAGTCACCTTTATGGTCCTCGAAACAGTCATTACGCTGGAAAAACTTTGAGGTCGGACCCCAAAATATGACCTCGAATAAGCGTGTTCGTAAAAGAAATCGTCTTCAAAGTATGCCATTACCAAATTTATATATATATATATATATATATGTATTAATTTTAGCACACATATTATATATGTGCATCAAAATTAATGACTACCTTGCTATCATTAATCGACAATTGAAGATGGCTGATCGATAAGTTATCTACAAGATCAAAGTTACAAAAAAATGTTCTCTTGCCTTTTTCCGTACTCACGCATTAAATACTCACGTAAGATATTATAATCGTATGCTTGAAAATTTCTAAAAGCAAAACATCTCAAAGCCTTTTTTTAAATCAATTATCGTTATAAATATTTTTCTCGGTACCCCAATTCCATTAAAGACATTTGTTGCTTCTTTGATCCTGCAGCTTCTTATCCCAGACAGGATATAGCGAGAGTGTACACGGTACGGTATTTGGCAACGCATACGACCATTCCTCACACACATAGTTACGTATGCTAATCGATCATTAAGATATACAAATAGTTAAGAACATCCTAATTGATAGCTTAGGATTGATAATTTGCAAAAATCCGAGTCATTAATACGTATATCTATATTTACGTACGTGTACGTATAATCATCGAATTGCCACATTTATTTCACCGATTATTTTTCCCCCCCTCTTAATTCACATAGATCAATCAACTACACCGACTTATCATTGGTCCTTGTAATTCCATCGATAAAATTGCACGTGTCATTTAGTTGCAGGACGAAGTCATTATCGGTTTGCCCTTAACGTGATAATTATATATACGCGATAAAATGACGTTACAGCAATGGAATGATTATTATTATTATTATTTTTATAATTCGTCAAATACAGCCTGGCGACTTTCCAATTACCCAATTAATATCCTTAAAGGCTATCAGCAATTATTTACTCCGCGGATAAGTTAATTATACCGAGTATTAATTACGCGCTTAATTAATTAATTAGAAGGACATTTTTCTTTGCTCGTCTCCAAGATTATCCCTTAAAATAATGATTTTAACGTGAGGATATCACCGGACGATAGCAAATGAAGGACGTAGTGGTAATAGTAACGGTAGTAGCAGTAATATTCGTAATAATAATAATAATATTGCCCCACAGTGGCTAATACCAATTAGAAAAGAGATCCCAATTAATAGGAATGTCAAAGGTCATCGATCATTATCGTATCCATAGAGGCTGCCATGACTTGATAATTTCAATAAAATGAGCTGATAATACCGTAGCACGAGATCAGGTCCGAATTCACTAGATTCATCTACGTCATCAATCCATAAGCAAGACTCCCGTAAGTGAAAGTTGATCCAGCGATCGAATTAGATCGGTTATTAAAATGAGGGCAAAACGTGAGCGCATCCGATGAAATAAGAAGCTCATCTCGACAATCACAAGTGTGCCATATCACTTTCGTATAATTGTAATAATAATGCAGCCCGAGAATAAATCACGAGGCATAAATCAAATCCATAAACGACCGGACACCCGAGCCCAGATCCTAGATCCTTGAGACGTGAACGAATACGGATCTGTGCTGCTGGGCCTGATGGGGCTGATGATGATTCCCATTCTGCTTGTAAAAGCTATTCGGATCGGCTTGGATGAGTTCCCTGGTCTCACTGGGTGAGCCAGGGCTGAGACTGTCCGTGGTGGAGGTCTCCATGCGTTCGCAGGCGATCTCCTCCTCGGTGATCTGCTCGAGGAAGAGGGCTGGTGGCGCCAGCTGGGGGTCGGCGCCGGCCGAGGAGTCTGCGTCGGGTAGGGAATAAGCCGGCGGCGGGGAACGTGGGAGCGACCCGTCGAGACTCTTTTCATCCTGGCCGGTCAAGGATGCCGAGGACGCAGCCTGCTGAAGTTGCTTGGCCCTCCTGGCGTGTCTGGTGGTAAGACATCCGGTCTCCACGTCGCGCTCTAAGCGATGACCCGACCTGGACCTCGTCAGCTGACGCTGAACGTACTCCTCGAGGTCTGTTTCCTCCTTGCGGGCGATGATCTTGTTCAGGACTATCAGGAAGACCCCGACCAGGATGGCGAAGAGTCCCGTAGCTATGAGCTCGTTCCACCAGCCCCCGGAAGCCTTGGTACCGAAGGAGGCCAGGTCACCCGGAAGCAATCCACTGGCCAATAGGAAGGCACCCAGCACCAGGAAGACGACGCCGATGTGGAGCATCCCGATCGACGTGACCACCTTCGAGTCCAGCATGCCCTCGCCGGCCGCGTGGTGCGGATGCGCCGCATGGTGATGACGCGGATGGTGATCCAAGGAACCCGTAGACGCCCTCGGCGACGTCAAGCCGCTCTCGCAGGACTGGGTGCTGAAACGACGCTCGCGCGCGCGACGCTGCTCGTCCCGACGCTTTCTTTGACGCTTGATAGCCAGCGCCGAGTGCAATCCAACCGCGTGCATCCTGCAACACCCGAAAAACACCTTCTCACTGATTCTGACTATATCTTTCGGTTTTTGGTTTTTTTTGGTTTTTTTTTTTTTTTTTTAAGAATGATCTTGCGTCATCATTTTCTTTTTAGAAAATTCTTTTCTACGTTAAAAACAGAATTTTCTCTCAGCTTCGAAAAAATTACATTTCGAACTCTTCGCTCTAAGGACGGTCTCATGTCTTTTTTTTTTTTCAGGACAATAACTGTTTTTTTCAAATTCTTTTCCACGCGCAACTTTGACACGTGTATTTCGGAGTCACAGGATGCACCGTTGCCACGAGAAACTTTTAACTTCGTCGAAGCTCAATCCATTTCAGCGAATGGACCATACCTGGATCTTCGTCCTTGACCGCTCGAGTCTTCGTCATCCGGATTGCTCGAATTCGAAAGATCAACCTGGTCCAGGTTGTATCTGTCATATTTAACCGTACTTCTATTTACCTGTGCTAGTCGTTAGGGTGGATAAAGAAAATTTATAAAAAAATAACGTGGACCAAAAACTCGAAGGGATTAACGTGATGGATTACGTAACAGTAGGCAAGGAAGAGGTAGAAGCGACGCCGACGCTTAGCGTCTTTGCCGACGAACTTTCTTCCAGCTTCCCGTAAGATACGCCGGTAGCTAGTTACCTACTCCTCTCGTCAGTCTCCTAACAAAAAGCTCCATTGTGCTGGAAATTTCCTTTTTCTCAGTCTTATTACCTCACGTAGGGGTCAGCGAGCTTTCGACACTAAAACTATATATGCCAATATACATACGTGTACAGAATTAGAGACACGTATAGTGGAAAAAATGAAGAATTCATTTTTTTTTTCCGAGTACTTTGAAAATTTTCTCTTTGACTTCCAACTCTTTTAAAAAACTTTTTTTTTCATACTCACCAACCTTTTGCCTTACGTTCCTTCTCTTTGCGTTACTCACTTTTTCCCTTTATAACCGCCTCGCATTGTGTGCTTTTACTTGTAGGCCACCGAGCTTTCACAAGCTTGACAGACTTTTCCAAGGACACTCATGAGTTCAAATCGCAAGAAGGCTCTTTAAAATTGCAAAAAAGCTCGGTAGGTAATTTTACAAAAAAAATATATGTATGCATCCTCAAGCTATACTAAAAACTGCTGTATACGCCCGAGGGTGCAATAAAGCTACCCTTAAAAATAGTAAATCCACCAGAAAGAATTCCACTGTTATTGAAAATTCATCCAGACGGAATTTCCACGATTTCCACCTGTCCTTCCGCGAAACCATTAAACCTCCTATCATATCGTCCTCGACCTGAGAAACGTGCCGAGGGCCTCTGGAATCTTTATGACCTTCCTAGGCGCATTCCTTCCTCGCGACTCCAGGTTGACCCCGTGCGACCCCTATTCTCGCGTGTCTGACAATCCTGAAAATAGGGGGTGTCGATAAGAAAGGTTTCCGAATCACAATGAAAGACCCGAAATAAGTTCTTATTCGATTTCCAAAATTTCCTCGGAGACTCATCCCGAGCGACGATTCGAATAACCTCTGACCCCTCTATGAAAACCAATCCTTTTCGCTGTGCGAATGAAAATAAAAGGTCACACGTCACCTATGAGCACCTATCAAATTTTCATTTTTATTAAATCCTATACCAGGTGATCTTGAATTTTCATCGTGACCTTGAAACATAATTTTTTGCTCTATGCTCAATTTTCGATTAACCTTACCGCTGTCAAGTATGTCAATCTGACCTCGCATACTTCAATCACAAGCGCTGTCCTCTCTACACGATATACCATTATGCCAATATTAATGTATACCTGCGTAAATAGATATACATATGTATACATGAGTAAAGAAGGTCAAGTATATATGCCATTGTTTGCATTGATTTCAATGACCTGAAATAAGTTTCTGGATTTTCTGATTCTCTTAAGTTTATTGGGTCGCCGTGACAATATGTACGCAAGTATGTTAATTGTATATACAGATATACAGGTCCCATGAAAATTCTAATGAAGTATTGTCAAGAGGTATCAAGGATACACAATCTCAATACATAGATAACGTAGTACAGAGACAAGTACGTGTATAGTATCTGTCAACTGATACGAGCCAGGTATGCGATAGTCAAGTTGCCTTAGGAGCATTGGTAAGGGGTGACATCATGTAAAAATAAATTTTTTCAAATAAATATCGGTCATTCATTTCATACGAATATATGATAAAATTTATGCAGAAAGAGGTCCAAAAAATTTTTTTATCAAAATTACCGCTAAAATTTTTTTTTCGGTACATTCAGAACCTGTCTCGTTATCCGCCGGGTCGGACCTCGATAATAACTCGATGGGTCCTCGAGCCTTTTTTTCTTTTTTATTTCACCTTCCGACGATGGCAAAGCCAACAAACGTATACGAGTTACGTTTCTTCTCCGGCCGATCAATAAGAGTCTCAATCTCATCCTCTGGTCTGAGGATACACTAGGTAACCAAGTTTTACACAGAGCCAGGGGTAGTTTCTAGAATACGACGAATCCCTATGAAATGAGAAGATATTCCACGCGCGTATTACAAGTTTTGCTAACTTAGATCGAAAGGGTGAAATTATGAAGAATCAAGCCCAATAGCCATCTCAAATAACAGGTAGGAGCAACGATCCTTTCTGAGATTACAGGCTGGATTCAGCTAACAGATTCACTTAGCACGTACGTAATTTTGAGGACCCTCAGAGAAGAAGCCCTGTTACGTACAAAGCGTAAAATCCCCGTGTTTTGAATCGAGTCAGAAATTCAAGGGTGCATTCAACCCCCCGATGAAAACTATATAGGTCTACTCAGGAATTTTTGATGCCTCCTGCAAGGGATGCAACAAGCTGCTTCACTCAATTTATTTCGATTGGACGTTGGCAAGAGTGGGTACGACTTGGGAAATTGGTGCCAATTGTTAAAAGGGTGGTTCGGTACACACACGTACCTATCTATACTATATTTAAACTGCGCCTATAAATTCAGAGCCCACAGCCAGCAGAGGCTGATAAGGGCACTGGTGGTATCAGTGGCAGTATTTGCCACTTGGTAGTATAGGAATTAGTCGTTAACGATAGTCAGACTTGTAATAGGGGTTGAGCTAAAAAATGACAGCGTGCAACCCCTAAGTATTTACTTTGAGGACCAAACGGAGTATCTGTTGCTTCGCCTCGGGACTTGAAAATTGTTTGTGAAAAGTTTCTCAAGTCCTTTCAGTAGCGAATCATCGAAATTCTCAAGCCTCGCGTCGACTCGGGCTTTTTCCGCGTTAAATTATCAGCGACGGGCTGAGTCCCGATGTCACTCGTCAAGGAGTCACTCGAGCGATTTGTCATAGGCGGCGGTTGTTAAATCAAACTCGTTGACTGATTCCCTACCATGATCCAATTTCACGCAACAACCCCTCGGCAGCTCTAGCACTGTTTACAAGGTAAATAGATTGGAGATGCTTCCGATTCTGCCGAGGGATAACAGCCTGAAAATAATAACAACAGTGCTAATCCCACTGTGAAATTAATTAATTAAAGTAATTATAATCAATTACTGTTCACCGACAATTTTCCTCCTTGTAAACGAAGCCTAACCTCAAAGCGTAAGAATTGAATTTTCAAAATCAGTATGTTTCCCGCCTTTAAAGTAATCATTCAAATCGTACCGTACTCCCCCGATATTCATTCGAGTCGTTGAAATTCTCCCGTCATCGATTGACTTCGATAATCGTCATTTTGAATTAAATTATATTCAAGTGAAAATTCGTTTACGCCTCATTTTTTTTATATTTTTACAATAAAATCGAATGTTTCTCAACGTTACGCATACGCTGTGCATATATCTGTATTGTGTGAATAATATTAACGTTAATTAATAAGAATTTAACGAGACGATTGAAACGTCTTTAACCTACAAACCCGTTGAGTATTATGATACTCGTAACACTAGACCGTTACGTAAGTATAGACTTGGATATATGACGTGGCAAATTAATTAAAAATTTTTATTCCCGAATTAATCCGAACTTTAGTGTAATTAATTATTTTACGCTAATACGTCAAAGGAATAGCCAGTGATATAATTAAAGAAACGATAACCACGGCCTGTAATAAGTTCCCATTATGTACACGCGAGCGAGAAGCCATATTTAAGATCGCAGGCAATCCGATTTAAGTCGCAGACCTCGAGAAACACGTAAACCGCGTACAGTTATTTGTCTGTCTTGTTTGTAATCTCGTGTAAGCGCTGCGCGAACATTTCGAGCATTATGAAAATCCCGTGTGACGCAGCGCGACGGGTAATAAACGTGAAGATAACTCGCAAAAGTAAGATCGTAAAAATGTTTGATCTCGTAATAGTTGGAAAAAAAAAGCGAATCTTTTTTCAGTATCAATAACCCGGTAGGAGTGCGAAAATATATTTCAAAGATCAGACTGGCTGGTCGTTCGTAAAAATTTCACGCGACCGAATTAATTGGTCCCTTCGACCCATGACGTCACAACGCGGACTCCTACGATCGCTCGGGACGCATCCTGTTTTTGGTTATTTCAAGAATTGGCATTAGGCCAAAGTGCACTCCGTCATTCTTCGTATATTATCGGGCATCTTGTTCGTAAGTGACTATCGCGATCGAGGTCGCATATGATATGCATGTTACAAGGCGAAATTAGCCGATTCAAATTTTTTTGGAGGTTAGAAAGATGGTATGCCACGTTGAGAAACGCACGAGGTACAGTCACTGTGTAAAATATCTCTTCGTAGAAAAATCACTGAAATTACGTATAAATCAAGATTATACGTTTCCTTAGTGTCACGATTTTCGAGGTTACGTCAACCGTGCATCGTACTTCCAAAATCTACACGTGTTATCGTGTTTTGACAAGAGACAAATGTTTCCTCGTACATTAACGGTCTTTGTCCATATGACAGTTTCCGGAAGTGAGTGTACCTCGAAAAAAATTTGTATAACCTACATACTTCGACGGTATTACATATACGAGATTGAAGGTTTATGAAAATTATTGAAAAATATATATTTTCCCTGCCAGTCGTTTTTTTCGAACATTTTTCAGGTACACACATATATATATATATATATATATATATATACCCAGGTACATACATGCATCATGAAACGAAATTATTCTCACGACTCGAGAGTCGCATTAAATTTTCACGTCCTTTTATTTTCCTTTTAGTTCTCAAGCTTTCTCTCTCTCTCTCTCTCTTCCTCTCTCTAAACGTAGATTCTCCCTCTCAATACTCTGCACTCTACTAATGGCTTCTCTCTCATAGCAATAATTTAGGTCGGCGAACGCCCAAGTACAGATGTACTCATCGCGCCGACAGTCTCATGTGGGTCAGGCATACTTAAAGTTCGAATCTCCCGCCATGGGGCTCGACAGGATCAGAGCTTGGACAAAATGAAGAGCAGATAAAGCAAAGCACGACGATTAAAATTAAAGCAGTAGGAGTTCCGGAATGCGACGTAAAATGAAAATGAAAAGAAAAATCATTGGAATTTGCTATGGCAATATTAAGAAGTGTCGAAGGGAGTGAAGGGGAGCAAGATGGCGAAGAATCTCTCTTAATTTCAACGGGATATCCTGTATTTCGTCTTGGCACATAATTCGGCAGTGTCTAGGTAAGCCGTTCGAACATGTAAAAACAATCAGAGGCCTCGCGGATTTCTTCTTGTCGGTTAAACAAAGCTATAATACCTATTAATAGACATTGGACCAGTGCTTTGAAAACTTACAGCCCAACGCGTGTGCATATAGGTATAGCTTTCGTGCACAGTCACTCTATACCTACCACTCCATCGCTTCTTCCTGTATAGTCAGCGTATATTATCATTCCACCACTACATTACCGTCTACGTATCTTACTGTGGATCCGCATAAGGTACTCTTAGAATCGATGGCTGGCCATATGTTGAATTTTGTAGAAAAAAAGTTGCATATAAATTCGCGGTGGCGCGTTGAAAAAATAAAAAAATAATTATACAAAAATCTCTTAGTTTAATAGGAAAACCTGTCAGTGTTTACGTTCGCGCAAGGTGTACCAAGGGACGATGCGCAACGCGAATCGACCGGCTTCTCATTCCCTTGCCCTCCCTCTTCTTTAGCTTTCTAACCAACCCTACCCCATAATAATACCCATATTATAAGGGGCCTTCGAAAATTCATTTTTATTTTAATATAATTAAACGAATACCTGCACCACGGGGATTTGATCTTGAACCAAGGTTTGTATCGTTTGACGTTTCACATTTATCTGTATTCGTGGTGGCAGTCGTACGAATTTCTATATGACTGGCGGTATGCCGTTTTAGGGGTTCTTTAGAAAATTGAGAGAACGGCGAGGAGCGTGATGAATAGTTGGTAGAGATAATCCAGAGTAGATTGTTGCTCACCTGTATCGCGCTTAGTGATGTCTTCGACGAAGTGAAAATGAAATGGGTCCCTTCAAGCCATGGGAATACACGGTACCCTCGCAGTGGACGTAAACGTCCTTGTTGTTGTTTTGTTCTCTTTTTTTTTTTATACCGTTGTCGTCTATTTATCGTTTTTGTTTTTAATAGAGCGACAAGTCTTAGGAGAAACAAAAGTCGGTACAGCGTGTTCGCGTCTTATACAGAGATACGTGGTATTTTAGTTGTACGTTTGTTTAGTCTTGTTGAAATTCTTCGACCTTCTTCGAACGACGGGTTTTCTTTTTCCGCAGGCTTTATGTGAGGTACGCACTCCTTCAGAACGTTATCTGGAGGTTCAGGAGCAAAGCTGAATCACATTATTTTTCTTTTCTCCTTCAATTTCCAATCACACCACCATCGTGTACCCAGCATCGAAGCTTTACTGGTTGAATATAATATTTAAAGGCTTCTTCTAGGACGATACTATCCAGATTGGAGGTAAACACGAGCCCAGAGCTTTCTCGTGTACTCTCTTGTATTATTATTTCTTATTAATCTAGCCAGCAATTATTTGGAACGGTTGTAACGTGTAACGCGTACGAGCCCGCTCGAAAGCTCCGAGACGAGTACGCGTAGACGTTCCGGATGTAGCCAGGACGCGCCTTGCCAAAGCTCTGCGCAAGCTCCATTGAAGGTTCGGTGGTAGGGTAGAGGAAGAGCCAGTTACTGGAAGAGAAAGAGAGAGAGAGAGAGAGTGAGAAAGCGAGCGTGAGCAAGAGAGAATTCGATAAGTACGATTTTACCGGCAGCTTTTCTCACCACTCGGACGCACAATCGGATTTCTTCATTAAGCTCTTGCACTTTAACTTTATGCCGTTGTTGTTTATCACGTGGCGAAAAAACAAGCTTGAAAAACACTCGTCAGAGGGTTTTTTGTCCTTTAGAGGAAATGCGCAGATTTCAGGTGTGTCTTGATGGTACTTTTCGGATGAAATTTTGCGACGCTCTGGGCGTCGCGACGTTTTAGGATCGATCCGGGATGATACTGCTATTTGGCAATTTCATATCTTAAGGATGACTAAGATGCATCGTATTACTTCGGAGAAATGTTCTGGAGCTATGTCTTCTATCTTAGACTTCTGCCGTTTGATATTCTTAGCAGGCCTGAAACACGTGGAAAAATTAATTCAGATATGCTAAATTACCTTGTGGATTTAAATTATATTAAAGTGATGAGTATGCTGATTTTTTAATTGGATCCCTACTGCTATGGGATACTCGTTAACCAATTATAGTCGCAAAGTAAATGAATGTTAATAAAAATATTTTGGACGGTGACATTTCGATGATATGCAGTTCCAAAGGTCAGCCATGCAGGAGACACAAAGTTCATGAGGTCGTAAAAGAAGTTTTTACGTTGCCAGAAAGATTGCTCAACTTTATCGCACGTTCTTTGTTTTCAGACCGTTAAGACAGACGTGTGAAACTGTAGATGAAACAAATTTATATGATGGAATTAACCAAGCGGGACATTCCAAGAACGAACCAGCGCAGTAATAAAATTACGATGATACCCATAGCATGTTTTCTTGTTAATATCTTTCTCGTTAATATCTGTTGTTTTCATTGTTTTATGCAACCTTTAAAATGTCAAACATTATAATCTGAGACTTGCCTACGTATGTTACAAAAATCATTCCGAATACTGCAACAAAAGTGTTTGTGGCGCCGTCTGGCAGATACATTGCAAACTAAGAGAACCGCAGAATTCTGTAGAAATAACTGTTTGAAATGATAAGTGATTTACGAACAAATTAAAAATACAGCTGACTTCTTTATATTAAATTATAATTATGTATAACCCAATTATTAGTTGAGAATTTGATATTTAATAGAAAACATCAGTTTCGGTATATATCTAGGCACGTAGAGATGGACAACAAATTTTCTTAACTTGTCCTACTGTATGTTTTATTAAACCCCCCTAATACATATATACTGTATAATAACTGTGAAAACTGTCAAAAATGAACATTGATGACAATAGCGTGCATGAAAAGGTTATCTAATTTCCTCAGAGATGGCGCCATGTTAGATCGATATATAAATATGTACGTAACATCATTTTAACGGTTCCCTAAAGTTTCTCAAGCGCCAAGAGACTTTTTAAGGTTTTGCAGGATGTTTAATATTTACCTGAACTTTACTCGAAGGAAGAGATGAGATATTTACTATTTAATTCTTTAGGGAACGATTACAAATTTCAATTAATATAACAAAAAACGGTATTTTCTTAGATATAATTGATGATGTCTTCTGTAAGACGAGCATTCTCTTTGCCATTTCTTTTTTATCGCTAAATATTATCACATACTTAATTACGATAATTATTTAATGGTTTTAAGATGACGGAGGCCAAGAAGTTTTAAAATACCGTTACAGCATACTACAAAAGGACGAATTATTTTTTAAAAATGACAAAAAATATTACATCCCCGTTTTCAATCTTTAATATTTTGGCTTTTAAAAAACACAGGTAAAACTTTTACATTAGTTTTTCTTTCTACTTAATTTGACTTCTTCCCCGGAATACGGATTTGAGATTGCATTGGATTACGTTTGAAACGACATAAGTATCTTTCATCGTCGATTAAAAGTAAAAAGAAAGCTGGAAAAAGTATTTACCTGCAGGAGCTTCCGTTTAAAATCGTCTTCGATGTGCGCTGTGGCATTCTAGTAACAGGGTGTGCTCATCTTGAATGACTCACCTGGTATATAAAAAAAAAGGGACAGGCGGTCAACCACTTTTGATATAGGAATCAGTATAGCGTCAGAATCGGACTGACAAACGCACAGTGCAGTGTTGTAATACCAATAGAATTTGCCCTTGTGAAATTTTCATACTGTTAGGAAAATTCTTTCAGTTTCCTCGTGCATTTTCAGTCAGTTTTCTGAAATTCTTACCGGTCCAAATCATCGTGGGAATTTTGTCATGGACACTGATGAAACAAGTCAGGTAGATTCTCGTAACGTACCTCGCTGATATCTTGTGCAGTAAGCGGCGAACAACGAGCAGCTGATGCAGGAAGATGGCCGCTCTCGATACAAACAAATAGTAGCCGGATTTGCCGAACGAAATTCGCGGTGGAAAGTTCCAGGTACGGCGGTGAGTTTTCGGCGATACGAAATTCACGAAAATCATCACGGAAGATCATGATTACCTTGCGGATTTCTTAAAAGTTACTCCACGTTGGAACCATCAGCATTCTAATTAATTGCGAATGTCTCCTTTACCTATCTTGACCTGCTCAATAAAATTTTCCACTTCTAACGAATACATTATGGAATCAGATACTGATTTGCTGTATTAACAAGGGCAACCCCATTGAGCGACCTTGTTGGATTTTATGCGAAAATTAATATGGTAATGAAACTTTTGAGATTCTTTTTTTACGTTTTTTTTCTTTTTAAATCTTTCTGTGCTTCTGTTACTATCTGAATGTGTCGTGAAGTCAGGATATGATAAGTTTTTTAAAATGTGTTTGTGAATTTTATTAAGAGTCATTAGAAAATTAAATATAATCAAGAAGCCAAGGATTTGTTCATAATACTGTGTAATTCTTTCTTGGTCCTTCTTTATCTGAATGGATGAAGTTGTTGATAATACAAAAATATCTTATTATTGTTTTATAGATGTCAAGGGTTGTCCATTAGAAGTTGAAAAAAGATGGCGTATGATCCAAGGAATGTAAAGTATCCTTCGGATATTCATTCTCAGCAGCATCCACAGTCGACAGGTTATCTATATCCAAGTCACCCACCACAGCACACACAACAGACAGACGAGAATCGCAACGAAAATCACTGTGGCAACAAGGAAATGTGTACACAGAATAATCAGCAGTCCTTAGGGACTCAAACGATACAGAAAGTAGATGCAGCTACGATGACAGATCCTCTTCAGATAGACTTCAGATTGACCTCAGAATATTTAGCACGATGTTCCAATTCATTGGGTCTTCCCTATGTGTCAAAGTATGAAGATAGCAGCAGTACCTCGTCTCAAAACTGCCAGGAAGTCAAACCGAAGATGGAGTTTGAGGTAGAGCCACAGCATATTAATGGTAAGTCTTGCCGTAACCTTGTATACCACAAAAATTTCTTTATATTAAAACTACTCGTATTATACTCTAGGTATGCTAATCTACCACTGTCCAGAGTGTGCCTATCGATTTGAAGACCGAGAAACTCTTCATGAGCATCTCGAAGATCACAGACAGCGTCCACATATCTGTGATATATGTGGTGCTAGTCTCAAACGTAAGGAACACCTGGATCGTCATAAACAGGGTCACAACAAGGACAGACCTTACCAGTGCAGCATGTGTTGCAAGGCTTTCAAGCGAAATGAACACCTAGCACGACATATGATAATTCACTCCGGCAGCAAAAATCAGATTTGCACAGAGTGTGGCAAAGCTTTTTATCGAAAGGATCATCTGAAGAAGCACCTTCAGAGTCACAGCGGCAATAGAAATAAAGGGCTGAATAATTCGCAAAATAATCAGAATGCTCAAAATTCCAGTGAGGAAGGTTTGAGCAGCTTTGCAATGATGATGAGACAAGCTGGACCACCGCCATTCTCTATTTTGAGAACTTAGCTCCGACGTTAATTTCTGTGACAAGATCACTGAGATCACTTACTGTCATTTAATAGGCAGGAATAAGAACGGAGTAATACCAGGATGTCAGAATCAAACTGAAATGATGCATCATGCAAATTACTCAATAGTAAGAATACACTGACCAGTATCCGAATTGTATATACATACGTGTACTTGGTTACGTGAGCATGTGACATCCTGCAGAACTAATTGCAATCGAAATGCATAGGCTGGAGAAAAATGAAGGAATCCATAACGGCATTTGTTACTTATCGAAGACTAAGAAGCATGCAAAAGGTTGAGAAGAGAAAATAAAACAAAGAAGAAAAACGGATGCCCAACTAGATTAGTATTTCTCAAGTAAACTGATATTATAATACTAGGCTACTAGGTAAATAGATGCGCAATGCCTATCCAGTATGTCTCTCTCTGTCTCATACTATCATACCAGAAACGTACGTAAAATATCGGCCAGTTGCCTTTATCGAAACCGAAAATGCAAACAAACGAGAAACGGTCAACCTTTGAAACAAAAAAATAAATAGGAAAAAAAATGCAGCTCCGAAGTGTAGTAAAAGACTAGGCAAGCACAAGGCGAGGAAGAAAGTTTATTCTCCTTTTACTTTGTTTTTGAAGAAACTTGTACGCTTAGTTTGTCATGCTAAAATGATAACAGAAAACGGAACGAGTTTCCCTGCAATTTTTAGAGAGAGGCGTTTACGATGATTATAACAACAGTGACAGAGTGCGAAAGTTATAAAAAATATGTATAACGCATATGTCTCGAACGTTTATTTGTCTTGAAAATAGAAGCAAGACAAACGTGGAACGAGTAACAAAAAATGAAAAGCGAGAACACATTGCAATGTGACTAATTAATAATTTCATTTAATATTTACATCATGCTCGTGCATACATCAATATATATATATACACACATATGTGTTATATATATTGTTAAATGTACGGAACCCCCCCCCTGGCCCTTCTACTTGTTCATCTATCCCGATTGTAAATTATTCTATTTATTAACATGCAAGGACCCTATTATTATTATTGTCATTATTATTATTAATAATTAGTTATCTTTATCATTGCCTTTATTGCGTAGTTCTAGGAAAACTTGGTAGCGAGCATGCACCGATAAGGGTGAGCGAAAACGTCGAGACAGAGACAGGGAGAAAAGAAAAAAAGAACAGTAATACTTCTTCTTGACTATCCCCCCGCGCCTAGCGTCCTCTCTCTTTCTCTTTTCGACGTTCGTTATTGACTGTAAAATGCGACCGTATTTAAACAAAATAAATCATCATTATTATTATTATTATTATTATGCGAGTTTCCATACCTATTGTTGTACCGTATTTTCCTCTCTGCGTTCGATACGAAGAAATTTTTCGAGAATTCATCATCGCCACTGTGTCCAGTAGCAGTGTGCACAGTAATAGTAAGAGAAATAAATTGAAGAAAGGATCGAAATTTTGAACGAAAAAAAAAGCAACGCATTGAGTCACGCGTTAATCAAAAAGGAAATTAGGGTCCATGAAAGATGCTGATATATCGGAGTCATATTGAAAAGCGAGGATTAAATTAAATTGGATTGGAAAGCTTTCAGGGAGGATTAAAGAGAATGTTGCTTTTTTTTATATATATAGATATATTATGTATGTATACGGGTTTACATAAAGCAGCACGGGGGATGATGGGGAAATGTCTTAAAAACTTTGACAAATGTATTTCTCATTCACCTTTTTCTTTTTCTTTCTGCCACTTCGTCACGCGTGACCTCTCGTACAGTGAACAACACACGGGTCAGCGTTCTAAATTCGTCATATGAATTAAATTATGCCTGCACGGACGTCGACAACGTCGTGAATTTTCAATTGATTTTTTTTCAAAAATTTTTCCATTCTCAAAATACCCTCGTTCCAGCTCTATTCTTCGGCCTAATCGAAGATTGCACGATATTACACAAATTCTCCGTTACATCTCTCTCCTCCCTCTTATCTTCATTCTTGTCGCGCTCTGTCACTCTCGTAATTTTATTTTTCTTCCTTTCCCTCGCCTTAATTTAAATCTGTCTTTTCCTTTATTATTGTTTCACTAATTATACATTTTCCTCCCTTATTTCCTTCCACCTCTCATTCGCGTAATCTCATATCTTTCTTTTTCGACCATTCATTCCCGCTCTTTCACCCTCACACGCATATCCCGTTCTATTATTGTTTATAATAATAATAATTATTATTATTATTAAGCCTTCGCCGAGAAAGGGTCTAGCACGTGATTAATTATTTTTCACTTTCTTACCCCCACTCTTTCTCGTGTCACCATTTTTTTTTTTTTTCTTTATTATTCGTCTTAATGCACTCTATACAAAAATAAAGGGCTGAGATCATCAGAGGGTTCCTTTTTTTGTTCTCGCTTTAGCTCTGTACATACACGCTTTGTAAAGCTTAACTTTTTTTTTGTATATATTACTTTTGCTTTTATGTCTCGTGCATTCTTTATTTATTCTTCCCTCTCGCCCGTCACGTCACTCTCCAATGTATTATTAGCGCACAACGATACGAGCAATATAACCTTTGTATTACCTGCCTCGAAAACTTTATTCTCTGCCTTTGTTCCTTACCGTAGCGCGGGAAAATTCAAATTCGAAACCAGTTTTACGCCCTACCGTTACTCATGATTTCTTTTCCAAGTAACTCTCGGCTAACCAAGCTGCCTTTAGTGGCGCGCGCACCGCGCCCACGACTCGACGTTAAATTAACGAGATCAAGTTAAGTACGAACAAGGTGAAATCAAATATAAATTAAGGAAAAAGATAATCGCGTATAAGAAAAATTAATAACCATATGCAAAACATTGAAAGGTCATATAACCGTGTCATATCACCGCGAACGTTCACTATATATTTTCACGAGAACTATTGTTTTGTTTTATTTTCATTTGCCTCTCTCTTCCTCTCCCCAACTCTAAAGTCTAACTATCGGCAAAAGTCTATTCATTCTTGTCCCTTAAATGCTTTGTACTATGTCGAGGAATTTGTATATCGTTCATTCCGTGGTTGCGATTAAAGAAAGAAGGAAAGAGTAAGGGTAGCGATGAAAAACTGAAAAACAAAGAAATCCAATCCAACGGCCACTTTGTTGCGATGAAGCGGTTCTGCTAAAAGGGGAAAAAAAAAAAAAAAAAAAAAAAGAAACGATCAATTCCCATCAAATTTCAAAAATAAGACAAGGAAGAAAAAAAACATTACAATACGGGTGTGTGGCGTGTCTGTTTTGAAAAATGAATTTTTTTCTCCATTACAAATTCTAAAGCTGTATATGCGTGGCGTGTCACTTTGTATCTCGCGTGTCACGTATTTACTTTATTATTTTCTCTTTATCTCCATGTCATCCGTACAACGTTTATTCAAAATCTCCGTCGCACATTAAAACTCCCGCGCAGCGGACATTTTTACGAAAGCGTCGCACTTTCCAAGGACACGTTAGTTCGCACGTCTACCATCGTTACCAAACAAAAAATCTACTCCTCCGTCTCCAGACTTCTTTCCTACGCAAGTCAGAGGAACCAGCATTTTTCGCGGCGACAACAGTATTTAACTTTATTCAATTTCTCGCACGACAGTCCCCTTAAATCGTTAAATGCTCTCGGCTAAGTTCATCTTATTTTTCACATTTGTTTTTTCTCTCCATTTTTGTATACAAACTTACAGGCTACACGTAAATAACTTAAGGTGTACTCTCCTCGCGCCTCCCTCCCTTGCCATTGCGTCTGTTCGCACTTTTGTTTCGTATCTCTTTATTGTACCCCCTTCTTTTCTCAACATTTATTTCCCCCTCTTATCTTCTCTCCCGTTACGATTACAAGTACGCGGCGGTGGAGTATTTTAATACAGCTCGTTCTTATATATATATATATATAAATACGTGTACACGCGCATATACGTAACATACGCACGCGCGCAAATACACGTAATTGTAGGGCATTTCATGTATGTACTATTTATAATTATATTGTATCCTTAGCATATCCTTACGCTTGAGGTCTGACGAAACCTGAATTTTCGTGTTACTTGCTATAGAATACATCAAAAAAAAAAAAAATAGAGTAAAGAGGGGGAACAAAAAAGAACACCTTTGCTCACGGTCCAATTTTTATCTGCAAAGTAAAAAAAAACGCTTGACAAAGACCACGGGGGTTCGTGGCTCAACGAAATATTAAGAAAACAAAAAAAAAAAACAGTAAAAAAAGTAAATGCTACTCTACAATATAATCACGGACGTTTACGTACATACACATTACGTATGTATACACAGGGCTTAAAACTAAAGTTGGCTGTACTGGGTACGCTCAAGGAAGTCTCAAAGTCTCACGTTTTACATTTAAAGGGAAAATAAGAAACAAAAAAAAATTGAAATACAAAAGAAATCTATGGTAAGATGAAGGATGCATGTAAATTGAAGATGGCACGATGAAACAAATTTTAGATACCCGTTTTAATAACGGTAATATTAATGTTAATAATAATAATAATAATAATACTAATAATAAAGCATGACTTGCCATAACGGACCATCGAGTGTACGTTTCCATTAGACTTTTAAGAAAATTAAGGAATAGGCCAAACAGGTGTACTGTATGTCTAATATATACAGGGTGTTCCGAAACTACCTGACCCGGTGGGTATGGCGGTGTTCGGGAGGCTTCACTGATCACGAAAAGGACCTTCTTTTTGTCCGGAAGGTCATAGTTTTTAAATGGGAGCAGGTCAAAGTTGACCAATCAGAGGGAGGCGTCAAGAGAAACGTAGGCACCTGCGAACTCTGAGTTTTCTTCCCTCGCTTTTGTTTGTCGGTGGCTTGTTTCTTGTTTCCAATAGGCATGTCTTCGGCTGACGTCATCCTGCCCGAAGCCACCGAGAAACAAAAGCGATGGAAGAAAACTCAGAGTTCGCAGGTGCCTACGTTTCTCTTGACGCCTCCCTCTGATTGGTCAACTTTGACCTGCTCCCATTTAAAAACTATGACTTTCCGGACAAAAAGAAGGTCATTTTCGTGATCAGTGAAGCCATCCGAACACCGCCATACCCACCGGGGTCAGGTAGTTTCGGAACACCCTGTATATATAATATATATATATAACGTATTTTTTTAAAACCAATGGAAACGCACCCAATGACTATTGCGAGTTTAATGTAAAAGAAACGAAGGAACGCTCGCGACTACGGAGTGACCTTAGTTGCGCAAATAATCGGTAATTAAAAAACAAAATAGTATTGGACTCGATGGAAATAATAATAAAACGAGATCAAGAATTTCCATGAGAGATTCCAAGAAGAGTGGCAGACGAATGGAATAATTTTTTTTTTAACGAGAGAAACAATATATGTAATACCGCAACAATATGACAAATGGCGGGTCAATGTACGCGAACGAGCTCGGCCTGGTATTTTTATGTGAAATTCATGAGGACTCGCATTAAATATATATATTTTATATAGTATATGTTGTACATTCAAATACAGGCTGTACCACGTGTTGCGAGTATTTATCCGAGGAATGTAAGTTCCTTGAGAAATTAACTGCTCGCCGCTAGAGCCTTCTGGGGGACAAAATAATTTTTTTTTAAAAATTCTTTCGGATAGTGAGTGGTATAATTAAATTTAAAAAAACGATATATTATAGTAGTACACCCTGTATATATGCGTATTCCTATATTTGTTGCTGGGGGATACTTTGGGGACGATTTTAATTAAGAAGTCGCTATTTTGAGAACAAGTGGCTGTTTTGGGGACCGTCCTCAAAGAATTTTCAGCGTAATGACTGTTTTCAGGAGCATAAAGGGTTTAGAAATATTTCGTTAGATTAGAATTTCAAAGCTGTGATGTCCTAAGGTAGTAGTTTAAAAAAAAAACATTAGCTTGCTATTGTGAACGCACCCTTAATTTTTCGTATCCCCAAAGTATCCCTTGCTCGCACACACATATATATAATTCGAGGCGACGTACCTCGAAAGTTTTAAAAGTCATGTACAAAATTATTTTCTTTTTTTCGAAAAAACGAAAAAAGAAGCGCAAATTAAAATGAACAATACTTTTTTCAACGAGTGTATCGTCGTTAAATAAGTTTACGGTGGGGTCTATCGAGTATAAGAGTCAAGCGATTAAAATGAAAAAAAAAAAGAAATAATAATAATAAAATTCCTTGACAATTCTTTCGAATATAGTACATTATAATATATATCTTCTTTTAAATATATATATATTGCCACATATTTAATTTTAATGTATTTTCCAATTTTCTTTTTACGAATTTCACATTGGACTGTTGCACGCTCGAGATTAAAGAAAAAAAAGAACCGGGCGGGCGCTCTTGAAAAAACGAGAAGGCGGTTTTGTCGCGCGACGTTCGCGCGTCCAAAAAGTTTTTTTTTTTTTTCTGTATCTCTGTTTCACTCTCTTCGACCCCGAATGACGAGTTTGGAATTACGTGTTTAGACAATGGTACGGTAGCAGGTACCAAGCGCTAGAAAAAATCACGAGGAAATACTAGCGGAGATCATTACTAGACGTACTATATTAATTTTCGGACCTATTACCATACCATTCGTATTTCCCATTCGCTTACGAACTTATTTACTTGTCATATATACTATACTATATATTTATGTTTATGTATATTATATGTATAGAGCTACCATAAAAATATGCTTTGTCTCTCACGCGCGTTATGGCAAAACTCTCTGCGTCAAAAGGCTCTTAAAACTAAGTCTCTAAGGAGAAAATTTTGGTTTTTCTTTCCTTCTTCATTATTATACCGTCGGCACGATCGGAGAAAAGCGGCCATTTTCATTCACTTTGTTATCGTGTTCTTCCTTCGAAACGACACTCGTACCAATTTACATATAATCAGCTGTTCTTATGTCCGTTGTTCGAAATAAAATTACATTGGTATGCTTGGGTATATTAAAAGAAGTGTTTGTGTACGGCGATTGAAAGGTTATTACATTTTGTTGTTCTTGTAAAACGAGGTAAACGGTATTATTTCGAAAAGAAAAAGTGCATTCTCCATATCTGTCTCTCTCTTTTTCTTTTATCATCGTGCGCTTTACTAACGACACTCGTACATTTTCAGGCTTCGGCTTTTGCTTGTTAACGGAATGGCGTCATTTATACTTAATTTAATTTTTTCTTGCTCTGCTGGTACCTAGTATCCCGCACAAAATGTTCTCCACGAGTACTAATAACATTAAGATGCGAAATACTAGATAGGGATTAACCCTTTCAGGTCAAGTGGTTGGAAAAAGAGAAAGCACAATTTTATCTCTGCGTTTCAAATGTACCGATAGGTTTCTCAGTTGGATCGATAAGTACCTTTGTTTTTTTTGTCTTTTTAATAACTTAGAAATGAAAGGGTTAATAGACTCGTTGTCTCAAAATTGACCATGTGACCTCGTCCCCTGTTGTCACTGCTAAAGGATCATGGGTGCTTTCTCTGAAGCATGGATACGCACAGAAAATAGTACGTTATCAATAGAGTGTTGAACAATCTAGTTGTACAGAAATACGTTCAGAAATCTTACTCAGGAAAACTCGGGCACGTTGCGTCTCTTTTTATTATCGTTATTATGCAGAGGATAGAATGACACTAGAGTCCACTCCTGACAGGTTTCTGAACGTACCCCAGAGCGTACCCTTTGAGACAAAAGGTCACGAGGTGGTCAGAAAATGAGAAAAAATGTCCGCAAGCGTTATTATGCTAGGATGACGCTACCTCTTGGCCGAAGCGTTTGCCTGCTCTCAGAAATCTTTGACGTGGCCTAGGAAGCTGAGCTCGTGGGCCGCCGCCGCCGCCGCTGCCGCCTGGTAGTGACTTGGTGTAGCAAGTGTTGCCACGCTAGATTGATGCGCTGCCACATTAACAGCCGTCAAATGATGATGATGAAGCGTGTGATGAGGTGGATGAGGATGAATTATGTTGTTCGGATGGGGAACTTGAAAGTTCCCTGGTGGCGGGGCTCAGGATAGAAGAGGACCCGGATGTCCACCAGGAAGAACGGACGCCGTCGTAACCGTCGTCGTTTGCATACTCGAGGTATTGTTCTGCTGCTGGGATTGCTGTGTACCTGTAGCAGGATTTTAATGATAAAGTTTAGGTTAGCTTGAGTTAACTTATGTGACTAGACCATACGTTAGGTTAGATCTGAGTGTGTCTATTAAGCAACGTCTTGTATGCTTACCGGCATTCTGGCTGAGCTCAGCCTTGACTCTCCTGGCGATGTGGCTCCTCGTGTGCTTCCGAAGATGGTCTTTACGGTAAAATCCTTTGCCACATTCTGTACACACGTGTCTCTTCTCCCCGGAATGAATGACGAAGTGCAGAGTCAGCTGTTCCTTTCTTTTGAAGGCCTTTAAGCACACAGTGCAGACATAAGGTCGTTCAGGATTGTGACTCTGTTTGTGACGGGTAAGGTGGTCTTTTCTTTTGAGACCGGCACCACAAATGTCGCAGACAAATCTTCGTTCCAATGTATGGCCAAGGAGATGCTGTTCCAGGAGCTCACGCTCGGGGTACGCCATGTGGCACTCGGGACAACAATATAAAGTTGAACCGTCCAAGGCTGTGGTTAAACGTATTTCACCAGGTTTTGGCCTGGGTTTCTTCTCCTTCGGAGCTTTCTTCTTCTTCTTTTTTTTGTTCGTAGGAGACATCATTATATTTGGAGTAGTTGTTGTAGCCACTGCCACTGAGGTTGTTTGTGCCATCTCTGTCTCTTTCTTAATGCTTTCTGCTGAATACTTGAGGAAATGATGAAGACTCAATGGTAGAGTACTGGCTGGTAAATGGCTGAGGTAGTCTGCGACAGTAGATCCTGGTGTTGCCAAGGATTGCCAGGTTGCTGGCATACTGGCCGGGGTCTGGGTATGCGCATGCTGTTGATGATGTTGATGCATCGTGTACTCCTGCTGACCACCGTTACTGGCTGCTTCACCGTTCCTTTGTTGATCCTCCGACTTCTTGTCTTTGGATTTATCTTTTTCCTGAAGGAGGTTGCAAACATCTTGTTGATTTATTGTTTCCGTAGCCTGATAAAGAAATAATGATGTGATAGTAATTCAGTATCATCATATTTCAAGGCTTACTGGTCAATAATAAAATTTACAATACCTGGTGATAGGTGCGCTTTTCTTGCATTCCAGGAGAATTGGAAGGTCTCTGCTGAACAGATTGTGCTTGAGAATATGGTACATTTGGATAATGATGAACGTTGCTGTTCGGATAGGTAGTCTTGTTGTTCATCATCACTTGGGACTGAGGAGTTTGCACACCGTTGGTCTCAGGACGATATTTTCCCACAACCGGCACTCCAATAGGAGGCTGGTTGGGAAAATGATTAGCGTAGCGTGCCCCGGCACCGCCAGAACCGTCAGTTGCAAACTGGTGGATACTTGGTATAGTACCAGGAAAGTGGCCTCCAAACGGCGGGAAATTCATTGCAGACCGTCAATCAGATACCTGGAAGGAAAACCTGTTTACAATTAAAAAATACTTTACAGCAGTGCTACACAAGAAAGTATGTTCGATGACTTGAAACCTAACTTGATAAACTTATATTGAATATTCTATCTCGAACACTGCCTTAATAATATATCCAGCTACTGCGAGGATACAATAACTGATATTTACTATTCCACTAGACAAAGATGATCCTTTACATTTGATAAATCATTTAATACACAATGCAGAGTGAAATACATTTTCACAGAGCATGATATAATTCCCTCAAATATATGAATCCTAATTAACAAGAGTATTAACTCACAGTGGCGTCCTTCTCCCCATGTTTTTCGGCGCCTCCGTAAAACGTGTTACTCCTTATCCCGGAGTCTTACCAGACAATGGAGCAGTGGTGCGCGTCGTCGTTGCTCAGGACGATATTATTTAATCATGACACATCAAGTGAAACGGGACGGTAGCCACCACAAACATAAAAGGTCTCGCTCGTACGACAGATAAAAGGGTCGAGAAACACACCGCTGTCACAATGGCATCACCATTCGCGCTCGCGGCGACCTCCTCGGTTTTATTTACTCACGCCGGCGGCGCCGTAAGATGATGACGATGATGAGGATGATGATGAACAAGAAATGGAATAGATGTAGGTGAAAAGGTAGCGCCGCGACACCGCGTGACGGGACACTCCAGAATACGAATAAACACACACGCGAAATATAACGTTGAAAGGTTCGAGGATAAAGAAGCACCAGGGGTCGTAAATCACTTGATCGTCTATTGGTACGACGACGACGACGACGACAACGAAGGGAACAAAATTAATGAGAAAATAAAAAAGCAACGACGGCGCGAGGAGCAATCTCCCTCGCAATCCCAAACCCGGGATAAAACGAAAAAAAGAAAATAGAAATCGGGAGCCACCCGACTGCAAACTGATGGGATATTTTTGCGTCCGGTTCCTTGGTCGAAGATACTCGCGGCGGCGTCGGCGTCGTCGGCACGGACGGGGCAACCGTACCCTGAAGTTACTTCTCTCTATGGGGTAGGGTTATACCAGGAGGAGTATCGCCTGGAGTAATTTCGAAGGAACGGGAACCTACGGAGCGGAGGGGCTGCGCGATGCTGTCAGATCGGGGAGAATTTAGCGAGAAGGTGGGAGTAACGAAAATGATAGGGGAACCTTAGTAGTGGGAGAAATAGGCGTCTCTTCCCCTATATGAACCCACACTCAGCACCCGAACGGTGGTGTGTATCACAGGCAGTCGATAACCCGGGGGCCGAATTCGCACGAAATTCTGGAGAAAATGGCCGACCGGCACCACTGCCTTCCATCGGCGCAGAGCAGTGCTCAGTGCTGTCGGCACATTGCACAGTACCCACAGTATTATACATACGTGGCTCCGCTACGGCGGCTCAAGTCAAAAAGCGGTTTATCGTTACCAATTTTACTTGTCCCAGCGGCCACTCAGTATTTCGTGGCGTTCGTGATGCTTCATCCTTCCGCCCTCTTTATTTCGCGGCCATCACTAACGCCACCAGCGTCACCCACGTCAACAACCCTGTACTATACATACCACTGGTCTAGCGTGCACGGAATATGTAGCACCTTTCTGATCTCTACCCTTTCTCTCTCTCTCTCTCTCTCTCACACACACACACACACACGCGCGTACTCTCATTCTCTTCTCGTCTCTCTCTCTCCCTAACTACATGCCCACTATAGCGCTAAAATTCTTGCCTGATTTTGCTCACCATTTATGCAGCTACTTCCCGTCGGCTCTCCATTCTCTTCTCGTCTCTCTCTATGTAGCACCTTTCTGATCTCTACCCTTTCTCTCTCTCTCTCTCTCTCTCACACACACACACACACACGCGCGTACTCTCATTCTCTTCTCGTCTCTCTCTCTCCCTAACTACATGCCCACTATAGCGCTAAAATTCTTGCCTGATTTTGCTCACCATTTATGCAGCTACTTCCCGTCGGCTCTCCTTCCTGGTATTTTTTGTCACGTAATCGTTAACCCTAATCGCACGACCGTTCTCCTGTCCCTTGCCGTGCGTATTATATTGCTGAAAAGATTTTCCCTGGCACGAGTGCCGTTGACACCTGTCTCTCAAGTCGGCATTCTCACCCCACCGTCCGCCCTCTACTGTGTCCGCCTCTTAACTATTTTTTCTCTCCCCATTTCTCCCTCTCAACCCCTCGCGTCCTCACTCGCGCATTTAAGCCCCAGTCCGTATCATTCTCTCTCTCTCTTTCTCCCTCGCGCACAGAGTGGCATGACCGCGCCGGCGAAAATGCCCGAATCCATTGGTGGCGACGATGCCAGTGGAGTGGGAGGATAAGGGTGAGGATGGGATGGAGAGGCTCAACTTGGAATCGCTCGAAGCAACGCAACCCCCCCGCGAAGCGACTCATCTCACCTCGTTTGATCTCTCACCCTAACCTTAGATCACCCTCTCTTCAGGGAACACGTAAAGATACAGGCATATACTGCACCATTGCTACCCCACTGTTACTACTGGGCACATAACTGTTGTTGCTGCTATAGCTGCTATTACGGACAACCCTTGTCCTCCTTTTCCTCGCGAATGGCACCAACCCTTATATCCCCGCATATAATCCCCGTGCCTAGACATCTACGTAGTTGCGACGTACATCCTGGAGAAATGCTATAAAGCAGTTCTTATACGTCTCTTACGCTTATGAATAAATGACAAGTCATCGACGTGCTCGCATTATTGATAGTCGTCAGCAACAATGACACAGGCTGTATTGCTTGTTACTTCATTGAAACAGACTGAATGCATATGGATGAATATGACAGGTGACAATTCCCATTGCATACTTTTATATTAAATGTACGTTTTATTTTACTTTTTTTTCCAATATTTATGTAAGTAACAATGAAAATGGCTTACAGTCTATCCTTTACGACTATGATAATAGCTATGATGATAATAATAATAATTATATAATTATCATAAAATAATATTTCTCGTATATAGCTATGTATACCCACTGCCATTTTAATGCGATAATTACAATACAAAAAACGTATTTATGCACGCGCGTGCGTTTATTCCTTTTTTTTTATAACTTTTGTCTACCTAGTGCGTCTGTTAAAATGTGATCATCTGTTTAATTTCTTCTCGGTATGTGTCTCTACGTATCTACGTGTTCTTTTTCTCACGAGTCGAGAGGATTCTTTGCCATTTTTTTTACATTATTTCAGATTGTTACAACGATAGATTCTGCATTTTCCTTTGTTGTCGAGATGAAAGAATTGAATTTTTTTACATTGCCCGTTGTCGCGTCCGTGCTCATCGCCGCTGGGCAGAGATCTTCATGCTATTCGTTATTATTTGAATTTCTTAGATTTTCTTTTTTTTTTCAATTATTTGTGTCATCGATACTCCCTTTCTTATTATACAATGCACGTTAGCCGTATCATATCACGGTGCATCGGCGATGCACTGATTATGCCCACCGCTTTTAAGTAGAATATAAATATGAGTGTTGAGAATGAAAGAAAATAAAAGAAAAAGAAGCAGATTCATGACTGCATGGATATCAGAAAGAAGAAGCAACAGCAGAATCGCCAAGAAAGGGAGAGACGCGATTCGTGAAGTTTAGCTGCGCAGTGAATTTTAACAATTACGAACGGACATTGAAAGAAACTTGAAGAATAATTGTTCTAAATGTCTAAATACAATTAGATGCGAAAGAAATCGCGAATCCCCACGCGAAAAAAAATATAAAAGCTACGTATGTGTATTAATCGAATGGGAAAGCTGCTGTATTTACAATGCCAACCCGTAGCCTGTGCCAGCCCTATTACCATTTATTTAATATATATCTATATATATCTATCTATCTAATATATATATATATATATATATATTTATATATAATTTTAGAAAAGAAAAATGATCTTTTTCCTTCCCTAAATGGATTCCTGCACCACTTGCCAACGTATCGTGCTTTTTTTTTAATTTCTATTTTAATAATTTTCCCTGTGACAAATTTTTATTTCATTTCCTCACTTGATTCCTTTCTTTCTTTTTTGCTTGTACGTCAAAAAAATATACAACAGTCGCACGCGACATGATCACTTGTTTCTGAATTAATTATTGAAGAGCTGTACGCAGATCAATAATCCATTTTGGGAGAATGACGTCGTACCCGCTCTCGTAAATCTCACACTCTCGTTCTCTTTCTCTCTCTCTCTCTCATGCAATTCATCTCTTTCTTTCCTATCTAAAAAAATGAATCTCGCGTAATTCTTCACGGTACGTATATTATTATTGTTACTACTACTATTAGAAAATTCCACTTTTGTCACTTGGTGAACTCTCGAGTTTCCGATTTCCTAATTTCACTTTTTTTTCGATGTCGCAGAGACGCAACGTTGCCGCTTTTTCTCTCTCCACTAGTTTGCCTCTTGGCACAAAGAATCCTCAGATTCGTGGCTCCATCTATGATATATATCCGTAGTATTCATTGTCAGTCGAATCGTTATCAGTCGGCGGCGATGCTCTGCTTGTTAGATCTACCCTTGGCCTGTTGATGATTGAATCGGAAGTACCGCCCGGTGCTTTGGCCCGGGACGGTAGGCTCTTGCTAATGCTGTTGCTGTTGTTGTTGCTGATGATGCATCATCGCCATAGCCCCCGTTTCCGCGGCGGTAGGTAGCACAACGGTGGACTGTTCGCTCACAGCTATCTGGTGAATCTGTGCTTGGGAGCCCTGCCCCACCTGAATCTGAATCTGTTGCAATTCCGATACCGAGGATTGCTGAAGATCTGAGACGGAATTTTGTTGCTGCTGTTGTTGCTGCTGTTGCTGATCCGGTGCCTGCTGTTGTTGTTGCTGCTGCTGTTGCTGTTGTTGCTGCTGCTGATTTTGCGAATTATCTGACGTACCCAGAGGATCTTCCTTAGCACGTTTCGCAAGATGAGACCTCGCGTGCTTCCGTAGATGATCCTTTCTGTAAAAAGCCTTGCCACACTCGGTACATACCTCAGTCTTCTCACCAGAGTGAATGACAAAGTGGAGGTTGAGATGCTCTTTCCGCTTGAAACCCTTCATACATATGGAGCATATGAAAGGTCGGTCTGGATTGTGCCCTAGCTTATGTCTCTCCAGGTGTTCCTTGCGTTTGAGACCAGCACCGCAAATATCGCAAATGAATCGCCTTTCGATTTTATGACCAATTAGATGCTGCTCTAGGAGTTCTTTCTCTGGATAGGCCATGTTGCACTGCGGACAGCAGAATAGGGTGGTCCCATCTAAAGCTGTCACAATGCTCACCTGTCCTGGCTTCGGCTTTTTCGGCTTAGGAGGCTTCTTCTTATATTTCTTCTTACGCTTTGGCTTCGTTCCTGGTTCCTGACCTTCCACAGCGTCGGGTATGATTTCCGTTTCGCCCCCGGCTACCGTTATATGCACAGATTGTTCACCAGAAGCAGTACTACCGGTCGCGTCAAGACCATCAGCACCCAACGGACTGGACTCTATAGTGGCCTCCCGCTTTATCGTCTCCGCGGAGAACTTCAGGAAGTGATGAAGACTTAACGGAAGAGTACTCGCAGGTAAACGAGAAAGGTAGTCGGCCACAGTGCTGCCAGGAGTTGCAAGACTCTGCCAACTTGCCGGCATCGAGGTTATAAACTCCTCGTTACTCTGATTCCCTTGATTCTTGACACTGCCTCTTTTAATCAGGGCTACCGGAGTGGTACCTTCCTTCACATCCTCCTTAGATTCATCCATGCCCTCGCGAAGAATGAGATCTTGAGGTATCTGCGCGACCACCGTAAGACCTTCGGGAGCACCAGGTAGCTGAACTGTCTGCTGGATCGTCTGTTGAGACGTGGTCGTCACCGCTGTCGAAGTACTCTGAGTCGTCTGGTCGGACCTGAAAAATAATAACTTTCGTACTGACAACTATTCCCGTAGAACATAGTGCACGACCTGGAATGTCGTGTACCAGGTTGTGCACTGGTATCAGTCCTGATATAATCAGTCTGTCACTTACGTTTGCGTCGTGGCAACTGTGTTCTGAGGTTGAACCTGGATCTGAACGCCGTCAGGACCCTGTTGGCTGTAGGCAACAGTGAGTACAGTGGCAGCCCCCTGTGGGAATTGTCCCAAGGATATTGGTGCCAAGTGGTACTTTGGTTGATCACCGCTATTTCCACTCTGCGTGACACTCGGATTGACCACCTGGATCTGGACGGTTTGCTGCTGCTGAGTGCCATCCTTGCCAGGTACAGTGATTGGCAACGTGATGATCTGCTGCTGTTGACTGTTGCTACCCTGGGCCACGGCAAAGCCATTTGGATCAACTGGCCTCAGATAGTGGACACCACCCTCCCCACCGGACAGAACACCAACAACCTGTCCGCCAGTGGTGAGATTCTGTGCAAATTTTGCAGTGGCGAACTGGTGCACGGTGCCCGTAGGTAGCGAGCCAGTCGTGAAGCCAGGGAACGGGGTGAAATTCATCTTACCCCCGGATCAATCCTGAAAGAAGCACCAGAAAAATAAAAAAATTACACACTGTATATATTGAAAATTATCTCATCAATAGTACAAAATATTAAATATATATATTTTTTGAATTTGTTAAACTACGTTTCTCGTGTCTACTACAAAGACTTCATGAGAATATAGTAATCAGCAAAAAGTATCTAACGGGAAGGCAGAAATGATGGTAACACGAGTATAGGTTGTAGTAAGGCAATAGAAGACGATAAAGCAGAGACGAGGAAAAGACAAGTGACGTACAGTCAAAGGAAGGATCGGTAAAACTAAAACAAAGAAAGGGACAATCCAAAGTACAGACACGTGCCTCAAGAGTACAAGGGTAGGATTTATAATATGACAATAAAACACGAGGACACGTGGAAAATTCATCCCGTTGCTCGTACTGTTTACGGTATACTATGGTGGTTGTCATGGTATCATGTGATGGTGCAAGCGTAAGAATAGGTTCATGTCAGCTGATGATACTCTCAGACATTGGAAGATGTGTTCAACACCTCCTCTTGAACCACCACCTCAGCTTCCACCGTCACGATTCTCGTGTGTGGGAGAGTAATGAGGCTGGGGTGAGGGTATCCCCCACCTCACCCCTGGGTCCCCCACCAGAATGGGGAACCGGGAGCAGGGAGGATAGACCTCAAAGTGGCCCAGGATCGCACCCCACTCCAGCAGCTAGTAGTGCCCCACGTAGGGGGTAGAAGCTGCCGATGCTGGTGGCGGTGGCGATGCCGATGGCGGAGGTGGCTGATGTCAGCTCGTGGGGCAGCGACAGCGGTGTCAGACCAGCAGAGAATACATTGAGCCAGCCGTATTTTAGTAGAGTTGGCTGGCTGGTTGACTCTTTGGCTGACTAGAAGGCTAGCTGGCTGGCACGGAGGTGGCTGATGACCAAGAGGAGGTGGCAGCCAGACGTAGTACTACCAGTACGAAGCTCTGGTACTGGTGGTGGTGGAGGTGATCCCAAAGAAGGGAGAGAACATCAGCGAGGTACCAAAGTAGGGGATAGGGTATAGCCTATGGGAGAGGGACGCCTCCTCCTCTTTGTATGTGACGTTCCTCATGACCAGTAGGAAGGGAATCCCTGAGGGAGGTGGACTTGGAGCTTGAGGTGGTGGCGATCCCGATGGGAACATCCATAGGTGGGAATACGGGAACTTGACGCGAACTAGAGCTTACTTCACATTTCCCTGGCCTAGTCTCCGATCTTTCTCCAAGGAGGAAAGTCAAGTCAGAAAGCAGCGGATGGAATCGGAAGTTCAGAGGCAGGTACAGAGAGTTCTAGACACGAGGGCCTCAGGGTGTCTATTTGCGGATGTGTCCCACCGCCAAGGGTAGGGGTACTTCAAGAAAGAAGGGATACTCCAAACGCCTATCCAGGGATTCCAATCAAGAATGCGGACAGTGGGGAACCCTACCATGGGGTAGGGTAGGATAGAGTAGGGCAACGCAGGGTAGGGAACTGAACGGGACGGAACGAAGTGGAAATGGAAGGATGGGATTTTTGAGACTATTAAGAGATGAAAAGAGCGCACCACGTACAGACTAACCAGGACCGACGTGCCGTCCTTGACGTCGTCGCGCAGTACACTCTTCTGATACGCACTAAATAATAACAAACGGGCACCTACGATTATCGGCTGTCGACCCGGGTGGAACGATCGACTTGCCTCCTACTGGAACCATTTACCTCCGATACGTTTCTACATTCACCAGTTACACCATATCCTAGCCTGTGACGAATGTAAATGCGCGATCTAACCGTACGAAAAACTGTATCGTCCTCGTGATCTTCTCTGAACTCTACCTACGTCTAACGTCTTCTATCTACCTCGACAACTTCGAGTTTAATGCGGCGACAGAGACAGACGACTCTGACTTTCGTAAGGCGCATGACGTAATGGCGTCGACGCCGATTACACACAGGATGCATTTTAAACGCCAGCCGAGACAGAGCAACATTTCAGACACCGTTTCTCTCTTCCTCTACTACTCGATGTTTCCGTAAGAAATTCTAACCTGTCATTTAATTATCACAAAGTGCGTACATGACATAGGATTCTTGCCAATGCGACGCATATTCACCGTGCGCGACTACTACGCCGATGCCGACGCAGCCAACATGGCCGCCAGGGACGCCACGAGATGCACGAAGGCTGTATTACTACGCGTTCAACCTACGCAACGTACACTCTCATGTTTCCTTCGATGAATACGAGAGAATGTGTCTCGAGAATATTCTTAAAATAACCGTAATAACATCACAGCACGTTAACGTGTCCTGTTAAGGGATGATTTTAGGGTAATTATATAGATAAAGAGAAAGGCTATGAAGAAAGCGTAACTGAAGAATTTTTTCAGGGCGTTGGCCGTGTTGCGCCGTGACTCTACAAAAACAGGGAAACATAAAAGGCATCCGGTTAGACTCGACACGTCAGCAAAATGTCCGCCATGATTATTCTCAGCTAACACGATATAAAAAAATAGTCCCGAGAATTCAGAATTTCCGAGAGATAAAAAATATTTCATATATACATATATATGTAATTATGAAAGAAATATATCTATATTCAGGGAAAAATATGCGAAAACTACTGCACTGACGAAGCCAAGAACAGTAGGGATGCACTGGAACGTGACGGACAAACAACGCGAAGGCGTCGTCAAGTCGGACAAGACGGCCGACGAACGCCAATAAAGCAATGTAGGAAGGAAGCAGAGGAATGTAAGGCACTTCAAGTCAATGGAAGAGATGTGAGTCCAGAGTCAGACACAAGTTGATGTAAGTGAAGCAAAGCAAAGGCAAGCTAAGGAAACGAAGGCAGAAGGCAAGCCAAGGCAGGGCTGTTGTTTACACCCCCACCTCGTCGGGTTAGAGGCAGCGAGATGCCACGGAGGGGCCTCGGAGACCTCGGCGGGCACCCACCACCACGCAATTTCCAACCCCACCAGGCTCTCAACCACTGTCCGCAGCTCCAACCACCCCACCAAAGGCAGCCGGAGCCAGGCCGTGAGCCACGGCGAGGTCCCCGCGACGATTTTAGTGTCTTGGGGTGGGTGCGCTCTGTGGCCACCGTTTCGCGGTTTCTCGTCCACGCTTTCCACACGCTGAGCCACGATCATCCTCGCCGTTCTAACCTCAAACACCCCGGGCGTATAACGTTACTTGCGAATTCGGTCTTGTGCCCGCGAATCCACTACCACGAGCACCGCCACCACCGCCAACTCCACTTCCACGACGACGACGACGACGACGATAATAACAACAGAAACAACTACCACGAGAGCAGCTACTGTCTCTCAGGAACTGAGTCTACCTACGTCGGCTCTGTTCGGCCGTCTTCGTATCGTTGGGCTGACAGACTTGGTACTCACTTTTCTTTTTTCTTCCTTTTGTTTCACCGATAATCCTTATTCTTCAAGACACGATGTGTGCGCCTCTTGTGTGAACGTGTACCCGTCTTCAGGATACGTGTACGTCAGAAATAAAGTTCGGTTACTGTTTCTGTTTCCCTATCGCGAGAAAACGCGCCGAGCAACGCCACGCCACGCCGAGAGACTTCTACTACTTCTCTACATCAGCAAGAGAGCCACCGAGCACGCACCGAGAGAGAGACGGAGTAAGCGCTAGTGAGAGAGCGAGAGAGAGAGAGACAAAGCGCGCAGCTGAGCGACAAGGAACGAAAGAGAGCGAGAGAGAAGCACAGAGTGAGAGAGAGAGAGATAGAAAGAGAAAGAGAGGGACGAAGAAATAGAGAGTTCATCGGCGTCCTACTTACTTGTACTTAAATCCTCGTCGCAGTGCAATACTTGAACCAATACTAGACACTGTCACCCTGTACAGACTAGTTGAACACTGAAAACTGATCCGTTTTATTAAACGTACAGTGAAGTTAGCACGAACTCAGTTGCTCTATGTGAGTCCATTCGAAAAAGTACAAAGCGTGTCCACCTACGGTATATAGGCCTTATTCTCCGGCTTTGGTTAGAAACCTCCGCCTAAGTTGGCTTAATGGCCGAGCTGGCCACTTCACAATAGCAGTTCACTTTGTTTTATAGCTTCAGAGCTAGGTAACTCTAACTGCTTGAATGGTTGGTTTGTTGATTGCTGAACTTGCTGCCTGGCTGGATACCTGGCGTTCTCAATCCTTAGCGTAGCAGCAACTTTCTCATTTCTACAAGAACCTCATTCCAGCTCGCCAACACACTGGACACCGCGATGATCCTCTTCGTGAAACCACGTCATATGGAATATACACACTTTCTGTGTGTACATCACACACCGTGAGGCAGATAGATACATACGCACGTATATGTACGTCACACGCACATAAATGTATAAATTACGCGCGTGTAGATTTTCTCTCGTGTAATCTTCAAATAAGCGTCTATACTGTGTTCGAGCTAAGGCTGACACTCGCGTCTCCCTCTTTACGATCTATTCGGAACTTCGGGCGGACGGGAAAAAACTGTCAAAGTATCTAGAAAGGACAGAGATTTTGTCTTTTATTATTGGAATTGTAATTAGCGGACGATGCCATAAACGCGCTTCCGGATTTTGCACTACCGACCTGACTTCGCGAGTATGGCCGTGAAGTGTAGTGCGCGTCAGCAGGAGTAACATTCGACAAGCTAACGGTACTTAGCCACCGGGCGGCAGGTTCGGGCAATGCCGTACTTCGCTGCGCTTTACGTTACGTTTGCGTCCTACGCCACGGAAAAACAGACACCACGACGCTCCTGGCGTAGACGACCTCACGATACGCGCGCCTGTCCTCTTGTTTCCTTATGCACGTTGACGATGACTTAGTGGTACTCCGATTTAATCGATTAACTTCCGTTGCAATATTTGTATTTCTGATGTGAATATTTTACTGTGACATCGTTCTAGTAACTGATAATACATTATTGTCTTTCTTTTGCAAGACGTAATAATATTTTATCGTGATTTATTAACGATGTCGGAACTTACTCGCTTAGAAAATATGACGCCTACGGAAGCGCCATCTCGGGATTGACTTGTGGTACTAATGATTGAGCGTGGGACATCTAATTTTCAGGATTTTATTACAACACATTTTGTTATGAGCAATAATGACGTTGATTGGTATTTATTTTTAGATGGTTAATAGTTCGTTGAGAATAATCTTCTTTGGACTACTGGGTACATTATTTTTATTGTAACTGTCATGCGCTGTACAAACCTTGCATGCGCGCGCAACGTATCGAATTTGTATTTATGTTAGGTTGGGTTTTTGCAGGATTTCAACACTGGAGCACCGAGGGCAGCATAGTCGTCTGAATATTTCGCGCGCAACATTTTGAAGGTTGAATGTAATTGTGTATAATATTTATCTGTCACGCTGTAGGTAATGTTTTTACTGAGAATAAAGAACATGATTAAAAATTAATATGTCATTTTTTTTATTTGAATTGCATCTATATCATTTTAATGAACCCAGTAATGAAAATTAGATGGAGTCATTTATCAATGTCTTCTACACGAGATTTCACAGAACTTGACACATTATGTCAGTGACATGTATGTCAGTTAATCGAGGAAAAATGATAGTGAAATGTCCATATATATTTTGAAAATGTCCTAGAGGATTCAAATGATCCCAGTGAACGCAGGGTCAGTAAAGATCAGACATTCTTTGCATGCGTTCCATATATAAAGAATACAAGAGCTTGTTGTTTTCGTAATAGAAGGGATTATCATTGGCATCAAGATCAGGTCTATATTCTGCAGTGTAGCTACTTTTACTGGAACTACAGCCATCGCAGGATGAAGATGATGAAGAACCCTGAGATGGTTCTGCGTGGTTTGGTGACGGCATAAAGTTTCTATTTTCCCAATCTGATTCCATCTTCGCCTGTGAACTTTCTTGTAATCGAGCAGCATAGCCATTTATGTGAAGATTATTGATCCTCTTGCTTAGTGGCATAAATTCTCCAGACTCCTCTTCGATAGTGCGTCCTCTTTTCCTGAAGAATATTCAAACAACGCAATAAAGAAAACAGCTTTAACCTCTTGTTTAAATTCTTATTATTGTATATCCCTTGTTATAGGGATTAGTCATAGAGATTGACGAATTTGATAAGTCATCAACGTCATGTAAATATACACTAACCTGTTGGCTTGTGTCATCTTCAATGTAGCTGCTCTCTTGTCAGAGCTTCTACTACGTGAACCCTCTTGATAATGTCATATTGCTATACTTTTTATATATCTTTAATACACCCTGAATTCACTCTGACCACTGGAAATATCAAATAATATTTCAAGCACAACACTTTTAAATCAGGCAACTCTGGATCTTCCAGGATGTTTCTTTCACTCATCAGCCATGTTCGTTTACAGATGACGTTCTGTCGTTTCCCAAGAATCCGCTAGAGGCGTCCCAGAAAAATTAGTCGTTAAACAATTACATCTTTTTAAAAAAAGCATATTAATTAAACATTTGATTACCAAATCAACTAAATAACTTTGCTTAATCTCTATCGCTTATATTAACAGGAGATATCTACGATTACAAAAATGATAAATTGTATATAATCAGGATATTCAATGTAAAGGCAATTTTGAGTATTTAAATATTTTTCAGCAGGAACATACGAGCATATCCTAACGATTAGGACGAAATAACGTCAGCTCAATGTTATATGAATAAAAGAATACAAAAATAGACAAATTTATTGATTGTGCATTTACGAACATACAATATGGACTTGGCCTAAGCAAACGGTTGCCGCGGTAACATTTGAGCACAACAATGCACACTTCACGGGTAAAAGTTGCAGTATCACTACGGAAAGTTAAAAACCAAAGAGAAAATCTATCCTAGGATTGAGTTATACCCAAGCAACAATGGCTAACAATGTACTTAGCAATGGTAGAATACAGCACGCTACTGCAGCACAACGTTTAAGTACTGACAAAGCAAAGAAAGGTAAAATCTTTACGTTTTCATTATCAACTGTGTCCACAATGAAAATTATACAAATATTTAACGGCATTTCCATAAGTAAAAATTATCATGGAACATACGGTTATTACCAATTGCTCGTGTTAATATTATCTCAAATTTGTCTATTTCAAAATCTTTCGTTTTATTAGTACCGGACATACCAGCAATAGAGAGTCGAAATTGGTTATTGCACAGGCATTATACACGGCACGAGTATAAAATATGCAAGATTCTTATTCAGGAGGAATTAACGAGATCCAATGGACACAATGAATATGCTAATTACTTGCAGGTAAGTGTCGAAGTTTTTGCTGAATTAAATAAAAGATGTATTCTTAGTCAAAGAAGAGAATTTCCTTGTGTACAAAATTGATTATTTTCTTTATAAGGGAACCTCGTTTTTGTTTCAGGGTCTGATAATGAGAAAAGAAGGGAAGATACAGGATTCACTAGATTGCTTTCAAAATGCGTACAACGTAAATTCACGAAATGTGAATAACGTGAAGCAGATAGCTAAATCTCTGTACGCAAAAAATATAACAATTTTTATACTCAATAAAATAAAATTAATAAACTTATATCTTAGGTATTTGTTGGGCAGCCACAATCGTGCTCTCGAGGCTTATTTGGAGGCTGAAAGAATTTCTGCAATCCCAGACTGGGAGATTTTATATAATATTGGTAAATTACTCTCAATTATAATTATATATGCACATTATAACATCGGTTAGGCCCGTTACTACGATTTTAATATAGGGTTTTCTTTCTTTGTATCACCAGCTTATGTATGGTACAATTTAATATTGGTTGTCACGAATTTTAAGTTAATCTGATATTTTGATGTACTGAAACGAGGAATAAATAAATCTCTACAGGCAGGATCCATTAAGCGATATATCCGTTTAATGCGACAAGTATTAATGATACGAGATACTTATCGGGGAAGTGTTCTACCGGCTGTAATATCTTTTCGTATAATTTAACCCCACTGCTGGATCAACGTAGTTCCATTATACCGGCTCAAGAGAATTTGACAAAGTGCGAGTTCAGTATTTTAGAACCAATCGGGATATACAGTCCAAAATAAACCTTGACAACACAAAAATAGATGGATGAATGGGAAAGTCATATAAATAATATAAAGCTATTTAAAATCGACTTTCGGTCCAGTGTCTAATATTTATGCCTGATTAAAATTTATTTTAATTCTAATTGTTTACAGGCGAGTGCTATACCAGATTCGATAAACGTGAGGAAGCCAAGAAGTATCTCAAAAAGGCTGTTGATCTAACGAAAGATGAGATGCCTCATATTGCTTTGGCAAAACTGTATATCATGGACGATCAAGTTACAGAGGCCGTCGGTGTTTACACATCAGCCTTAGAGTTTGTAGAGCTTCATTGAATTTGAGAATGTTTTCCAGTTTCTAAAATACGTATATTACGTTAAGCTTTGAGATGCCGTTGGTGTAATATTTTGAAAGGCAAGATCAAACGCGGGGAGCAAACAAAAGATAGGTTAATAATCATCAAGATTTCATGGCTCCATTAATACTAAAAAACAAAAACAGTTGCGAAATTGATAAAATTCTTAATTTATATTTGAAAGCTTATCTCTAACTGTTTCAGTGAATTCCAAGTATCTGAAACGTCAATGAAGTAAGGGAACAAAGAAAACTTGACCTTGAGCTCCTTTAGAAATTAATTTGAAAATCAATTTCTTCTTTGTTTTTTCGAGTCTGGGTTACCTAATGACAATGAAGTGTGTCTTCTCCATACTTCACAAAAACTTTCTTTTACCTACTCAAAAGAGCAACCGAATTAGCAAGCGTCAACGATTCTCATAGATAATTCAAATATTAAAATATCATCCTATTACGCAAACGTTATTAAATAATCCTTCGACCATTCACCTCCTCAGTGGTTCTCCTCAAAGTGAGAATATTGCTACGGAATTGGGTCTACTGTATTTAAAGATGGGCGATACCCAAAGAGCGTTCCAGCAATTCGGCTCAGCCTTGGCACAATCACCAACATGTTCAAAAGCTTTATTACCCATGGCGTCCATAATGCAGGTACAGTCCAAAGCCCACTAATACGGTATACAAGATTTTTCACCAGTTAATTATCTTCTTCATAACCTCAGACACACCGTGATTACGACGTGGCTTTATCAAAATACAAAATAGCTGCACAGACCATACCAGAGTCGTCTGCCCTCTGGAATAACGTAGGAATGTGTTTCTATGGAAAGCAAAAATTCGTCGCTGTAAGTAAAAATGTAATTTAGATTTATTGAATCAATATTAAATTTCTACATCTTACAAGACAAAGTCTATTGTGCTCTAGGAAAGCTTCACGAGACTGTATAGGGTTAGGATACATTTGAAATCCTTTTCATAAATACATGCCATCTTACCAAACGTAGGACTCATGTTTATCTTGATACAAATAAAATATTTAATTAGAATAAAACAATAATAAACAATCCAATACCATACCCATTGTCCAAGTCCACATTCTCGTGTTGCTAAAGATTTTCAATAGAAGAGCCAAAACCTTTTTTTCTCCGACGCGCGATACTATTGTCATTCTGACGCAATATCCGGTCGACTGATCATCGACGAGATGAGAAGATGTTTTTCGCGTTTAGCTAAACAGTGTATGGGTGTGTGTATATATATAAGTTTAGGTAACCTTTATTTAGTTTCACCCCGGTATACGGGACGAAACAGAAAATATACGGCTTCCGTCTGGTTTGCCACCCTGCGCCCTAATATTATTTATTGTCCAAAGATGTATGGAGGGATGATATTGCAGTAGGTTAAATTTCTTCTTGGTTACTTTTACATGGTGAATAATGCTTCGCATTAGATATAAATGAAACCGGTCTTCTTCATCGCGCAGAAATAGTCTGGATTAAAGAGGATGGATGATACCTCGAATCATTATTACTTGCATTGTGTTTCTTATTGGTGTTTCCAGGCGATCAGCTGCTTGAAGAGGGCGCATTACTTGAACCCAATGGCCCTGTATCCAGCTTGCAATTTGGGAATTGTCTTTTTGACAACTGGTCAACCAGCTTCGGCTGCTACTTATTTGTGCGCAGCTGTTTCCGCAGGTCCGATGCATCCTTCGCCATATTTGTTACTGGGACGTGAGTGTCTTTCGATATTTCTCTGCTTGTCAACGAAGCGTCCTTTGTGCTTCCTTGGACCTCGGTATCTGGGTCGACGCGAAACAATCGTCTTTACGAACGCCGAACGTATCTGTAATATTGAATTTCTCGTATATCGGAAAACAAAGGAAATATCAAATGCGAGATACAGTTTGTATATACTTGTTTATTTGTATATTTTACAGTCTATTTGTATATTTGCATATTTTTATATTTTACTTGTCCTTATCCGGCTCAGGAAATAAAATGATGCATATTAATAAAAGATTTTTAGGTAGAAATAAGTATTACAAATATTTTCTTGTATTTAAGGAAGAATGTACAAGGAATCAAATATTTCTTTTACCTCCACCAACTTTTACCAGTTTCAATGCCAATGTACATATATATCAGCAATACTGGTATACATGTATACAAGTGAAAAGAATTTTCTTAGAAATTACATAAGAATTTTAAAAATTCTCTGGAATCCTCATTTCCCTCTGTAGACTAACTAATGAGAGCAGAACAAAGTCTTGCCGGGCTATTATATTTATTTATATTAATTTTAAAAAAAGAATACGTGGCGTTCAGATAATAATTTCTTAGAAGTTAAACGATCTATTGATTTATGAATTTTTTAGTGGCTCTCAGGCAACTGGATGATTTGGAGGCTGCGGAGAAGGCATTAACGAAGGCACATTCCCTAGCACCTCAGGATCCCTTGGTACTTATTAATTACGCAATTATTCTTGACGCCAAAGGCGACCAGAAAAGGGCTGCTGACACTTTGACAGCGCTAACTGACGTCTCGGCGGTAATTAACGTTGATCCCGAGGTGGGTGCGCCTACAAATTCATGTAGGTTAGGGCTGGGCCCGTTTGCATATATGCAGATTTCTATTCAGATATTCAAATGATATTTGCCTGATATCGATATTCCGATATTCTAACGCAGGTTGCAGAAACTGCAAGGAAGCTGACAGCCAAGCTACGTCGTAGCGACAACAGCAAGGACGAGAACGAGAGAATTTTAAATGACGACGAGGTCTGAAATTTCTTGTGAAATTCAAAACTGACACCTAAAGACTTTTCTGATTCTGGTGTCAAGACACTTCGAGATGCTTGGACGCTGGGTCAATGAAAATATATTGAAATGTCAACCTACAGAACTTTCAGTGTTTCATTAGTGTACAAGGAAGTTATTATTTTTAATCTTTCATTTGTTTTGAAAATGAAATCCTGAGCATGCTGTATTGTTATTTATTAGTTATATCATATGCATCGAGGTTAATTGGGCTCTTCCACAGAAGATTCACCCTCCCAGTCTTGACCCAGAAATTGAATCGGCTTCCCACAATTTTCTCACAGCACGCAAAGACCTTCTTACGCAGTTCAGTCACGCGCAGCCTTCCAAGAGACCTCGGGTTGCCCTGCGGAAGCGGAAAATGAGAAACCGAAATATCAGATAGAATAGAAAAGTCTATTCGCTACTTCTTTTCTCTTATACCTAAACTGATGATCATCTTTTATTTCTAATAACCCCTGACCCGGATGTTGCCAGTCGACCTTCAAGGATATGCTTCCTGTCTCTTTATAAAGAATAAAAGACTGGGCAGCCGTGACAAAGGATCGGATTTTGACAGATTTAGTTTTTATTCATGCTTAAAAAAAATATATTACTTTATACGTTATTGACTGCGCATGATTTTTGAAAGATTTTTGACATTCGTCAATGTCTAATTCACTAATTGAAAAATATAACATTTTTGACAGTTTTGTTCAATTTAAGATGGAAAAGATCGCGTGATTTTATTTTTCCATTTAGGAAACATTGAGTTTTGGTGTCTCAGATACCCCACCTGACCACTCCCGAGTTAATTACGATATTCATGAGTCAGGAAATTAGTTTTTCAAACGTCAGACTCCTCCGTTATATATGCCAAATAAAACGTGTTAAAGGAATTCAACTTGACTGTATACTGTGTATACAATAAGATGCACAATGGTCACTGCAGAAATTGAAATGGTTTTATAGGAACAAAAGAAGTTTCTATGTGAATTACTGGTAATAAAATTACAAGACTTCAACGTCGAATGGTATATGAAGAAAAGAATTCGTCGCTTCCAGACATTCCTGGAAGTCGGACATTTGTTCGTGTATGTGGAAAAATGTGGATCGATGTCAACAGACGGGAAAAGGTATTTTCATACGTGACAACCGAACGTCAAAGAATTCTTGATGTTAAACCATTGGCTGTGACGGTCGCAATGAGAAAAAAGGCAGCGTCAGGACGAATTGTAAATAAAATAACATTTTTCGTAAAAAATTTCCATCTTCGTAAGGAATTTTATACTCAAACAAATTTTCTTATTTTCAAAGAAATAATTCTAAAAAAAAATTTCCCTCTCAGCGATATACCAGATCCAAGATGTTATTTCGAATCATCCTGTTCTCTTTTTCCACCTTTCTCAAGGTACAAACAAATGAATCTCAAAATTCAAGCGAAAATTATTACACCATTTTATTAACAGCTACTCAGCATAATATACAACGTATACTTAACAAATAAATAATCGAAAGCTCGGATTCCCAGCTGGGCTCAATAGATGGAAATCCTCGCGCTTCAAAGTTTTTTTTTCTTTTGAGGAACACTTTTTTACATACTCTTACACACACTCTCTCTCTCTCTCTCTCTCTCTCTCTCTCTCTCTCTCTCTCTCTCTCAATTTCATTCTCTCACTCTTACACGTACAAACATCATAAAGTCAATATCCCAGCGCACAAAAACTTTACATGATATTTATAATCGATGCTTACGCAACTTTTACAAATTATTTATACCAACCGTTTACATTAAAAACTAATGAACAACGTATCACTATAAATATTTATTGGCACAAACGCACGGGTGCTGTTAACCCAATTTTGTCTTGTGAAACAGCAACAATTACACAACACGTTATTATAGCTATTACACGGGATATTATATACAGTAGTTGGCAATAGGCGTCATTACAATTCGTTGTTATTTGTACATACATTATCGTTTAGCTATTATAAAAATAATTAATACTCGTCACACTTAAGACTGAAAAACGGTATCTTACAGTACTGAAATTATGATCTGGAGATCAGTGATCTTTTGCTGTATCTCAGAGTGTCTAAATTTTTCTTTGTCAGCGTAGAAAAGCTAAAAAATATATCTAACGTCAACGAGATGTCTTAAAAGTCTGTTGTATATGAAAATTTCTCGGACACCCCTTATACGTTTATAGATATACGTATTATCGATTTCTTATCAGTTTTCTCAGCTCCTCCTTTCTCAAACGACAATGACCATTATTCCCCTCTAGAAATATGCAACAATGCTGCACCTTATTTGTCAGGATGTTCACAGGATCGCCAGACTCCAATTTGTTTTCAGTGAACTGAATCCTGTTTGATGATCAAAGTGAACAATGTTTTTTACAAAAATATCTCAGATACTTTTGAAACTTCCAGTACCCATACCACAAATGTTCGGTGTATCGTGAGACATTGTAAATTGAGTTTATCAAATTTCAGGCAACGTAGATATTTACATTGTTGTGTATATTAGAAATTTCAAAACTGAATATTCAGCTGACGAGTTGCTCTAAGAGGTGATACTTTTTAATAATAGACAATTGATAAGCGTTGCTTTGAGTTTGCCAAAGTTTTCCCCGTGAGATGGCATTGCTATTTCTTAAACAAAGATTTGACTTCCCTCATGAAATAATTATCACCCCAGCAGAGTGTCTTGGGAGGGAGATGTACCGCGCATAATAAGAGAGGATTTATTCAAACAGCTTTCACATAGATTCTCCTCCTGCTTTCGTAAGTTCTGAAATTTCCAATTATCCTAAGGTCCTCTCTTGTTTGCCAACTGTACACACTTCAAAATCCTAAGTATCTGTGAAGAACAATGATCCTCTCATCAGACGCAAAATAGAGGGTTAACAAGATGAGCTCGCTGAGTGGTTAAAGAGTTAAATAAAGAGAGAGGCCTGAGAATAAATAAAATAATTTTAAAAATACATCAACCCTTATCAATTGCCACAACTAGTAACACTAGTAACCAATAACATGTCGCCATCTATCGACAGTTTGTATGAACATCGAATAAGATGTTTGTTTACGCACGAACTTATTTCCTAAGGAAATACGAAATAAAAGCAACGTATTCGTCTCGCGTCTTCATTTGATCGTTAGGGTGGTAAAGGTACTGGTACAGTCCTTGAGAAAAAGTTCGAACGAACTACCTTAGAAGTTCATAAGGAAGAAAAAGTGGGCTCCACGGAGAGAAGTTAGAACCGGAAGGGTATGAGTAAGCAATTCGAAACGTTAAGATGCGTTTTAAAAGCACGCAGCAGTTTTTAGGCCCCGTCACTTGCATCATACGTAAGTGCTCTGCACGTCGGTCTGTTGAGTCGGTGGATGCCACTTCTTGATAATTCTAGGTTTGAAGAGCTGGCCAAAGGTTGTACGAAATTGTCTGGACATCGAGCAGTAGAGTATAAAGTTGATGGCACCGTTGAGTAGGGCAAGGATATCCATAATCTCGCCGAAGTTATGGTAGCAATTCCTGAAGAAGCAATCTCCCAGTACCCCGGATAACAGGCCGAGGATACCCTGCGGAAATTCGGTGACCAGGAAGAGAAGTAGAACAGCCACGAGCATCCTGGTCGTCCTGTCGGCTCGTCTTTCGGATTTGCTGGCTCTGCGGGAGCATTCGCCGTTGTTCGCCATCGTGCAGGGGTTGTAACCCCTGAGGGCCTGCTTCCTGCTCTTCGCCCTGAGAAGACATTAAAGAGCTATTGTTATATCAAGAAACAGCATGGACGCACATGGGCAGAATTGAGTGGATGAGTGACATGGAGTACTTTACGAAAATGTGATAAATATGGAGTCTCGTCGAGGGTAAAATTCGGCCGGATAAAAATTCAATTATAAAGGTAGAAAGGGAAGGGCCCCAGGTTATGGTAACGAGGGAATGCAAATCTTATGGTAATGAGAGTGTGACATGTTTTGAGAGTTACGAATGAGTGAGCATTAAAGTTATCCTCGATAACTTTTCACCATCCACCTTTCCCATGAGCATCGTCATTGCGTGATCATTCCTCAGGGGCGAATATTTTCTTGTGCTTCAATGGTAACAGATTGGCAAAAATCTCCACGAACGCCCTTCAGCTTGGACTCATATTTGGGATAAAGATGAAACGATTTTTCAGGCTTGGTTAGGGAGCTGAACCAAAGTGCCCATGACGCAACCCCTGTAAAATTATATTCAAATTGAGGTTTTGGAAAGTGAAGTGACATATGGCATTTTTGAGGTCTTGTCATGAGACTTGAAGTCTTTTTTATTAACGTGTCATCTCTTTCATATATTGAAGATAGTCGTGCGACGCCAAGGGTTCATTTGACTTTCTAATCAGCAAATTTGTAGACTGCCACTATATGCAGCATCGAAAGATCCATACCTCCAGGTTACCAGGGTGGAAAGTATCATCATGGACACTTATAATTTTCTTGTAAATCACATCAAGCTCTCTGACGACATCATTTTCAGACCCAAAATCAACGTGCCACGTAGGTTTACCAAATATGCAAAATTATTGTGGACAGCAGACACCTGAACGTGACTTCCGGTCGAGGTGATAACACCAAATACAAGATAAAATTATGAATTTCTTGATAATTAGAAAATAACGAAATCTTCATTTATACAAAATTTCAACGAAATTTTCAGTGTAGTCCCTGAGCTGTGACAACTGTCAAAACGTCAATTCCCACTGCACAGATATACTCAGCCTGTGAGAATGAATAACTGAAAAATTCAATATCTTCATTTTCGTACGACAGACTGTAATAATTTTTTATGGAGACATCAAGGTTATCTTTTACACAGACCAATTTATTTTTTAATAATAACAATCTTGTAATTTCTTTTCACTACCTTTTTAACCCGTGATTCCCTATTGCTGTTATGATCATCATTCCCAGAGTACCTCAAGTGGCTAAATGGACTCTTAGGATAATGAAGATATCTCACCTGTAAAGAGCCTTTATCAGCCAACAACTGATGACGGTAAGGATCAGACAAGGTAATAGCTTTACGACTACTCCAAGGACCCAAAAATTAAGTTGATAAAGGACACCCTTGCTGTCAGAAGGATTCGCGTCGACGTGATAGAGAATCTCCTCGGTACCATTTTCGTAGACTTTTCTCTGATTTATCTGCGGGTAGGAATAAAGAAGAGGTTATAAAATAAGAGCTTATATAAAAAAAAAAAAGTTAGAAATAAAAAGTATAAAAATCCTTCCCCAATGATATTAAAGGGTAGGTAACCGACTGCCATCGATCAGTATGATAATTCACGTCAATTTACATGTCAACGATGCTGTCTGATCTTGATTATACGATAAAAGGATGAAAAGTATCCGTGGCATCTCCTCACCCCAAAAACGAGATAACTTGGAGCACAGGCGATGAAGGGTGCAAGGAAGCTGCACCAAAGGGCTATTCTGCATCTCGATGCTGAACACCACGAGTGATTGTGTTGTGGAAATCTGGAAGAATATATAATTATTAAAACTTAGTGATAACCACGTGACTTAATGACAAAACTTAAATATCACCCATCTAGTAGCTCATGGGACATTTTTTATTCAGGAAGTTATCCCCGGTTGAAGTTTTCATTTCGTTTAAGGCGAATCTACACGAACGACATCCACCGTCTTACCTATTTAGACTCATTGAAAGAAGTATCTAACAGTTTGTATCATTGAGAAACATCAGTCATGGAATTTCATCATGAAATGAAAGTTACGTCAGTTTGATCAACGTCGCTCGTAACGAGAATCTTTGAGAAGATCAAAAGTTCTGAATGCTTTGCTGCCTCGAGTAGCGTGAGCTTCGAGAAGGGAGGGTTTGCATGCCGGTGAAAAACGAAAGAGTAGAAAATTTCAGCGGAGTAATAAGTAAATTTCAAAGCTTTCCCATAATCGTGCCAGTCCCTGTAAATAGCATTAATTAAGCGAAAATTAGAAATAATAATTTTCCGCGATTTCATCGGACACGATGTCAAGTGACGTGAAACGTAGAAATCAGAGAGAAAAAAAGCGAATGACATCATGGCTAAGTACAGATTAAATTGAGAGAGAAAAAAAGACACTAGAAAATGAAATAACAGCAACGAATCTATTGTTTTCGATTTTTTCCAATTTGGACTTCGTTATACCAAGGATCACATTAGTCTTCGAAAATACCATTTCTTTGACCCTGAACGCTCCTACTTTTTGTCACAGAGTGTTGATTGGATGTTCTATGGCTTTTTACGTACAGCGAAACACGAAAGGATCTCGAACTATTTGCCAGCGTCTTAAAGGTTACCCGCGAAGATCATTAACCAATCTGTCAAGTGCAGAAAGCGCTACGCGAAATTGTCAAAAATTAATTAAAAGGGCGGATTGCAATTGATGGTAAATAAATAATAACCAGGACGTTAAATAATTATTAACGACCATCAAAAAGTTATTAAACGCTATTACGCGAACCTCGTGTAGATTTATGGAAATGTACCGAAGCCTCGTTAATTACATGCTAAAATTATCCTTGTACATTTTACACCGTTCACGGGTAGAAAATATACGTACGGAATAAATACACGTAGATATTTGCAGACAGGAAAATAAACCACTTTGCCTATGCGATTTGCATGATAATCTCTTATCGTTAAGCTCATTTTATTACGCGCCATAATCTATGCAAATAGCTACACGTGTGTATGTACGTAGATTAACCGTGCTAGCTCGTGAGCTTACCGTTAATACGTTACAAGGGCTGATCTTATGGGTTAGAAGATTTCGAACAATGGCAAAGCGTCGATAACAACCAACAATTGGTGTACGAACAATCGGATGAAACAGTTTTGTTATTGAAAATTAATTGCGAAATGCTGACTTTATTTCATATGACTTCGAGAGTCTGCTTTTACTTTTTTATATCGATTCTGATTATTGTGATCTCGTATCTCTCGTAGTTGATGAAAAGATTTCGGATCGAGTCTCATTTGCGGCCTTCGCGTATAAGAAAAAGGAATCTGCAGTTTTTGTTACCGACTGTGGAAGCTTTTATTAATAATATTGTTGCGTCATAATCCGGGTGACTGTACAGATGAGACTGTCTCTGTAGGTATGATTTTGTTTGTTTGTAACGTGACACGTGTGATTATCGTTTGCAGACTCATTTTCTTTCATGTATTTTCGTCGCACGTTGGTCCTGTGAATAGGGTTTGTTTATTAGCCAGTTGGAACAAGAATATACGAACGAAATTTGATGACTTTAGGAACAACTATTATTTAGTATGTCATGTCGTGTTATCGGTGGAAAATTTATCATAGACATTTTAATGAAAAGCTAGTACCCGTCGAACGAAATTGTGTATTCTGTCAACAATGTTTTCAATTAGGGTTCTTCGGAAAAATCAAACGGACCAATAAACAGCGTTGAAACTGTAAAAAAAGTGTCAGGGACAAATTTGTTTTTTACCAATAAGAAAATATTGGAAACTGAAAAACTAATGGTTAAGTAATCGCTGCTATGTTGATTGTGGAAAATTTTAAAATGGCTGTCACGAAAGGCATTATCCACGAGAAACAGGAAATCGAGTGAAACGTGCCCGGAGAATAAATTCGCAAGGGCCTACATAGATATAAGGGAAGCATCAATTTCCCGCAATCCTAATCATGAAACATGAGTCGACAGAGTTCAGAAGTTTATCTTCGAAGAATCGACGGCAAGGATCATTAACGCATTTGTGTTTGGCGAGACCGAAATATCTATATGGAAAAGTTGATAACTCTGAGTCATGAATAATGTACGATAGGGTGAAATAGGAAGGAAATGTACCGGAAAGAATCACAGTAGCAGAAGGTAAATCCAAAAGCATTTGTAAGTCGTAACAACTTAACTGAACAAAATGTACACATTAATGGTGCGAGCAATTACATGTATATCAAGCATAACGCAAGTAAACAGCATCCGTCCTAATCTACGGTAAGCCTCGATTATCAAAGATTCTCATTACTCAAGGAAATACAACTACGACTGAAACATGAAGTTGATTTAGTAAATTGCTAGTCAAACATTCCTGACAGGTCTGAAGGCATGGCAAATGTAATTGAAATTCATGCCATAGTCAAATATTCTCCTTAAATACAACGTCCTGGGTAAATTGCCTGACAAAGCTTCTAAACACGCCCAGCAAATCCTGGCAGTAAAATGCAGAACATGCGGCTGTAGATAAATTTCGTACGAAAGGTGGTTTTCAAACACCCAGGGAAAAAATCATCATAACCTACAAGAAAAAACAAAGTGTTTTCTTAGGATAATCTAAGTGAGCTTTTATATACACGAATTTTGCTCAACACTGTTGGTATTTGGTGTTGAAAATTTGTAAGCCCGCACAATCCTGTCTATACGACGATCTCGCGAAATTGGTGTTACCGTCTGGTGAATTTCTCTATTTGAAGAAATCGGTCTAGTTACCAGCTACTGGCACGTCTCATTAATGGAAAGTCAACAAGGAAAAGAAGGAAGATATAAGAAAGACAAGAAAGATTAAAATAATGCATTACTTTCACTCACCTGATCGCGATGTATCTCCATACTGCCAGAGTCAAGGTAAGTCCTATACTGATAGTGTGAAGAACCTGAGTGAAGTGCATATGAAAAAGTATAAAGACTGCCCATCTAAATGGAAATATTTTATGATCTTGTGAGGCAATGTAACGATAAGCAGCAAACGGAACGTATTCGACCATAACCAGCATGTCAGCCATAGCGAGACCCGTCAATATCCTGTTAATGGGCGCAGTCGCCATGTCCTTTCTAGTTAGAACAACGATGTTAAGCATATTAGCAACGGTGCCGAAAATGCAGACCATCAGAGCAACGTATCCGTGATAAACTTTGTAAGAGAGCGCCAAATCTCGCACTACGCCGTTGCAGTAGCAGGGCACCGGCACTGAGTGCACAGTCGGAAGAACGGCGAAGCTGAAGTTGTTTACATAGTCGATATCCTCTTCGGTGATGTTTAACTTCCGAAAGATGTCGCTAATGTTCTCGTGATGATTCATCGTCTTTACGCCACGGAGTAGTTGCTTCAGATAGAGCAGAGACGTGTTCAGTTGGTTGAATTGCGTGTCGTAGTCCGTATGGTGTAACATGACATTTTATAGGTTATCGTAACGGCGGGTATAAAATCAAAGATCGTAAGATCGTGTCGTTGGTTGTACGTTATTTCATAAGTTTTGAGTTTACTAGCTTCTTGCTTGATTCTCGTGACACCACTTTAATTACGTTGTGAAATTTAAATCAATGGTGGAGAACTTTTCTTGTTTGGAGATTCGTCGAATGTCAATACAGCCCGTACGGCCTCAGCGTGGATTGAGGCTCTTCCGAACTTCGAGGTAGACGCTTGCGACAATATTCATTACGCTCGAAGATTAATTCAGCGTCGGAAGAGAATCTGCAAGAGAATTACGCATTTTAGAGATACACGTTGCTCTTGAATTCAAGAGCATACTTTGGCTATGTATGTTTTATTATCGTTTATTATTTGCCCGAGTAAATGTACTTATTGTCGTCAAAACTTTTATTCCTTGGCCGTTACAAACGAAAAAGATCAACTTTTTCTCTTATACTACTGATCGCTACTACCCGCTCTCGCTAGCCAGCTTCCTTTCTTTTCCGCTTTGCCGTGCAGCGCCTTTCCTTGCATTCCACTTTTTTTCCAGCGGAGTCTGGCTCTTTCCGCTTCATTATTGAAAAAACTTGAAATCGGAAAAGAAATGTATGTTGAAGGTTGAAAACTTTCGGAATTTTGATACGCAAATGGGTTTTTTCGTCGCGGCGCTATTTTCTTCTCCCCAACAGATTGATAGACCCGATCGAGAAGAAAGTGGCATGTAAAATTGTGACCCTTATTTACATGCTTACTGAGGATAAGGATATTCAAATACGTATAAGAAGTTTGGAATGGAAATTCTCGAAAATAAGGAATTCTTGGTGGGTGATTTAGCGAGAGATTGACAAGTAGGTAAAACAATAACGGCAAGGGTGGAGTAAAAAATTCTAAAAAAATATACATGTTATCCTTATGTGTATACAAAACGGGAGAGATATTTGTAATCTTTAAAAAATTGTATTACTTCTACCTCTTTTCCCGCAGAAAGGTAAATATATTTTGAAGTATTTGTTTCTCCTCAGATAAACGTGGGGTGTATCAGACCAACGGGCTTTTAAAAATATTTATGAACCATAATGGCAATGGCTCTTGACATACAAATTGAATTACAGCATATTACGATCAACGGCCATTTTCTTAACCCTTAAACTGCTGGCAATTTAAAAATTAAAATGCAACTTTTTTCCGTGCACATTCTCATATAAATGTTGCCAATGTATGGGTCGATGTGTAAAAGTCATCAGGTAGCGCAAAATAGCGTCGCACCGGCAGGCTAAGCGTTAAATTCGTAAATTGATATTCAATATTTTAATTGACCAAACAGAAAGCTTAAGAAACACTTAAAACACTTCCTTCATTTAATTTTCAATGTAATTTTCAGCCTGTCTTGAATCCGATTATACCTGAAAGGGAACTGAGTGGAACGTCATAACCTCAAATATGGGATATTATAGTTTATAAGAATGCAATAATAAATTTTCATGCAAACGCAGTGTATGCATACTTTTGCAAGCTGTATTGTTACTGAGATAACACTTGTATGTGGAGTAACTGACTAAAAAAGATATGACTTGTACGTAATTTTTGAGGTGTAAAATGCCCGTGTTAAAACTGCCCTTTTTCGCAATTATTCCTCAACTATGCTTCACACAATTTCCAGTTCAGTAATCGTACAATTTACGCAGTTATGGATATACTTCATTTCGATAAAGATGGTGCATCAATCTCGTACAATTTACGATTTTCGCGGTTGGAGATTCTAGATGGCAGTCGACACTCCCCAAGTCCTCTTATCAGATGCGATAATAATAATAAGACAAGATAGTGGATGTAAAAAAATAATCCATCAACAGTCGCTGAACTACGTAATTCATCTAAAATCATGTACAATCAATATCCATGGTAACGGTATCCTTGGACCGTGTTCCAGTTTGTTTTTTTTAATGTCCATTATATATGGACGATTAAATTAATACTGCGTGTCATGAAATCGGATACAAAACGTTCACATTCTGCAGTTCGTTAAAATTTTTCAAAGTCACCGTTGTGCTTGAGAATATCATCACATTCAAATTACGTCATCGGTCCCTGGTCGGTATGTTATACATTGATAATAACATTGATTTTCCAGTATCTGGTTAGCATCAAGAATATTCTCCAATATGCCACACGTGTTTATAGCTTGAAAGGCAATGAACGAATCAGCGCCGCCCCTGGTATCGTTGGTGTACTACGATATGTCCCACATGCGTATTTCCATCGTAAAGTAAGATATTGCGTGGGATAAAGTAACATAAAGGGAGGAGAGAGACGATAGGATTAAATTTCGTTCGCCTGAGATAATAAAGTACACATATTTTTAATTGCGTTCAGCAAGCATCTACAAAAGAAGAAAAAAAAATGAAAATGAAGAGTGAAGTTGTCTCGTTCGCAAAGGAAATAATTTATCGAGTAAGAAGGAAAATTTTAATGCCACAACCTTGTACCGAGATGGTAAATCTTTGGGAAAATAAAAAATAAAATAAAAATCCTTTCTCGCCACAAGATAGAAAGTTACTCGACAGAAGCCGTTCGTGCTTGTCCTTGGTTTCTTTGTTCTAAACTTCGAAGTTAATTTTATCTGTTTATACTTGACTCTACCCAGCGCAGCTTTTGAAAATATTATACAGTGAAAAGTAAACTTTTCTCAAAAGTCCGTGCGTTGTAATTCTTAAACAACGTCCAATCTGTTCTGAGACACTGGGGTTATGGGCAATAAAGAAGTTTGCGAAATTTCGAATAAAACAAATAAACATTCTTTTAATAGACAATCATTGCGTAATTTCGTTTGACGAATATCGAATTTCTTGTTAAATCTGCACGAGAATTTAAGGAGTCACGAAGATTCATGCCGCTTAATCTTCGTACCTTTATTTGCTATTGGGATTTGACGTGTGACGCTTGCGACATCTGGCGGCAAAGCATGGAAGTTCTATGAACGCTTGGCGTGCATGTTTGCAGAAGCTGTTTGGCCTTGTGTATATTAGCTGATGAAAAGACTCGTTGACAGATATTTTCTACTGAAAGCATTTTAAACTAATAATATAATTGGGCATGCATTAATTTTGAAAGAGTAATCTAATATGACATCATATTGTGTACGTTATACGTAACTCTAGCTCAGACGGTCGAGTTCAAATACGTGTCATTGTCTTTCTCTTCCGTTCTTCCTTCCACATGTCGAATACATAATCTTCTGAAACTGGAGGGACATTTCAGTCGTGTACGACTCTGAGTTCTACGTTTACGAGGGATACAAAAGGACCACTCGGATTCGTCTCCCCCTAAACCTGTGAGTTCTTCGAATTTCATGGATTCATTCCGGGATTAAGGAGATATCTGTGAATCTCTCGTATCTCCGTGGCTCCCTTTCACGGAAAGCTATCTTATAAGCTTGAATCTACGTTATCGCTAGTTGAAATTACAAGGAAAAATAATCACGAGCACATCGAGCGCGGTCGTAGAATGTTCTTTGAATTTCTTTTAAGTTTCTTCAACTTGGATGAATTTTAATTTGTAAAAGATGAGTGTTGAGTGAACCAGTTCTATGATTAAAATATAACGAGTAACGACTCAAGTTTCGTACTTATTTTTTATTTACAGTCCAACTTTGGTAAGTATCTTAAGGAGGTACGATTGTTTATTATATATAGTAATTTTATTCTTTTCGCGAATAAACGGTGTAACGCCCTTTTCAAAATTATTTACTGTATAAGATATCGGCGTTGAATCAAGCCGAAAGTCAGAGACTTGTAAACTTTATAATTCTGGCACATCTCCTCATTGAAGGAGTCAGCCATAAGGAAAGGAAGGAAGGAAGGAAGGAAACTTTATAATTTTCATACTCCATATTGTTAAAATATAAATGTTAATTATTATTAATATATATATTTTATAATTAAAAAACGGTGATATTCATTCTTAACATGAAATATTTATCCGAGAAAAATTTCTTAAATCACTGTAGACAAAATTTGATAATATCAACTACCAGCTACGATCATGGAAAATTTGTTTGGTCCAACCTACACAGATTTTAATTAAATGCATTTAATTATCCAGTCGTACGATTTTATTCCCTATTTGAAAAGCATTGTGTTAGGATGTCTCAGGCATTCAACTCCTCCATCCCCGAATTAAATGGACTAAATTTTGTTTGAGGCTACAAAATCTTTTTGTCAGTGTACAATCAAAATATTTTTCCAGTCATAGAAATCCTGACGAATTATATTACTGCCGTTTCAAAAGCATTAATGCGAATGAGTATTTTTTCAAGCTTTACCAAGGACAACAAAATATTTGACATGTATTATATTTTCTGTAAATTATAAAAATTAAAAATTCATTTAAAAAATAGCCCTTAACGCTTAGCTTGGCTTTTGAAATTTACTTGACGCGACTCTGTTTTTCGAAAAAAAAAAAAAAAAAAATCCAGCGGTACGTAAAGTGGATTAAAATTCTTACGAGTTGCACTAGAGATCTGACATCCCTCGATGTATTTTCCCTTGTCTCAAGAAAAAAAAGTGTCTGTATGCCGAGAAAATGCTTTTCTTCAACAACATTATGCACAGCCATTTCGTTTTATCAAGTGGAATGCGGATTATCCGCGACTGAAAGTCAAGGAGACCGACTGGCATTTCTGATAGCAAAGTCTCGTTACGCCTGCTGGTTTAACGAGGTTGCGCAGTAAAAAATAAATTATGTTTTCAGATCCTTTGCGACGACGTGTAAACTAAAAGCAAAAATTCATGCTCGACAATCACACTTGATTTACATATAGCTATAGTCCCTGCGGTTATCCCACGATGTAGCTTAGTACTGATAATACCGAATAACAAGAACACAAAGATTCCTATATGTCGGGCGTCCTAGCGTGACGTAATCTCGTTTGAAATTTATAATTTGTTCGCTCGACGAATCAGCCTCTGATCGACTAACGGAAGTAAGGCTGGGATCTTGAGAAAATCAAAGAACCAAAGGATGCGCACGTTGGTAATAAAAATGAGAAAACTCTTTTATTTAGAACCTAAAATAATCATAACGATTCTCAAGGTTAGTAAATCACTGAAATTTCATATCGCGCGAATGCCGCTAGTCAAAACATCGAACAGACGCTGCGTACCGTAGTCAGTCGATCTATCGTAAAATCGAATTTATGACTCTCGATTTCGAGATCGAGAAAATCGACACTCATTAACAACCAAACGAAACTGGTCCAGTCCAATATTCCTCTTAGTCCAGTCCAATATACCTATCTGAAGCATTAGGAATTATTTCTTTCGGGGTAGTTCAATATCCTGTAGTATTTTTCCGTGGCGGTTGGTAGTCAACGTGTAGCATTAGTCATGCCCGACAAGAGCGTCGAGAGTTTCTAGTACCACTTGGAAGTGACGTCATAACAATATATAAATACGTATAGTCTACAACAGTCCAGTGTATGTACATACAAAATATATATATGGATACCTCTTATATATAGGGTTAACAGATAATACTTATCACACAGGTAGTTATTGCTTGGAGAGGGGCGACTAAAGGTTAGGTGTGAGAATATTATAAGAACTGTTACTTTGCGTACCGTCATTTAATATTTGACTGTTGGGCTGCGGCGTGTGACACGTGTACGCTGTAATATAGTAATTAAATTGGAAGGATATTTTATTTATTAATCGTAAAAATTCGACTTCCTTAGCTGGCACGTATTTCGTGCCCGCGAGTCAATGAGTTGTCTTTTCTGGACTTTTATCGAGGGGGGCGTGTACAGTCGCAAAGCATGTCCCTGGTGTGTTATCGGATTGCGTTTGACAATATTTTTAATTCGTGGTTCTGCATCAGAGATGGCGACACTGTTCTGCGTATAGATGAGATATTTAAAACCGTTGACGGGCTGATGAATTTGCGAAACGGCGGGAGGACTTAAGCTGAGTGCTTTCTGTTAACGCATATGAATTGTTGATGAATGGGGAGTGCTGGGTTAAATTATTGTGCTATTCGTGAGAATTATTTTCTGGATAATCGCGAGTATGAGATATGTGGGTATTATGTAGATAAATTATCGTGCCCTTGAGAAATGTAAGTTTGTTATGTAATCTATCTACAGGGTTAGTCAGTAGAAACGCACCAGCAGAAGTTGGCCGCAAGTGGCCGACACGGCAGTGTGGCCTCTTCAAAAAATGACATGTGACTGTGCCTGATTCCTATAAGCGCTAACTGACAGTTCGCATAGCAATAAGGTTATCGAAATATTTCAATAGTTGGGTTACTGAAATAATTAATTAATATTGTAATGACAAAATATAATATCAGTTAAGATTTATTTTCAAAACAGATTGCAATTAAAACAATGAAAAGTTTAAAATATTCAGAATGTTGATATTTCCAAGTAACGATCACAACTGCATTTCTGCAATACAATGCTGCAATTAATTTAAAAATCAATTAATTGAAATATTTTTATACCAAAAAAGTGTAGCAAAAAATCTGTTGTCAAAATAAATCTTAACTGATATTACATTTTGTCATTACAATAATAATTAATTATTTCAGTAACCCATGCGAACTATGCTATGCGAACTGTCAGTTTGCGCTTATGAGAATCGGTCACAGTCACGTGTCATTTTTGAAAAAGGCCCCACTGCCGTGTCGGCCACTTGCGGCCAACTTCTGATGGTGCGTTTCTACTGACTAACCCTGTATGTATGTGTATATGTATAGTTAATACATGCATATTATGGGGTTCTTTAATATCTCAAAGGAAATCGGGATTATTTTATTTGTCAATTCGTGGGAAAAATAAATTGATACCGTTGGAAGTAATATTATAAATTGAATGATAATTCGGTGATATGCTGGATTTACTTTTATTTGGAAAATTATTACGTGACGAATTAATTAATTGACTTTTTTTTTGTTCAAGATGCTTTCGCTTATTTCATCGTGATCTGGTTATTTCATGTTTACTGGGGTTTTATTCGATTGGGAGTTTTTTTTGTGTTATTGGAATTTTTGATATTCGTCACATTCTCGGGGGAATTTTTGTTTCCTTATATTTCAATGTCCCTGGAAAATATCTTTGACAACTTTGAGATCTCCCGAGACGGTGAATATAAATATGAAATATTTGAAATATTTTTTGTTGACTTTTTTTTTCTTGTTGAAAAATCAAAATATCCAGTTCGAAAATTGGTAGAATAACGAATTTGATTTGTTATTAAACAACTGAATTGCCATTGGAATGAGGGAATAAAAGCTAGTGAAACCTTGAAAACATTTTATCGCATAATTGTATCGATAAGGAATATAACGATAGTCAATGTCCATCCCAGCGATAAGTACAGCCAAGCATCGATAATTCGAGCTTAATTTTCAAGACTATAAATCAAATGTAATATTAATTCATTAATAGATATATTTACGAGAATAGATTAGTATACAAAAAAACTAATGAAAATGCAAAGAGAGGCTGTGATATGGATATCAAATGTAAAAAATAAACTTTTTTAATAAAAATTATAAATTCACACCACTTACGTTTTCGTCTTAAATACGTATTTGCAGAATTGTCAAAAATGTGTTAAAAAAATTTTGTCGATCCTTTACTTTGTATTTTTCTCTCTCTTTTCACTACACCCCTAATTACCTTCTAAGCGTTATTAGGCAAAATGCCTCTTTAGGAAATGCTTAATTATTTTTTTTTCATTTTTCAAAACCTCTCAGCCTCATACATTCTGACGTCATTACCGAATATAAACATCATTAAGGACATACAATAATTAACTTAATCTCGTGACTTTCCTCAAAACTTCATACTCACAGGTTATAACGATCGCATCCAATATTAATAAAAAATTAAATTAGTATACGCTAATCAGACCGAAAATACGTCGATACCTTATTGATCAGAGAATATAAGAAATTGTAACAATTCGAAATCCCTATATTAATTATTTTCCCAAGAAGGATCTAATTTCACCCCGAGCCTCTTTCACGGCAATTAGAAAATAATCTCTCTCAGATAACTAACCCCCTAAGATTTCCCTAAAATTTGAAATCAAACCCAAATCATCCTTTATTGCCAATTTAACCGATAATCAAACGCTTTATACCCTATTACCATAATCAATTAGACCAACGAAAAATATTAAGCGTACATTCAAAAACCTCCGATTTTTACAATAGATTTGAAAATATTGACTAACTTAATTTTTACAATTTTTTTTTCCCTGGATCTTACCACTCGACATTTTTCAAATCACCCGCTAAATTGAAAAGGGCTGTCAATGTCCCTAAGGTCTCTCGTGGGATTCGCTCAAGTTATAAGGGAACGAAGGGAAGAAGAATTTCTCTCTACGATTACGTAGAAGTTTACGACGCATTTCTTTTCCAGAATTTGACGTCTTCGTAAATCCACTAGGACGTCGATTCTTATACTCAACCCGAAGCGCACTTGACAGCTATTCAATTATTTGTTTTAGTAGTGAGAAAGTTTTCGGGTTCTTCGCGATTCAGCCGAATTTTTCGATAAGCACTTTCGAAATTTCTTTCCAAATTCTAAAAGCGAATGTGTGGTATGAATTTATTTACTACGAATTGTCCAGTGTTAGAATTTCGAAATTTTAGGAGAGTCGGAATGAAAGGGACGTCGGAAGTGGCACTTGGAAATAATCGAATGAAAGCAGATAGCCGAGTGGAAAGGAAACCTGGAAAAGACGGTTAGTATGAGGGTAGGTGCTTATATATCTATATCTATGAGTAGAGTGTCTGACGCGTAGCCAGACGAGTTGCAGGTTTAATGATCGAACGTGATGCGATTACCAATTCGTTCCGAGTGATAAGGATAATAATAGTAAATTATGTCAAAAACCTTAAAAGTCGATTAATTGGAATTTAAAATAAGAAAAGTCGAAAAAATTCGACGTATACGTTAATTGTATGTAAATATATGCTATAATGTTTTTTTTTTTAAATCCGTAAACCCTGATACCTACAGGTTAGCTTAGCTTCGAAAATTCAAACGCTTCATTTTCCAAAGCGATTCCTGATCGGCTAATAAAATATATAGACAAAATTGTTACTCCCGACAAGCCATTGTACTTTTTCGTGGACGAGGACATATACGAGATATACAGGATACCAGAAATTCTCTTTATCGACCCACGAATTCCTAATAATCGTATATGGCGCCTTAGAAGAATTCGCTTTACTTACGTTCTCAAGGGAAAAGATCTGTGCGAGACGTTGACCGTCGGCGAGTTAAATAATCTCCGCGGATAAACCAATCCCGAATCCATCGAAAAAGCAAAAATATATTATCCGTCTCGAAGACACGATTGATTGATAAAAATGTACAAAAATCCTTAATCGCGTTCGAACACTCGAATAAATACTTTTCGATAGAATATTTAATAGATTCATAAAAAAAAAGTGTTACAGTGTAAAACATAAATTCGAATATTTAGAAAAGTCCAAAAAAATTATTTTCGAGAAATAAAATTTTGAACAAATAATTTTTATCCCTCGGTCCCGAGAACTATTCAATCGTCACGTTTGATGAAACAACGAGTCACCGAAAAAATTTAGTGTTTATTCGGATACACAAAAAAAAAAAGTTTTCCAAAAAAAGATGCTTTACGAAAAATTTCCAAAATTCGATCTATTTACCATAACGCCCATTCACATTTGACGCGTACACGCACGACTGGCAGTCGCACTTACGCGGAAATGCCATTATTTCGCGAACATTTTACAGGGAGCCGTGTTTTATCTGATTACCAAGGCAACAGGTTAGAATACGGAGTGGGGTTGGTACGAGGACCAGGGGATGCTCGAACACGGGTCCGGCGTCGGGATGCTACTGACGAAAATTCTCTACGACGCTCTGTACTTTGCCCACTCTCCGACGTGTTCGGACACGCACACACTGGCTCTCCCTGCCCTCCTCAGTCTTCTATTCCCTTAATCTACTATCTTCCTTACTCTGGTTCACGCTCTATCCCTCCCCCTCTTCGCACTCTCTCGCTCCCCTACTACTCTGCCTCTTCCTCCACAGAAGCCTGCGCGATACTGGTCCATGGATAGTATTATGGAGTATACATCCGATATAGGAGCTTTTACACTCTTTGATATATTCTCAATGAGCCCAATGAATTACTATGACGACGACAGCGTCTTTTGTTATATGATTCATGGGTTTTATTTTTATGTACTTCTTTTGCCGCGGAGTAAGCTGCCTTTGGAAAGCCTTAGGTATTTTCGTGTTTTTCGACGAAAAAGGTTTCGATAGGTATACATATAAGAAACGTAAAAGTTGTCTCGTTGAATTTTTCGTGGAAGATACTAAACACCATTTGACAGACGTAGGGGGGACCCTCTGTTATAGGATTGTTGTACGTGGAACTTTGAGGATGGAGTAATTGACATGTAGATTCTGGGAGGAAACTACATTTGATTAATGACTTATGAAATAATCGTGTGGTTATCGGTTACTGTACCATTAAGTACTTTATTGTCATTGGGTCGCATTTGTTTCCAATGAGTATTGGTTGTGGGGCATTCTTTAGATTTACTATGATATCCATTTAATATTTTATCTGTTTTTTTTTTGGTTCGCATTTGTTTCGAATGAGTATTGGTTGTGGGGGATTTTTTAGATTTACTATGATATCCATTTAATATTTTATCTGTTTTTTTTTTACAATATACATATTTTGCATTGGTAAAGAGTTGAAGATTCTGGGGGGAAATTACATTTGATTAATGACTTATGAAATAATCGTGTGGTTATCGGTTACTGTACGACTAAGTACTTTATTGTCATTGGGTGGTTCGCATTTGTTTCGAATGAGTATTGGTTGTAGGTGATGTTTTAGATTTACTTGATATCCATTAAATATTTTATTTGTTTTTTTTTTACATTATACAAATTTTGCATCGCTAAAAAGTTAATGAGAATGAAAATATTTTAACGGTATTTTTTTTTTTAAATCGAGACTCTAGGACATTTGTAGAAACTTGATTACACCTTTTGCACTGTATTATGAGAATTTATATAATATATTTGATTATCTCTCAGCTGTGAGGATTTTTTTCTCACTAGCAACTCACATCTACTGTCCCTCCAAGACCACGCCACTGATGAACTGTCAAAAAAGCCAAAAAAGAAATTCACGAAATCATTAGTCGCGCAGATAACAAGATTACAAATAATCAATAACAGCAACCAGGAAATTACGAGTCAAATTTGAGAATGAGATTCGAATCACGTTTTCGTGAAAATTTCAGGCACGAAATTCGATTCGTGTATATCAAACATCAGAAAAAAAATGAATGCGTCATATTTCGTAAAAAAAAATCGTTCACGGAAATCAAATAAGCAAAATAAAATTTGCTAATAATAATGATAAATCAAATTTTCGAATTCGCATCGAAAATGTCTTTTCGATGTAAAATATCATTCCGCCTTCGTCTTCCATACTGGATCTTAAATAATTGTCTGTTTTCTCCCTTTCTGGCTTCTTTTGCGTCCTTGATTCATTTCTTGCCCCCAAGGGTGCACGTCACATTCTCTTCTACCCACAATTCGCCTATTCGCAGACGTCTGTCCACGTAAATTCACCCAACACAGAAACTTACTCGCGGGACTTTATTTTTCGAGCAAAAAAATGCAAGTAAAATAAAACAATGGCTTTGCTTCCAAGTAAATCCGTGTCTAAATAGCACTCAACGTATATTTCTTAAATTAAGCAGACAGGGCGACGTGCACTCCGTTTATACGTGGCTGGTATATGTATATGTAGATACGTGCATAGAATATATGTAAATCCATAGTCAGGTACCTACCTACATGCATATGCATCTCCTTTTCTTTGGTTATCGACCCGTTGAATATTTTACAGTAGGTCGAAGATGAAAACTCCGAAAAAGCTTGAATACCATAATGAAGCTGTTTTAAAGCCTTTCTGGATGAACCGTAATCAGACCTAACCTGACATCCGACCACCACTCGTCCCTGTGAATAGCCTGGATTCTCTTAAAGCGTTCAGATTGACTTTAGCACAGCTTTAAATTCCTTGGCTGGAATAAACGAGTATTTCACATTTTTTTATCAAATAACGCTGGAACTCTGCGAATCAAAATATTTTCGATTCGCGATGGGAAAAATCGATTTTTCATATGTTTTCAGTGAAATTGATATTTCAAATTTAAAAATACAGGTTAAGTGAATTTCTTAATAATCTTACGTACGATAACAAGGCACGTGGTGAGGATAAATGGTACTTTTTTTGTCACCGACGAAAAGACACACTTACACGATACCTGGTAAACTCCTAGTACGCACTGTACGTTACACTGCTGTACTGCAAAATGGAAGTTTGACCTAATGCGGTTAAAAGTACAGTCGTTCTGGAAAATTAGAAATAACAGAAATATCCTAGGGGCAGATACTATCGGGAGAACGAATTAGACTAGGGCCGTATATTTCGGGGCTTTTGCATTGTAGATTTAACCGGTGAGCTTTAGGTGGGATAAAAACAAGAGAATTATGGAAAAAAATCACGGGGTTCTCGAGAGTCGAGTTTAATATTTATTTCTTCCTCTCGTCCATTGTTTTATGGTAGAGGGAATTTACTGCGAATAATAATTCATTAATTTAATAAATAGGCCTTTCGCGTATTCTGCATGAGATTGCCTATAGGATTTGTTCTTTGGTATTTTTAATTAATTTTACTGGAATACTGTATTGACGAAATTCAATGGTTTACGGGATCACACGAAAGCGCGTGTAAAACTCAACGTTATTAGGAGAAGTAAAATTATTGAGTTTTCAAAATAACACCCGCGTTGCTGTATCCACAAATTTTGATTCGGTTTGGGTGGAAAAAAAAATCATTGATTTCATTTTTATACTCCAAATTTTCTATTTGAAAAATACCGCCGAAATTCATAAATACCGCTTTTCACTTTTCGCACAAGCTTTATGCTTTGTAGCAACGATTCAGGGGACCCACGTGCGTGACACAAAAATCAAGGAAACGAGAGTCGAGAATTATTACGAGTTTATTTTGTCGAGAGATTTTTTTTCCTTTTTTTCCTCAGTCGCGTGAAAGTAAGTAGTAAAACATCCCATCGTAAATGTCCTTCCCCAAGGTATCTATCTTTGTGAAATTCTCTATTCTGATAAGAAAACGAATTAGGTATATCCCAGTGATCGTAAAAACGTCAAGTCCTGCCGGATACAGCGAATGAATAACCTGCTGACAGTGAAGCCGAGTATGTAAAAAATTTTGTGAAAAATCCGAGTAACTAGATTGACATTAATATTTACTTGCTGATTATGCATATACCAATATGATGGCGCAAGATGAAAGTGATAAGAATAATTGATTAGGGGTCAAATGTCACATTGAATCACGCCTTGGGCATTTACAAGTGTCTGATATTACTTCCAACAATAATTGTAATTCTTAATTAGTTTCAATGTATAAAAATGATCAGTTCGATAGTACGTGAAGCTAGGCTACGAAAAATGTCGAAATTTCTCTATAAAGAGGTAAAATCGTGAAATTGATAAATTCAAAATTCCAATATTACCAAGATACAACTTCTACCTTAGTTACGTAACCATGGCAACCCTGATTGTTATTTCTGTAAAAAGCGTGAAAACAGAATAAACAGGCTAATCACTTCCTTCATTATCATTGGTAAACCCTAGTGGTAGCTTTTCATGAATGCACAAAGTAAACCATCTTCAAGTGAGAAAGTCATATATGCTTACAAGTTGACTCAGACCATACTCGGGTCAACTATAATTAACTTGCTATGTATTTAATCTAATACTCGCCCATATCCAAGCAAAGCAACAGTTGGACGTTCGATATTTGATATTCGCCGAAAAAACAGCCGAGTATCGCGCGATCGGCATATATCGAAGTACAAAATTGTGACCTAGTCGTTACGTAATTATTACTGGGTGTTTTGGTACAGGGATACAAAGCGAACCCCTCTCAACTTGAAATCCAATCTTCACTCGGATGACGTAAAAAATTCACTGACCTATCCATCATGCGTCTATCAGCCCTCGTCATCGACTTGACGTTTCAAAGCCAACATGCTAATGGGCTGTCCTAATTTTTTCTTGCAGCTTCTTCCGATTGGTCCAGACTGACGTATCCTTACAATTAGTCCAATTAATATTCCTGTTAAAGCTACTAAGTGCCGTCATAGGTGGCCAATAACACTGTTATTGTACCACAGTCCTCGCAGTGTCCACTGGCTGCGACCAATAAGCCAGGAGTATCTGTTGACTATTCCCAAGGGAATAGAGTCTGCGTGACGTGGCGAATCCAATTTCAGAGCGTTTACGCATCTGTGGCGCTACACGAGCTTTGAGGTTATGTCAGCAGGTAATTGGAACGTTGGTCAGCCCGTGTTTATCGAATATCAATGGCACCAGGATTCCTCGCAGGATTCTCGTTAAACAATCCGAATGAGATTATTCTGAATTTATATCTTTGAAATTTGATTCTGAGACAATGGATTGGCATTGATATCTCAAAATAAAAAAAAATTTCTATAAGATCCAAAAAAAAGACGTCGTTCCCTCGTCTCGATAGTTCCCTATATGCACAATTTCCTAGAGGTTACGTACGCCCCTGGTAGAACGTGTAGCATTAAATTTTCGTAAAATAATGTTACCATGCACATAATGCATTACTTAGACGGAGGTAAATAAATTGTCAAAGGAAACGTCTGCCGGGGAGTAAATTTAATGAAGCTTTAAAAAAATATGAGAAACCTCGCGTAAGGAATTATTTACAATTTTCAATTAAATTACGCCTCTATCTGGCATCCTAACCACGATAATTAATGTACGTGGAATTTTAGGTTAAACTATGTCACAGTAGGATTACTCGTGTGTACCGCTATATGTAGTAACCCACTTGGTTGGTCTATTACATTTTAGGTGTATATGCAGATAGGACAAGGTACAAGCGGATGGCATGATAATTATCGATCCCTGAGAGTAACAGCTTTTGGCCATTTCACGGATTGCTTGATCGGGCCAAATATATATAGATATATCAGTTACACTGTTCAATTTTCATAAATAAATTAGCTGCCTCATTTAACTCCAGACATTATCGTGTTTGGATGATCACGTAGCAAACCAGACACGACGCCAGTTGTGTATTACCTAATTTTCATAATTTTTCAGATAATTCATAAGGCCGCGAGCGAGTCCGGGTAATGTGACGGTGTTAAATGGCTTGGGTGACGTTTCGATGAAAAGTCTTGTTAGGTAATAAATTTTCATTAAAATTCTTCAGCGATAATGATATTCGTTCTTATTGGGAGTTGACGTAATAAATTTCGAATTTTTTTTTTTTTCAACCAGACGACTTTTTTTTTCTTTTTCTTTGCTTAAGCCACCTTTGCTGCTTTGGCGATTTTCGTTATCCTTTTTTCTTCTTGGCTCTCATGTCTTCTCGTACTCCCTTTGGTCCTTTATAATCTTCCACGCACTTAGATCTTCCCGATCCCCCTGTGCTTCCCATTCTTATGAGGTCATTACTTCGGTCTCTGCTGATCCAGCTTAAAGACGGCTGCTACCACGTCGGACGAAGTGAAGTCAGCTGGGAATTTAACGGTTGAGGTTTGGCTGCCTCGCTTGACTCTGATGGAATATGCGGAATGCACGTTGAGAAAATTGAAGCTAGCGTCTGGCGGGAAATTGTATAAATTAGATGAAAAAAAAGGTATTGCAATTTAAACATTAATTGACTCGAATAAGATAAAAAGTCAGCGCAGTACCGTACGCAGCCATCAAATTGATTCGCAGCTCCATTCGATACGTATAAATAAACGCAATGGTGAATAACGAAGCAAAGCTGCTGTTGAAGAAATATTTTTTAAAAAAATTTTGTTTCGTAATTATTTTAAAAATTTTATAAAAAATATCTGAATTTAATAAAAGCGCGCCAGTAAAAATTTTACTTTTACTCTGTACATGTATACCGTAAAATTCGAGTCGAGCTAATATATCAATCGCTTTACGTTACTCAATCCCGTTACTCATCTATCTCCAGTGAAAAGGTTCCCATACTGTCACCTCAAACTACGTCAATCGATATTAATAAATACTTCAGTTCACCCTTTATTGAAAGCAGATATCCATCCGCTCTGTTCTTTATTTATAGCAGCGCGATATTGCAGCAATCTATTTATCAGCGAAATTTTATTTTTCCTTTAAAATCCACCCATCCGCTAAAGCGAATCGAGTGCTCAAGAAATTTAAATAAAATTGAATTTCTTTTTTTGGGTTCGATAAATAAAACGAATTTAATGAAAAATAAATAACCTATTTTATACGTCATCTCAATAGCAAAAAAATAAGAGAGTCATGTTGATTTTTTCAAAAAATTTTTTTCTCACAAATAACACAAAACAGATTTTTAAATATTTTCAACATAGCCAACGTAAAAAATATCAATTAAATATAATATTTAAAAATATATTTCAATTACAGTGAAACTATTAAGTCAGACTATTGATTTGTGGTAGGAATAGCTACTACGTATCCGTCTCAACCCTTACTACCAACCCTTAGGGCAAAACGTGGTATCGGCAGACATTGAAAGATTGAATCAAACGGAAGATCCTTTGCTACAAGACCGATGAGATCATGGCCTTAGTAAAATTGCAACAGATTTCGATTGGCTCGTTCGAGGTTTCTAATATTAGATAAAGGAACGTAGAGGGGTTTAGAAAGAAGAAGAAGAAGGTAGACATTTTTTGTAATTTTTACGTAGTTCAACCAACTCTGATTGGATCTTTATTATATATACATATTCGCTGTTAAGAAACATTAAAGATACTGTTTACTAAATCGTGACAGAAATATGCGATTCGAATCGGTAAAGAATCGGATCGCCGACGGTTGGGCATTCCAATGAAAATATTAGAGCTCTCGAATTATTTCTAGAGGCGACGCAGCTGGAATACATCAGGATTGAATTTAATGAGATTTTATAGAGTAACGTTGCGAATGGAATTAATCGTGCGCAAAGAATTTATTAATATGACAATAAAGCAGAAAGATTTTAATGTTTGTACGAAAGACATGCGTGGAAAGTTAAAAATTAAAATTTCTTCATTTATTTTCCAACGGAAAGAAGAAAAAAAAGCCGTTCTTATCTGTTTGTTCAGGAAGCTATCCTTTAAGCTCTCCTCGTCTTGCTACAGTTAATCTTATTAAATGAACCGTGTACCGGTAAGAATGTCTTGAAATCAAATTACGTCACGTAGGAAATGAGGTCCAGTGCGCCCGAGGAAATGTGCATTGCGCAATAGTTAAATAATAATTGTACGAGCGTGAAAAATATATTTTTACGAAATATCCTAACCCTCCGGGACCCCTCTCCTCTTTGGCTGACAATTCCAGAAACACGTATGGGCAAATATGAACGTTTTCGTCCCATAGAACCTCGTAGAAGCTTTCTTTTCCTACGAGTCGAACTAAAAATGACGAATTCCAATGCGAAACATTCGTAAGCAGGTATATAGTGAATTAACGGATAAATTTCATACACAGAAATTCGCGCGGCACAAGGCAGAAGAAAAGGACGAATAAAATGAGGACTAAACGCTTGAATTTTGAGAATAAATAAAAAAATAAAAAAATATTCGCTGTACCTTGAGATACCACTCGAAGAACCCAGAGCTTCCGATCCGTAAGCCTGAAAAACTCATTGTATCCACGAGAAAATTCATTTATCCCACAAAAAGACAATTAGGATCATGTGAAAAAGTCTACGGAGACGAAGCTCGCACGTTAAAGGATCGTCAAAAGGTAATAACATGAAATCCTTATCTCATTGGTATTGAAAAAAAAAGATGATCGAACTTCGAAAGCTCCTCGAGTTTTGAAATTGGAAAATAATAAGAGAACAAGCTCAGAAAAGATCAAGAATTTCGAGCTGAGATATTTTACGCCGAGAGCAGAAACCGGTAAGACTTTTAAATTGTTTCCCGAGCCCTTCCATTCGCCGGGATTAGTCGACAATTGCACGTTACACCTATGCCGAGGAACGATTCACAATCTTAAGGTTAACCGGTAATCCTTACCAACGGCAAGGATTAAACGTCCTTTCCCAGCTTTAATTTCAACTGTCACGCAACAATCGTTCTATCCAGTTTAAATGGTAAAGCACGTTCAAGTATTCCTACAGGAGACATAAATAGCACTACGTCACTCGTGCGTTCTCAAAGTACATATATATCTCCCTCCTGATTCGGACTTTATTTTTCAACAGTAGCCACCGACAATAGAGTCTTATAGTTTCTCGATACATAAAAATTCTCCCCATCACCAATTCACGTAACTCGCAAGCCCTTAACGACATTAGATTAAAGATTGAAAAAAGACGAAAGCCCGAAGAACGCAGGAAGGAAAACAAAAAGCCTCACGACACTCGCCGTCCCCTTGAAAATAGTTCACAAGAAGATCGATTCACAAGTACGATCTAATAACAAAGAAAGCGAAGGTACGACGCAGCGAATCTTAAGGATTTCAGTAAGAAGCAAACAAAACATTCACCTCGAATAGGTTAAACGTAAAGATCCCAGCATGCCCGTATAACCATAATGCACTGCGATAAGACCTCGCATAAATTACATATGAGCCCGGGACGTCTTCCATAAAAGGTCGTTGCATCCGTGTCCGGCGTTAGTCTGGGCTCTGAAAATATTTCTATACGGCCCTTTTCAAACAGAACGTAAATCATTTCCAAGCGACGTATATACACTAAGTATTCTTACACGCAGATTCTGACACCACGCAGCCGTCCTATTCTATTCCTTTTATTATCCTTACCTTGTCTAATATTACTTCACACGGAGTTACTAAACATACTCACCGTGTATAAGCAACGCCTGTGGAGGTTAGGATCGGAAAAAGCTGCCTCCTAGGAACGACACGCGAAGACTCGTTAGCCATGTTGACGTCCTGCGGGTAAAAAAGAATCGCATAGACGCTCGGCTGAGACGATGACAGATTCACGATCGTACGTACCATTAGTCCTAGGGAAATGACATTTTAAGTCGTGTTTTCAACAGCGGTATATCAATATTGATAACTTATCACAGTCTGCCTATCTTTACGAGTATACTCATTAAACACTGAAATACTGGGTACACGCAAGGTGTCGTTATAACCCGGCTGAACGATACCGATCCTTCCTGGTTGTAACGACAAAGTTGTCTTCGATTTGCTCCGCGATGTACTGTCGACAACAAAGGTGGCTTTTCATGTACTAAGTAAATTAACGTCGAGATGCGTCGATAAGATCGAAGTACTGTAATAGCTAGACAACGGTCGAGTACGTATACCGGGTGAGTGAGCTAAAAATAATCATAGCTAAGCAGTCTGTGGTGCAATTGCTTTCAATCGGACCACCCGGTAGGTTTGTGTTTACAGAAATTTTCAACTCTTTCACAGTGCTCGATTGATTTTTGTCGCAATTACAAAAATTAATGACTTTCAGGTGGTTGTCGAGGAGTAAAATTGTGGGAGGTATGCTATTAAATTATTTAAAGTTTAATCAAAAGATTTTTCTAATTTTAAACGTCTATCGAAATTTATGAAAATTAAGTGAAATTTTATTTGCATTAAAATAAAATGCACTTTTAACGCTGTTACGAGCTTTTGTTCCTTTCCAAGACAAGACACGGTAATAAATTGGATTTGGAGTTTAATTTTTCAAAAAATCAATAATGACCAACGTAACAAGTTTATTTCAGATACTGAGCAGGATTCGAGTCTCTTTCGGAAAATTGATATTCTTTACTCACTTACCACCCACGGAGATGGCTTCTCGCCGAGGGACGAGATTTTCGATGTAAATTTTCGGTCTACGCTCCAAAGTTTATAGAGACAGAGCTCAAATTTACGAAGTAATTTCGCCTGGATATTATTACATTTACCGCGGCCCTTTTCAGTCGAGTGGACAAATTTCTAAGTGACAGCAAGTGGATGTTGTTGACAGTTGCGCAAAACTTGAAAGGTAAGCCAAGAGTCTTTTTCCACTTGCTGCACAGTTAACTAAATCAATATTTTAATCCAAGCATGTGCAACGTCGAGCGAGACGTTTTACCAAGATAAAGGGAAACAAGTGTCAGAGCTATAATTTGTTTAAACAGCACAAGTGCAAGGGTAAATCCAGATTATTGAACGCTTGTATTTATTCTGCACGTCGCACAGGTGTAGTTAACAAGATAGAAACCAAAAAATAAAAGAAAAGAAGTATAGCGCGCAAGCTGGTTAGTTTTAAGTAGTAAAGAAGAAAAGGATCTACTGTAGTATTGCCAGAGTAGGAATTTCATTATATATATTGAAGATTCCGTGAACCTTTTTTTGCGACAGACTTAAATAAAACATCAAATCTAATTCAGCACCTTTTCGTAGAAATTGGAAGCCATAAGATGTACTTGAAATTCCCAAGAGATACTCATGAAATTGTTATAAACACGATAGAGACGTAAATAAGATGGGAAAAGTATAAAATCAACACTGAGATGTTCGATGATATGAAGCCTGCGAAATATTAAAAAAAAAAAACTCACCTGGCTAACAACAAGGAAAGACTTATCGACTGGCGCAGGTTCTTTGTGAATCCAGAAAAAAAATTTTGAATTACGCAAAACGAGATGTTTTCAAGTACACGCTGTTACGTATATTTTTTAAAATTTCGCGAAATACCGTAACACTTGATTGTCGATTAGAGTCCCTCGGAGCCATGCTCGTTTCGCGTTGTTTTCTTCACTTAACTCTTTTTATAATTGCACAGTGCAAAATCCCTTATCTCGACACGGGAAAGATCGATACGAACGGACTTCGAAGTTTTATGAAAAACCTAATGAAGGAGTCCCGTCTCACCAGTCTGATCGTCTTTGATAAAAATCGTACGAGTATGGACGAATTTTATCGACAAATGTTTGAGGATTTTTACGTGCCTATAAAAAAAATTCGTACTGAGAATACCGTTCCGATTATTCAATCCAACGTTTGCGTCTTGCTCCTCGACGGCTTACACGGCATAGAAAGTACATTGAATAAGTACGAAAGTGACTTTTGGAACACTGGCAATTTTTACGTCTTACGTTACATCGCCGAGACTGAATTCTCGCTGGGGGACGAAATTCTCTATGTAAGTTTCCATGCGGCCCTTGAACGTCTGTGGAGGCTAAGAAGAATTTACAAAGTGGTGATTTCGATTGGGGATAAATACGTTTACTACGATCCGTTCGAACCGAGTGATAAGGCGGTCGTAAATGAGATGAGGAGCGACAGGAGCATGCTTGAGAACGATTCGAGTGAATTTGGTGCTTTACGAATCTCCACTCAGCTTCGTATCGATACTTTTGTATCGCGACGTGACTTCAATGGCTACAAGCTCGCTGTATCGACGTTCGAGTACGTCACGATGACAAAAATGGAAGAAGGTTATGGTTATGTCGGATCCGACCGGAAGGCCATGACTGAAATTTGCAAAATGATGAACGTCAGTCCGATGTGTCAGGACTCAAGCGAATCAACTTTTAATACTACAGACGATACATTTACCAATACGCTTCGGCAATTGATTCGTCATACCTCTGACGTTGGATTTAATGGCTTCTTTATCAAAGACTACGACATAAATCTCTTTGAATTCACGGGTTACGTAACGAGCGACAGTGTATGTGTCGTGGTACCGAAAAGAGGCGCCATACCAAATTATTTGGCGATCGTGAGAGTTTTTTCGGCTGAAACTTGGTTACTGATTATCGTTACTCATATAATTGTATCTGTTATATATTTGAGGAACAGGATGATTTTTGGGGCTGATAGGGAAAAGGGATTTTCAGGTGTTTTAAGAAATACTGGATACTCGGGTTTGATAATGAAAAAAAATGGTAGGATAAATAGATCGTCAAAGGCCTTTGGAAATTTTCGAAAGACATATGGAAACGAAGTCATGGGATTCTTTGACGCTCACCTGGATGTAAAAGGGACACATGGTAATTGCTGCAGGGGAGATCAAAGGAATAGGGGCAAATGGAATTGGTCGAAAGCATATGACAGTCCGGATATAAAAAATCCGAAGAAATCCTTTGGCAGAGTTTTCTTGATGCATCCCAAGGCGCAATTAAATGTAGATCATCCGACCTCCTTTATATGGAAGGTATTATTATCCAGCATCCAACCCTTGGAGATGGCCGGTGATCGTGTCTCTGAGAGAGTTGTACTCGTTTGTAGTTTACTCCTAGGGGTTGTTTTGGGTGGAAGTTTTACCAGTCAGCTTACGTCCAGCTACAGCAAGCCGGCTTTTTACAAGAATATCGAGACACTGAAAGAATTGGAAAAAAGTGGTGAGTAGTTGATGGATGAAGGGAGAATTATAGTTGAAAAAATAATTAATCCTATTTATATCAGGGATGGAAATCTTGACAAACTTCAAAAATCTTCAGACCGACGTTTTTGCCAATGACGATACAGCCGTTTTATCGAATCTTCAAGCTAAGTTATACTTAGTAAATACGACCGAGATGCATTACAGAGCATACGTGATGGGAAATGCTGGTGTCTTAGAGCGTAAGAAATTCCTGCCTTTTTCGATATTTGGAAGTTATCGAATGCACGTGGTGAACGAATGTCCAAAAAAATACATTCTTGCTTTCGTCGTGACAAAAGGTAATTGAGTTTATAATGAATTTAAGAAATATTATTTACAGAAATTTTATAGCCATTTTACAGGATCAGTATTTCTCCCACGTATCAACGAGATTATAGGAAGGATTCAAAACGGTGGGTTATATGGAAAATGGTTCAAAGACATGAAACCCGATATAGAAGATATTTCTACTACCAAACCAGTAGTGATCCGGGTAAATCATCTCTACATACCATTTGTAATTTTACTCCTAGGTCTGAGCTGCAGCACGATAATATTCTTTTGCGAACGCAAAGGATACGTATAACCTGAAATATTTGCATCAAGGGAACAATTGAATTTGTATGTTATTCCTTTCGACGTGTTTACTCACCAATAGTGTAATACATGATGTAAGAGCACAAGGCTACGGTTAGCGTTAAATGACGCCAAAGTCAAATACGTTGGACGTCATTGTGCGTTTCATAAATCTTCACGCTCTTGCGTTAGAGATGGAAGTTTATTTATTTTTTCCAGTATTAAAGCACTTCTCGTTACTGCACAGTGTGTTTGAGGCGATTATTCAAATGTCAAGGTCGTACCTAACGCAAGGACGGCGTTAGCAATAAAATACCGTTGAGCTCCTACCTACATTTGACATTCCTGATCTGAGCCAAGGGGTAACTAATAAATTGATAAGGGTACTTGACGACAGATTACCTTTTTATGAAAATCTTGAAACGCAGGTAGCTTCTTGTTTCTCATTTCCTTGCCAGCCAGACATCAGAAAATAAAAGCATGAGTTTTTCGTCTGCTACGTCGAACATTCGTTTGTCTATGACGCTTATGAGAACTCTCGGTCGCGCATGCGCAGTACACATTACCAAGATGGCGCCGTACGAAGCAGCAAATATGAAATTCTAAATGAGACCTTTGACAGACTTCATATCTGTTCTTTTTTCTCCTCTGATATTACTTCTTTAGATATTCCACTAAACGAAATTACATAGAGAACTTTTTAAATTATATTGATATTTCAAATTCTCGAAAGGTATTTCAAACCAGTAACCTTTGGCCTTGATGAGAGATAGACTTTTTGCTATAGTTAATTTAAACTTTCCAAGGTAGACCTTGTTCTGGTTACCACGGTAATAGCTATTCCCACGGTGGATATGCACTTTCAGCGGGAACGTATTATTTTTCAATCAAGTCTTGTATAAGAACGCCATCCCTTTTCGAACGCAAGCTTTACTGCTTCGTCCTTCTTGTATTCTTTTTCTTTTAATAAATTATTCGCGCGCTCTAATTTACCTAAGACATGGAATTATTCTCAACTAATGTGCAATAGCAATTTGCTAGCAATCTACAACGCAATGGCCCATCCATCAGAGTGGATATTACTTGTTGGTGTAAAAACTTTATAAATTTATATATTTTCACAGAAAAACTAAGCTTACACATGATGGATGTAATATTTGATTTAAGTCTTACGGATCTAGCTTCCATGTGAAATTAGCTAACCTAACCTCTGAATATATTAATATTTAATTTAATAATTATGCAACCATGACACGCATACCTAAAATATACTCTCATTTCATTTTGCAACTACTTGACAACTATTAAAAAACTGTCCTTTTCCACGCTCAATATACATTCTTTCTGCACTTGATTTAAAATTCTTTTATACTTGATACCTCGCATCTACCAAGTAACGTGGAACATGAGCTAAGGTATTAAGTCAATATAGAAGTGAAAAAATAGATCTTTTAAATTAATGGACTCGAGCACTCAACATAAATAAAAACGCATCATCGCTCTATTAAACGTGACATTTTATACTTAGAAAATTCAAGATGAAGTCTTTCCTGAAGAAGTTGATCCAACTTTTAAAAGAAAAAATGGACTCAGAATTTTTTAGTCTCGGGAGTCAATTAATTACGAACATCAACGTACGCTTAAGAAATAACAATAAAAATTATTGTATCCACATATACGTTATCCTTCGGAAAAAGAGAATTGACAAGACAAATCTAATCGTCAGGATGACATGTGCAAATCCAAGCTCTCATAAATAGTTATACTTAAAGGGGCCATCTTCTTATGGCTTACAGTACAAACACAGTCCCTTAAACATATCGCAGCACAATTGTACACAGTTATATTTTCTCAGGTATAAAATTTCAGGTTATAAGTCTCAGTAGTAAATACTGTTAACAGACATCTTTATTAGTGTTTTATATCCACTTGATATTTGTATAGGAAAATATAATAGCTATAAAGTACTGTAGCTAATTGCATCCATAGTTATCGCGAGGCAAACAATTACGCAAAGAAAGCAATTAAAAAAAAGTACAGTGCAAAATAAGACTTAAATTAACCAAGCAGTATTCTACAGTGTAATAGGAGCTTCGATAACTCGTATTTATCCGAACGGGGTATAGGAGGCAGATACTCACCGGGTTTGTTACGAATTACATTTGTTTTATAAATAAAACGTGACACGTCATCAAGATAATTTATTTAACAATATTAACTATATCATGTACGAAGAATCAAATAATAATAACGACAATAATTTTTATATTTTTTAATTAAATATACTTACATCATACTAGAAATTAGTATTGGTATGAAATTTCAAATATTCGTAAATTCAAGTAAAAATTATTGTAAAACACATCACAGGTACACATTTATGCATAAACACAGCCGTAGCTGTGCGTGTATTTATGTTTCTGGTAATTGACAATTGTGGTTGCGAACTTCGAGGGCATTTCAACAATTCAATTTCAAAGCGTCAGTCATTCCATTAATGGTACCTACGAGATTATTGTTTTAAGCAGATACACTCTGTTTGAATTAATTTTACAGAATAATGGAAAATAAACAGTCTCGGACTCTAGATCAAAAAAATGTCTTGCTGAAAGGATTGTTGGAGTAATTAAATAAAAATTAATTGATTCCCAAAAGCTTTTTAGGAAATTAATTTTAAAATAATATATTTAATTTACTAAAAAGAAATTGTGCAAAAATCATGTAATTTTCATAGTTTCTTTTTTCCAAATAATAGTATTATTATCGCGTAATTCTTCAGGGAACTGATATCACGCACGAGGCCAGTGTCAATAACCACAGAATAATATTTTCGGCGAAGATTATCGTCGTTCTTGTATTATATATAATTTTAAACGCGCAGCGCAAATTATTTCCTGATACATCGCTCGATGCAAAATAATGAATAGTCGATTATACATTAGACAGGCAATTCGATATTAGTCACATTAATATACAACTATTAAATCTGTCTCGTATCAAAATCATCGAGAAACTACGTGACGCGAAGTATCCCTTTGATAAATTAATAAACTTTTCTCAAAGTTACGCTCGAAATTACTTAAACGAGTTTATTATAAGTTCGAGATATTTCGATGAGTTTATAACTCGTAAATTTATTCTATTTATAATTATATATATTATCATCTTAAATTAGACGTATCTCGTGGATGTGGTTTGTTCAATTTTTTTTTTTAATTCGACTTGTTTAGTTTAGGACCGACGTATTCATTACAACTGTCGTTATATATTTTATTATCTTGAATGACGCCTATCTCGTGGCTCTGGTTCGTAATACATTTGTTTTGACGTGACAAAAAAAATTATTGCATAAAAAATTCTCCCCTCAGTTTACTTATCTTTCGATTATAAGGATGAATTTTTTTATTGCGTGTTTCTATCTTTTATGTCCTACTTTGATTTAGCTTCTGTATAACGGCAATAAAAACGTATTGTTACAGTTACTCTCATACCCGTTAACGTCGTAATACATTCTGTCGGTAAAACAGTCTGGTCGGCCAGCTGAATCCGAGGACAAGGACGTCACTTTAATAACAGACAAGTCGACGCTTGGGCTCAGGTTGGTCGTTTGGAAAGTCTGAAGAAAAAAACATTATAAAAGTCTGCCTCAACTTTTTATCGACAGATGAAAAGGATAAAATACGAAAAACGCCGCGACTATTTATGTACGCGCGTAAAAGGTATAGAATCTGATGTAAAGTTACGTAGGTAATACAGTTCGGATACAGCTTAATTGTATTTAGCAGATTGTGAATGACTCGGGGAATGAAATACGTGCTAGGACTATAAAAATGATACGCTATATCCTATTCGTAATAACTCTTGAAAGCTTTCCTTGTGCGTCTCGTAGGGCTCTGATTTGTAAACCACAGTAAAAAGTGGTTTTAAAAATTAAAAAAATCTCTCCCTCTCACGCCCATTTAACGAGCTTGAATTCGAATGATCTGGTCACGTGGTTAAAAAATAAAAATGAAAATTTGTATTTTTTTTTTAAATATTACTGAAGTGTATTCTAAAAGTTATTTAACTGCGATGCTTCGGTATAAATATTGAAAATTTTTCATTTATCGTTACGTCACGTAACGGTTAACCGAAAATTCTAAGTGTTTTATTATACTGCACGGTCCGAGATTATTTCGATGTACATATCAGCTCGTGTATATTTTTGTGTAAGTTAATGGGAAAGACGCGTGTGTACGAAGCTTAATCCTAAATGTTATCCCTCGCAGAGTAGACGCTTCCTTACTCCGTGGGCGATTCCGGTGAATCCCAAGACTTTAGAGGAAGAGATTGATCCGTCAGGCGTAAAGTTAGGTTTCAAAGATAGCGACCAAACGACGGGAAACGCGCGAATAGAAATTGTAGGAACGTCAGTCCACAACGGTACCGAATTTCGTTTAATAGCCCCTTGAGAAATGTAGTGGAAGTTTACACGTATCCAGTCCTAAACGTTAATTGTCTTGATTCGAAAGTGGAAGACACTTTGACTACGGAGTGTTAAAGTTCGCTACGATTCGATTGGCGAAACAAGATGGCTACCGGAAAAATGTGCACAATGTACGTATTAAAATACAGAATTTAAAATGGGCATTAGAGAAAATATTTTATTCATGGCTAATATATATTTTGGAAAATTTCTACGTACATGATGGATACTATTCGAATGTCAAATGTTTATCTTTAAGGAAGCAGAAAAGCTTCTCTTGGCGTCGGACCGAGCGAAAGTAAAGATAAAATTCTCTTTCGCACAGCTGAATACGAGTCGCGTATGCATAAATGCATAAATGCATAGGCAAAGTGCCGTACAAAGTATATGAGATGATAGTAACAAGTGACAAGCTCAGTTTCTCGTAATATAGATATACGTCCTTGTGAACACACGTCAGAAAGTTAAAGAGAAGCGAAGTGTCTTTCTAAGCATTTGGGTCACGCTTTTACAAAATTACGTGTCTTGTCGCACATATGCAGAAGAATGTCCCCGGGACGAATTAATCAACATTATTAAATCCCCTCGCTACTTACGATTTACGAGTAAAACTTTTAATAGACAATTTGTCTTCATTATACCACAAATCTTAGCAAAAATTCGTATCTCTTTTCCTATCCTCACGCAGATTGGGAAAAGTGTGGTTAGATGGAAGAGAGAATGTCGTCAGAGTTAGTTGAAAAATTTAACGCGACTGCAGCGCCATCTGCTAATTTTATGGGTAGTCTTAAGAGGCCCGTCTTAAAGCACCTACCTCTATTTTACACGTCTGTCATGTGTGTTTCAACTGAAAACATTAAAAGGTAAAATTCACATAAATCTACAGTGTAAAATGGTTCATAAGACAGATTACAAAGTAATCACTTATGAGACTGTAAAGCCAAGATCATTTTCTAAATGCATTAGTAACGCAAACTGCGTTCTAATACAGAATTCATTGGCGGACTGTTGAATGTGTTAATAAATCTGTTCAAGAACTACCATAATATCGAGTATATTGTGTGTGTATACCTATATATATATATCTTCATGTTTATATATATACACAGAGGAAAGTTATTTAGGAACAGATGCCAAGGTCTAGTCGTCACGGTGACGGAATGACGTAACTTCTGGTGAACTAGACAATAAGTCAATGTCATTTAGAATTGGCTCTTGGCTACAAGAAGCAATTGCCCTCCTGTTGTTCCGGATGTGATTAGAAAAATTGCGATGAATCTGACGCTGCCGATGTATTGACAAATAGCCAATTCGCTTTTTGGAATGGAAAAAAAAAAATTCCAGAAATCTATTTCCACGGAAATTTTGGTATCTCATTCCATATCTTGAGGTAACGTTTATTAAAGTATCAAGTAACCTTGATAACGAATGATTCTCTTAGAACGCGTGGAAATACGTAATCTTCCTTGGGAGTTTCCAACACGCCGTTGCTAGATGGGATTAAAGAGAGGAAGAATAAGTGAAACTGACGATATCTCAGAATAAAAATAAGTCTGTGCTGAACGATAAGGAAGTGTCGTCCGGGTCAGTCTGCATAGAATATCGTATCACTCCTGAACTTCTGAACCTGTTGTATCCAGGTGACCTCGATAACTGGACGATCCACGTATATAAAATGGACGACCCACCAAAGCATAACATTTGCAGTTTGAGACGTACAGCGTGTGTTGATATCGAAGAGGAATCATGAAGTTGCTTTATTTCCTTTGTCTGATCATGCTGGCCATGGCGTTCCTGATGGGAGCTGACGCCAGTGAGTATATTCCCTAACCCAAGATTATTGACAAGTAAAACATAACAATGTCTTTCGTGCTTACAAGAATGTACAGTGAGATATTTGATTAGATAAAATTTCCTTTTAAGCATTAATTATATTATTATATGCATTACAGAATGCACCGAGGCTGAATGCAGAAAATCGTGCGGTTTTGTTGGAAGTATACCTGGAGGAGCTGGTGGAAAGTACTGTGTCGATGGCTCTTGTCGTTGTTACTTGACTACATCATAAAGATCTACTCCTTGAACATTTAAAAATACCATAAACTAAGTGTCTGTTAAATGTACACTTGAGATGTCAATAAAACTTTGCTGATCATACAATACATAAACATGATCCAGTAGTAAGTACTGAGCAGACTATTACATAATATTGTATGGTTAATCAAATAAGTTAGAAACTATCAAAAGTACAAAAAGTCTACTTTGTCTGTGACTTGCTAAAAATAAATGGGTCTGCATCTGTTTCAATGGAATCTATATACAAAGAATTGATATTGTCAACGCACTGCCACAGTCTATTCTAGTTGACAGACTCACTCTCAAGATTTAATTTCTACCATGGAATACCTTGACTGAACTGCGTTTCCAATTCCTGGCGATATACAATTCCGTAAGGAAAACTAAAGTGCAGCCAAACAATCCAATAAGCAGTACAAGGAACGTAAGAGAGTAGTGACTTAAGGTTAATTTGATATCCTTGGTATTCCTTTTTCCGTTGATTCTGTTCTCCTTCATTTTTATTGGATAAATCATGTTCTCGCACCACTGGTTAAACAGACCAGCCTGTATCATTCTAAGGAGCAGCGCGTCGATCCTGTCCAGGTAAGGTGATACAATTCCCACCACGTATGCCAGCATATAATGCGAAGGATATTCCTCTACTACGTGTATCAATTTATTACCCTCCTGGTCGTAATAGCTTGTCAAATCCTCGAGTTTCAACGTTGCCAAACGAGTCAGAGAAATGGCCTTCCTGCTGAAGGCTACGTAGTCCTTGCTATGGATATTTGACGGTAGAGTTTTCATTTTCTTACGAAGTATATTACTGACGGGGCTGTCCTCGCTGAAGGTGCTCGCCAAGAGGTTGTCATACTTTGTTACTATGGTCAAATCGGTCTCAGCCACGTCTGCCAGAGTATGAAGTTCCCTCCTCATCATTGGCTTGCTGAGTGTCGATACCAGACAACTTTGGTAAAGTCCAACGACGACGATACTGAGCAGCAGGACGTTGCAGAGGAAAAAACGCTGCGCTGAAGATTTTCCACCTTCCAAAGGATAAAAGATATTTATGTATATGTCGACAAATATTTTTAAACAGGCATGAATATCAGGTGGTTCCGTTTGGTGTCGTTTGTCTTGCAATTTCTCAGCTGCAACGTGTGTCTTGAAGTTGGTTGAAAAGTTAGGTGTGACTGGCTGCTTGACAAATTTATCTTTTCCTGCGACTCTGTCAAGTTCATCTTCTTCGATCTGCGGAAACACGTGTGACCCAGTTTGTATCTTGTGCAGCGGATCTCTTTTCCAGGCTCGGCGTTCGGGGTTGTTCCTGTAGGAAGTCAAGAGATGCATGCCATTATAATTTTCTCTAATACGTTCAGATTGACAGTTTTTAAAAGCATTACGTAATTTTGACAGTATTATCTTTCCTCTTGATATTCTTGGCATATGCCAGTGACATCTTGGATTTAGTGGATCATCATGATTTTCTTGATTAACTTCACCGCCGTAATGTTTCACCAGGTGCCAGAGGACAGCGACTATCACGTTGTACGCAAGAAGAAGGTACCACAAGGGGCGACTGAAGGGTGTAAACGGCATTGCGTATTTCGGAACCGGTCCGGAAGATGGCGCCAGGAGACACAGTTTATCTTCGAAAACTGCTACGGTGTATTTATAATGGTTCATGTCTTGATAATTCTTCATAAAATAGCCAGTGATCGATATATCGATATTTCCGTTTTCTATCCTGTGCAGCCCTTCCAAGAAGGGATCGTTGCGGGAGGAATTGCTTGGGATTACCTTGATGCGAAACTGAGAATTCATATATTTCTTCAAGGACCTCAATGCTTCGGCATCCATCCCGGAGAAGACATATTTCCCATTCTTCTCCGTACTGATGTTCATCATAAGGGAATTGAAAACAGCCACGTTCAATGGATAATTATTCAAATCAGTAAAATCCTCGAAAATCCTCAACGGATCCTTCCAAACTTTTACATTTTTATTTCCAGCCTGACAGGTCCAATTTTTAAATCCATCTTCCAAATTATCTGTACCGTTTTCCACGGTGTAAATATTTGTACAAGTATCTCGGTCGAACAAGGAAAATTTCAAAATTGATTCCTCAATCAATTTACCCGGCTGATTTTCAATCTTGAATATTTTACTGTATTCACCAATATCCTTCATCGTCTCTTCCTGCGATCCTTCTAGAAGTCCTTCGGGTACTTCGGATGCGTCCAAGTAAACTTTTTCCACAGTGCCGTATTCCTCGTGATAAAACACGAAGGGCGAATACTTGTATAAACACCGAAAGTTCTCTTGGGCCAAAGTTACAAGGACTTTACAAGCCTTATATTTTCTCCATAGAGAATCGAAAATTAATTTCGGCAAACTTTCACTCTCGTAGCCGACAAATACGATGATGAATTTACTCGCAGGATCCCACAGATAATTCTTCGACTCTACGTACCGATAAAGTATCTGAAAATTATCGACCACGATTATCCATGTTACACCGACATACTTCAAAATGGCACTGGTCCTAGAAAGATTATCAATGTCGGCTTGATAAGTAGTAAGATTTAGTCTCCCAAGATATTTCGTAATCGAATCCGCAATTTCGTAACCACCGGTCAGCGAGCAAACACTCAATTTTAAGGGATCAAATTCAGCTGAATTTTTTACACGGTGCAAGATACGTGCCAAATTCCTTAGCATCTCCTTTCCCAATTCAGGATCCCGTACGTGCTCCTTGTAATAGACCCCGTAGAACGGCTCCCCTTTCACGTGAGAAACGAACAGCACAAATATCCAAACGTTCGTCAACTTGCCCATCTTCCTTTCAATCTTTTCCAAACCCACGCGGGTTACTTCAGGGGATGAAAATGGACACCAACGGATCGTACTGAAATTCAATAAAATCCAATATCGATATACAAAATCGAGCCATTTACGGGCTCACAAAATATTTTCGCACGAGCAACAGGTTAGTGAAGAATTCCACGTTAAATTTCATTCGAACCCTTACCTTTATCATCGTCCCACATAATTTACCATCATCCCACGTAAATGCTTGTCCGAACTCCTGTAACTTTGCACGGGATGTCACATTTTCAAAAAAAAAAAAAAAAAAATTGTTAAATTATATATGTATAAAATTTATATATCATTATATAAATATATATATATGTCTCACCTGTTTCCATAAAAAATTTTTTTTCTATTCAAATAATTCTTTCCGAATATATACTGCTCGTGTGACCGTATATCTGAAACGTATTCTAAATAAAAGGTTCGACCTCCGATATCACGAGCAAAACGCGTCGGTCGAATGACATATGAGATCACTGATGTCATTCAGGCTTCCTAATGACACAGGTCTAGTGACAAGCGATTGCGTTCTATCGTGGGTCGTTCATCGCATTTCGAAATCCAACTAATTTTTATTCCTTTCTGAGGAGCCCATCGAAAGCAATCAATAACCCCAAACCGATTGTTAACTTCAAATAGAAATCGCATGTCGCGGACAGTTTAATTACGAAGCTACTAAATACTTGGATTCATTGTTAATTGAGAAACTGTAGTAGATAACTTTATACAGTGTAATCCAACTTTTAAGTGTTTCCATGTAAACAGAGTAAGGCCCGCTTGGATTTTTAATAAGATTATTATCTGTACACCATGTACGTGAAGCAACATTACGTAAGCGTCCTTACAGCAGAATGGGAAATGACGAACTTGGACATATCAATTATTTTGAAAAATAATAACAACCATAATTGGCCATTAATGCAGAAGGGACAAATGATACTAGTCTAGGGGGTGATAAATAAAAAATGAAAAACAGAATATAAAGTCTGCAAATAATATACTGGATTGATAGCCAAGCACGTGAATTCTAGTCCTATAATTAAATGTGTAAAATATTTATGTATCACGCTGTATGAAAAATAGACGATAAAAATGAAGTCGTTCGATGATTATATATATATATAGATCCTCACAGAGATTCAGTACGATTTTGTAAATTTTAGTATGTACTATGGACAAGTACTGTACATATGTAACTTTTATGTCAACATAGGATGGACTGATCAATTGTCTCTATCTTTCAGTTTAGTAAAAGTTAGTCACCATTTACTTGATGTGAGTATAAAAGTCAATGGCGACAGTTTTAACGATCGTTTCGTCCCACAGATACGAAGAATGTAGAAGCCAAAGTGTTGTAGTAAATCTGAAAGAATGCGTTCGGGAATAAAGTAAAAGGCAAAAGAGTTCGACCTCCGTCGAACAGTGACATCTGCATTTGTGAAAGAAAGGGGAAGAAATACGGTACAGTTTAGTTGGTCGAAAACTGTAATTTTGGAGGTTAATAATTATTTATACGATAACTGAGAAAAGATATAAAATCCATACCACGAACTTTATAGGGCTCAAAGTTACTTTATCTGATCTTTGATTTGTATCTAAGTTTGACAGCTTATTTTTTCTACGTGTTTTTACCTCCATTATTGTCAGCTGCGAAAGAGTGTATAGTTTGGGTGACAGACGCGAGACGAGACGAAAAACACGTAGGAAACTATCAATTTAGAATATTCAAATGTCCCGCGTTAAGGGCATGCAATTATCGTGGGATAAAATTACTAACTGGTACGATCAGTGGAAATATTGTGTTCGTGAAATCTTTAGAATCTCGGATACTTGGAGAGTTATATAATATTCATGGGGATAGCAAGAGGTGGCGCCACGGTAGAATTCAAATTTCGTAGTTTACGATCTAGACCTGATTAACGTTACAAAATTATAGACCACTTCTTTGTTGTTCTCTACTGTCGTATATCGCCAACGCTTGATTCTCAGTCGTTTAAATAAATGCTAGGTGGCGTTTAATCGCGAAAAAATTGTAATCGCGTGTCAACGATCTCCGTCGATTTGGCAAACCTTACGCAAAAGCTTGTAAATATTTATTTCGGCAATTCTGATATATATATTTACGCCTTTTTCCCCATTAGAGTAATACTTGTTGGCAAAGGGACGGAAAGCACATAACCTAAACGCCACAGATGATTCTAAGTACACTAGCGGGGACGCCATTTTGTCATTAATGATTCATATGCAAGCAGGAATGTCACGATTATATAACATAGGTCTAACAAGCACTGTGTGTTCTAGTCTTCAAGAAGTCTTACCGTAAGTCTCTAGCATTGAATTAGATTGCCAAGAGGCACGAGTGGACGCCGAGAGTGTCACTAACTTTATCCAGGAGTAAGAAGTCGGCAATTTCAAATGCGCGTAATCGTTAAAAATTATTCGAAATCTTAAAAAATCACCCACAATCCCGTCAAAATTTTACGAGTCGGTTCACCTTCTCTGATAACTTATTCGCTGCCCCATTTCATTCCAGCTGATTGAAAAATCCTATTGATACCGAAGCACATGAAAAATTTCAATAAAATAAACTAACGGCTATTCCATCTAAAAAGAAGCAACCAGACGCTTTGTTAAATTTTAGTTGAGACGACCTTTACTTTTCACGATTCAGTAATTTTCATCGAAGCTGATTGGACAAAGCTTATCAACGAATTTTTTTTATCAGATACCAGTATTGTTGAACGAATTTTTATCACATCCAAAAAGTCGATTGACCCGCCCTTGGAAACTCGTTACTTTCTCTGATATCTTCGAATCGCTATACGTACGTAACGTCAATGCGTGCATCGCGTGAAGCATATTTTGCATTTCTATGACGATTTGATAAGAAACTTCAGTAGTCATGTAAGAGTCGCATGAAATTTTCCGAAAAAAATTAATTCGTTAAAATTTATACACGCGTATTACGTCAAATCGGTATGATCTATGAATTCGAATCCAGTAGCAGAACCACGATGCTCGTATGGCTGATTAAATATAAATCCTGAAAATGACAAAGTTAATTAAACCAAAAACGCCTACCTTGCCTGCTGTACGTCACTACTGGATGATTAAAGAAATTTTAGTACGTGAGCACAAAGATGCATAAGATTGTTAACTCTCGTAAAAGCAATGACACCAATCGTTACCATAAAAATTTCTACTAGTAAGCTTTACTAGCGCGCAGCCATCGATAAATGGTTTCGCATTTCGCATAAAACAAAATTTACTGTGTTAATTATACCCAGCACTTTTACTCACGGCTATTATTTTAACAACGCCTCGGACATTAGCTACGTAGATCGAAGATCGTAAAAGGACACTCGCTTAGCGTTCGCGTTGAAACAGCATTTTCAATTTCTTCCTTAACAGTTTCCAAGTTTCCCCACGAGGTGGCACTAGTACTGCACTTTGCTAATGCATCAGTACACGAGCGATCTCCCGTCGGAAAGTCTTAACTATACGAAGGGGACATAATCAGCGTGGATGGAAGTTCAACAGATTTCACCGTACAGAATAATATAGTGCAAGAGACTTTTAAGAGTAAGGCAAACAAAATCAAATTCGAGATAACAATTTTTTATTCCGATATGGAGCATTCTTATTGATCTATCAAGAACAATTAAACGGGTGATATTGAATGCAAGTAAAGCGTACAAACTCGAAGGCCGATCATCATCGATTCATCCCACGTATCTTCCTGTCCCATAATGAGAATTCCTAACGCATTAAATATCCAATATTGAAATACGTTGCTCTCAGATGATAAAGAAAATAATATTAGCGACAGTAGTGCTTTTTAGTTTGTCCCCAAATATACATGGGATCGAAAGGACCAAAAAATGGCACGAGGATGCCTCATTCTGGACGAGCTTTATTTGTTCCGCAAGGAATTCCAGGTCGTTTGGCATCTATCAGATTTACACCAACTATTCGTACCGATTGAGAGAATTCGTGAAGAGATTTACGCCAAATTTATACATGGATTGTCAGTCGCTACTGTACCTGAGAACGTACAAGATCTACTCGAGAGACTATGCAGATGGTATATTCATAATTCGTCAGACGAGATACCCAAGAACATCGAAGAGAGCTGTTATCGAAAATTCTATAAGGCTAAAAGTGCCTGCTGAGGTCAGCGGAAGTGCTGGTAGCCATTTCATTGATACCCCAGCAGTAACAGTCATATTGATAGACAGCGAAGAGAGCTTGGTTGGATTTTTGAATCACGTTGTACCCGAGGAGTGGAACAATACAATGAAATTTCTTATTATCATGATCACGGATAACAATGACTCGACGCAGGTAGAAAATCCTAAACACGTGGCTGATAATATATTAAAGAGACTATGGCGCGAAAGACAAATACTCAATGTTATCTTTGTCGCTCCTTTCACGACCTTTGAAAGCTGCGCCTTCACGTACAATCCAATTTCAAGTTTCGCTGGACAGGATATAACGGGTGAGATTGAAATCTTCAAATTTGAATCGAGCGACAAGGCAGCGACGACGATGGCGAAAATTTACGCGCGAAATTTAAATAACCTTCATGGATATCCATTGAAGGTCGGTATGTTCGAAAGAATTCCTACGTCTCTCAGACTGGTGGATAAAGTTGATCACGGATTCTTACATTGCAAGAAGACAATAATATTCACGGGTATCGACGGTCTCATGTTGGACACTGTTGCAGAGGCCATGAATTTTACAACGGTTATCTACCGTCCCACGGATGGAATTGAATTCGGCTACCAAATGCAGAACGGGACATACGTCGGTACTCTAGGTAAGACTATTGTTAATTTTTAGTATTTCATATACGCTTACTTATATCCCACTGATATTGCCATGCAGGTGACATCGTATCGAAAAAAATTGACGTGTCCTTCAACGCCATGTTTATAAAGAAGTATGGGAACGATCCAAATGCCATAAAATTCAGTTCGTACGTTGCATTCGACAAATTGTGTCTGGTGGTACCAAAAGCCTCGAAGATACCACAATGGCTTAGAATCTTTCAAAGTTTCACCCCAACCTTATGGCTATATCTTGGAATCGTTCAGATCGTCTGCGGCGCCACCTGGTACATTATACAAAGAAGAGATCGGCCGAGTGAAATAAATTTTCTAGTAGTTCTACTGGATACCACGTTACTGTTCGCCGGTGCACCGCGCCATCTGCCATTGATAACAAGCGGCAGAATCCTCATAGGAAGTCTGCTCCTCCTGAGTGTCACGATAACTGGAATTTTTAACGGCAGCCTCTACAAGAGTTTCTCTACGGATTCCTATTACAAGGACATCGATGAATTAAAGGACGTGGATGAATCTGGCTTACAGATTGGTACGGGCTCGCCCAATCTCCGCGACATGTTCGGTTGTGATAATGATTCCGAGATTATGGTAAACTTGCGAAAAAAATTTAGCGTCATCCCAAGCTCAGACATCCCGGCTATCGAGAGGACCGCTTATTTTCGTAACTTTTCGGCTGTTGACAGGGAAAATGATCTCTTGTTACGTTTAAATACTAAATACATTGATCGTGACGGTAATCATATGTTACATATCGTTTCCGAGTGTCCACGTACGTACTCCCTTGGATATGCGGGACATAGGAATTCAATTTTTTTCGACAGAATGAACGTCATCATATCCAGAACCATGGAAGCTGGTTTAACGAACTATTGGTATGCGTGGACTATCGATAATTATCTCCAAAAGAATAGCACACGTCAGTTTATTCGCACGCAACAAAAATTCGTCGGATTTCACCTGTACGACGTGCAAACGTCATTTTTCATATTGGCATTCGGACTTTTTTTGTCTCTCCTTGTATTTATCGGCGAACACGTTGTAGAACGAAGAGTCGAAATTTATTTTAAAATGCGTCAATGGTCTTGTAGCGTCTTTAATATACCTAGTGGCACGGAACGTAGGACTTATGCGTGAATAAAAAAAGATTCGTATTGAAAAAATATAATTGTATTAAAAATCACTGTTACCATACCTTAATAGCAGATACTGTATTTTTATTCAAATAGGGATATCCCTGAAATATATTTCTTTCCTTTTCTAACCAAGTACCTAAAAACAGCCCACGTACGCCTATAACACTCGGTCTAACGTATGAAAGCTCTATTGTCCAAGTCGCAACTACCTTAACGTGTCCCGGACCGATAAATAAATGATTTTATCTCATCTCGTTGACCTGTAGTCATTGATAGTTTATTTAGAAAAACTTTGCTTAAACATACCTTACGAACAGACAAGATGGCCAACATCAGTGGATTCGTGAGATATGCGATAAATTTCCATTAAACAGATTTTCCAACCAGTCACTGTCGCTATTAAAATAAACCAAAATTCGAGTGAAAGCTCCTATCAAGCATCAATCATTCGCGACTGGCAAAGACGACTGATAAGATTGTAAGAATAAGGAAAAATGTCAATTACACGATACAGGTGTAAAAGCGTGTATAAATTTTATTTTACTAAGACAGTCAGCTGATCCCAGCAAAAGTATTATAAAAATTCTGTGGGTCTGTCAGGAGAGAACGATAAGAGAAAATGACTCTCGTCTGTTATTGGCAAACTCGTATAGAGGCTCAGCAAGTAGAAATTCTTAAGTGAATAAGCGAAGCAGCCGCAAAGGAAATGAGGTTTATTTTAAGCATATCTGAAAATACGCTGGCGACGTGTCTTTAGGATGTAACTCAGTCCTGTGTTACTGTGCGAGATATCATGGCCACAGTTCGGTCTCTCTCGTTAGGAATTTTCTTAGCGGGTATCACCTCAGGTACGTACGACAATCATTAATCTGTCAGGGCAGTGTAATTAATAGAATTGGGATAAGCCGGGCAAGGATGCACATCCTGTACAATTTTGAGCATGCCAAGTTCGTATTCTACAAACAGTTGGCTCAAGCAGATGGGACCTATACCCCTTACACCCACGACTGGGATAGACCAAAATGATTAATAGGTATTGCTATGTCAATTCCTAGTGACAGAGTGCTGGAGTAATCCACGAGAAAAGGCTACTGTAATCTGTGCAGCATCAGTGATGGGACCAGGGTAACTGCAATCGTTTGTTACAGATATACTCGGAGTTTCCGCCTGGGATCCCAGAGTTCAGCAGTACGTATATCATCTTCGAGATAACTTCCATCCTGAAAGCAGTATATTAGAATGATTTGCAATATAAATACTAAATAATTCTGTTGTATCAGGTATGTGGGATATGATCTTGAGAAAGGACCTGTACTTTACGAGGCGTATTATCCGGACGAGCAGACTGGCAATGAGAAACAGAAGAGCCCTTACCAGGAGAAACGATACTTTGATCGTGGCACAGTTTTGGAAAGATCTTACCAGCTTCCGGAAGATCCATACGAAATTCCTTACGGTAGCATAAATGCTAAACCGTCGCAGAGTCAACTTCAATCCCAAGCTTATGAACGATCAAACTTGCCCTACACTGTGGGCAGCGACAGGAGTGATCAGAATGGCATGGCACCCACTGAGTATCCTAGGGACTTCCCAGCCTCCAATAACGAGCCAGGAGATGGATTGAACGTTCCATCGGGTAATCCTGCCTACGAGCAAGAATCTCGAAATTATTTAAGAGGAAAAATAGAAAACGCTGAATACCTGGTACCAATACGTATCCCATACATAAGAGAGCTACCAGCTACATACTCTGTTCCTGCTGATGAGATCATCTTTGGGGAACCTTACTCCGTCGAGGAAGGCCAGGTTGAAGCTTTTGGTAACAGCTTCGACGATCCAAGGAGTCGTGAATACGCATCGCGAAGAAGGGAACTGAATCCAATTCCACGGAGAGGCTCGAATCTAGAAAATTTACAATTGAGAAACGGTGAAGTTCGTTCGATGGATACAAATTTTCGAGATTCACCGCGATACGGCGGAACAGACTTACGGAAAGTATATAACGAGAATTATAAAGAATTTCGAGATTCACCTGCTGATCCCGTGCCGATGGAAAATATATTCGCGCCTCGTCCTCAGGTAATTAACTACGTGCTTTCCCCAGTGAAGAAATCAGATTCCACGATTTCCACGGCGATGCCGAAAATTTCGACGCCAAGATCCGAGGATTATCAGCGGCCACGAAATTACGGGGACAATTTGATCAACGATCAAATTATAAGGGAGGAGGAGAACGAGCTGAAAAGGGACGAAGCCAGGGTAGCGTCCATTGAGGTTAGCGAAGTCCCGCGTCATAAGACACGTCATCATCACGGAGAACGGCCGAGACGCAATTACTCTCAGCGTTAGTTTTATTAGCGTGACGAAAACCGTCCCAAAATAATACACTCGATCATTTTGTAATTTGCATTTAATTTAAGATTATAATTTAAGAAATATCAATTATGAGACTTGTCGTTGCAATGCTTATTTTTTCAAATTTCTAATACGACCAATTGCTTCGCTTAAGCTTTACATGTAAAACTGTAGAAACGACAAATAAATGAATGACGAACCGCAGTACGTGTTTACCATGAAAATGAATACTTGTAAAGAAGATAATAATAAGAGAAAATAGCTTCTTACCGGGTAGTATGAGAGTCCCCAAACTTTAACAAGAAGAAGAGTCGACAAGTTGAATTAAGGAAGTTTACGTGAAAGTCGCTTTTATTTTCTTATACGAACGAACACGAAAAATATAAGAAGAAACGAGGAAGGAACTCGAAGTTTGTCCGAGAGAATAAATTTTTCTTCAAGGAACATACTTTCTCCATTATCTCTCGTTGTGTCTACAACTTTATTTTACATCATACGTATAACGTTACAACCATTTTTTTTTTTCTTTCAACTATTGAACATACAGTTTCCTATGAGCCTATGGCAACGCCTTATTTCTGTTACATCGATCATTCGCAAGAGTACATCCATCGATTACGTGGTTAAAGACATTGAAACGCATGATCTGCATTTCATCACCTATCAGGATTAATGACGTGACGTGAGGTGAGGATTAACGAATGGAATTTTTCAAAAGCCAAATTGGACGTCGAGAGGATCACAAAATTCATAACTCAAATTCAAACTGTCTCGAGTATAGCCGAAAATTACGTGTGACGGCATTAAGGTTTCACCCGGTATATCAAATTCACAGAGTGAATTAATGAAAAAGTTAATTCTCATTAGTAAGCATATCCTAACGTTACCATAAATCAGTTCTCAAATTAAAAAGAAAAAGAGAAAACAACTTTGCTTTATATTAAAGTAAATTATCTGGCTGTAACACCCTAAAAGAAAATGACTGCTGAATGGTATTATGATGAACACTTGAGCCTTCCACGTTTCATTCTCTCAAAGTTCAATCAGCCAGATTTCAAAGTGCTAATCGAGAGCCACGCGAGAAGTTCTCAAGTACTTTATAAGTAACCTACTCTATTGGAACACAACTTCATTTGGTGAATAGTCTCAGTTTGCTAAATCTATACTTTTACCTTTAATTCATTGGTTAAAGTAGCATTTTCGGGACAGGATGCCATACAAATGTTCAGGGTGGGAATGGGGAGAGGGGCGGAGGGCAAAAGGAAAGGTGAGGTGGTAAGACGAAGAGGGAGGGGGAGGCAATCCTTTGGGATAAATCAGCAAGGGACCATATTTTTCCTCTCGTATCACTAAGAATCGTCTTAGACGACCAATTAATTTATCACTAAGCTAACAATAAACATCGGTGACATTCTAGATTTACCTTGAGATATTATACAATCATATTAATCGCTACGAGTACCGATTGAAAATCGAATGTCTTGTACAATAATAATATCGAGATTTATCGTATTATATTACACAGATTTTCTATAAATAAGACATCTTTTTTTTCTTTATTGTTAACGCAGTGACTATCATTAAGTATAAAATTACCGGCATTGTAAAAAATATTATACACGAACTAAATAACATAGGCATCCTTTTTTTTTCAAGTGCATGGATATGTCCACGATTCTAGCTTATCAATCAATTAAACTACATGCGATTTGTCGCATCGGAAGGAGTAAAAATGTTAAAATTAATTATTCTGTTATCTCGCAGAAATCTAAAATTTTCGTAATAAATAAATGGCGACGAAGCTATACATTACGTGTAACATACACATTCCACTTAAGCGCTACTACTGTCTCGATATAAATGTTATATACTTTGCCACATCGCTAAAAGAACTTTCTCCATTTTCTTTTCGATATTTCTTTTTTTCACGGGTGACAGTCCACAGGTAACAAGCACAGGCTTACGTCTTTCGAGTGTTGCTATCGTCGTTCGGAGACTTCAGAGAGATCATACACTTTCCCTTGGTACCTAACGCCACATTATTAGTCATTTAATTTGTACATTTATACGAATTGACAGCACCAGGAATGGAAGTTATTTTTTTTATCGTTTGATGTACACCTTTAAGATAGCGGAATGTGGTTCAATCGAAGCGCTAATGATATAATGTGACGTTTGAAATGCGCAACGGTGTACATTGATCATGCTAGCATGCAGCGTTAAGTGGGAACGAAACAGGTTATTCGTATGGATGAGTTGTCACGTGGATGAAGCTGGAAGCGAGGAAATTTCACACAAAAAAATCTCGAAATTGGCTATACAAGAGCGATTCCCGCTCGAAGTTGATGTAAAACTTTCCCTGCGTGTCCAATTTTTTGAATTTCATCGGTGATTCCGTGCAAAGATGTAATACGTTTTGAATAGGAAACGGCAATGATATTCTCGGGTTGCCGTGTGAGCCACGTAGACTGTCGTTTTCGAGATTTATTCTGTAGATTTTCTAAGAAATAATTTTCAACTTTGGCGCCGCAGGGGAGGTTATTTTTTTGATAATTGAGTAGTCTAGTCCGTATGAAAACTCACACATGCCAATAGCCTGTTTCATTCGCCTTTTATGCTTTTTAGAGTAAAATTAATTCTTGTGATTTCATGACGTACACAGTAGTAGCGTATATAATGTAATACTTTTAAAAAAAAAGGTGAAATTCTCTGCCGTTGCATTCAAAAATACTTATACGGCTAGGAATGTCATTATCGACTTCTACACATATTACGTTTATAACTAGGCACATCTTCTGCTTTCCATTCCTAACTGGGAATAGTTCTTTTAAAATTCGAAAATCTAAGCAACAACAGTCGTGTTATTATCAGTTGATTAATTTATGAATAGCTGATCCTCGTAAATAAATATCAAATGATTTCGAAATCGTAGTTTATTGTGGAACAGCTTGGAAAATCATAGATTTATCAACTAATAATAATTAATAGCTCGTCTCAAATTAGTACAACAAAGTTATCTATCACAATCGATGCGTCTCTTTCATGTGAAGCCTTGAAGCAGATCAAATGTCAATAGATACATAAATTAAGTTAAATCTCATACTACGAGACTGAATAATGAAGTGGTAAAGAAAAAAACTTGTATATAGGAATGTATCAACGCGAAGATATAATAAAATTAAATATTAAGTAATTTTTGCAATCAATTGTAAGGAAATGTTCGAGTATCTCATAATATTTTGACTTCTCAGCTCCAACAAAGCATACGCATTCTATACATATAAGTTTCAGCCATCCGATACAGGCTTCTGTGCTTTCCATTCATATACAATAAAACATTTCACGATTCAAGTCACATACACGGTTTTGTACATGGTCTTATATAAATACCAGAAAAACAGTATCGTGATAATTATTCTGTCATTATTGTATACTAGTTTGCTTCATTTTACTTTAGCTACTACATTATAATAATTACCCACAGAAAATCCGGAGCGAATGGATAAAACAAAATTATTGAAGCAAGGAAGTGGCACCTGTCGAAAGAGTACACATCCTTTCGAAGAATCAGCTTAGGCCTCTGTTGGTTATTTAAGAACAAACGTGTTATTGTTAATTTGTCAGTTTCAATAGTACGTTTCTTACATACTGTGTCTAAGGCTATAGACAAAAGTGCACGAGTGCTACTTTTTTATGTACAACAAGAAGAAAAGTAACTTGTAGTGAAAGAATACGGAGAATGTTAGAATCCCAACGACATATTTAATAACAGCTACTTAAGTTAATGCTTTTAAACAAATAAATGGCAGTCATAAGATCAATGAAATTAAATGGGGGATAACGATATTTGAATTTTAGATACACTGTTATTGTACACTCTCAAATTCATTATTAGTCAAATGTCTTAAATATTAGCTGTAAGATGCCAATAAGATTTAAGCATTTGACTTAATAGCTGATACATGTATATAAACTTATATACATAATTTGTTTGTTCAGCATTTAATGCGAAACAAGTTGAACAATCAAGGACGCACGAAAATTGGGGCGTCCTAACCTCTGTCTATTTTAAAACAAGAACGTAAATAAGAAAGCGCATCATCCATTGTTTTCAATCAGCACATCCTACAAGTGCGTGACAAATAGAAACTACAAACCTGTCTGCCTCTGCCGATTAAGTTCCGCCAGGATAAAGTCTCGGAGCTTAGCATACGCCTTGTCCAAATTATCGTTCTCGATTACAAGATGAAAGTTTCCCGGTTGCTCTCCTGTAAATCAATGCAGAATTTTTAACTTTTAATAAACTCTTGTGCCATAGATATTAAATAATATGAGCAATGTACAATTAAAATACCATATTCTAATTCGGTCTTGACAACAGACAATCTGCGCTGCAGAGATTCGTCTGTTTCTGTCATACGCCCTCGTAATCGTCTTTCCAATTCAATAATAGATGGAGGTTTTATAAAAACATAAAGAGGATCAAGCGCACTGTTCTTTATTTGTTTCACACCCTGCGTGTCAATATCCATGACACAAATTTTTCCGGTACGCCTTACATCTTCAACTGCTCGTTTGCTGTAAAGATTGACTCTTTTGTACTTTTTACAACGTTGAAATCTGCTTATGAAATAATTTAGATTAACTAACGACTTTACCTGGTTCCATACATGTTGTTGCCGAAGGTCGCACTTTCAATAAATTCACCTTGATCGATCTGCTTCTGCATATCTTCCTTGTTAGTGAAATAGTAATGCTTGCCATTTTCTTCTCCAGAACGTGGGGGTCTTGTAGTGTGCGAAACGGAAAACCCAAAGGTATCAGGGAATTCCTCGAAAAGTCGCTTTATCAGCGTACTTTTGCCACTTCCGGAAGGACCGCATAACACCAGAGGACGCGGACCTTTTTGAACCATGCTAGATATGCCTGCAAAATGGAATACATTTCCGTTTTAAATTATACTTACTAGTAGTCAACATTATAAACATTATCTCAATTATAATATCACGTTTGACTTGGAATGACGAACTTAGATATCAAGACAATGTACATACTCATACCTTTTCTTAACAGTTTAAAACCCACTGAGAACATCGCACTCTAGGGAACGTTCAAACATTAGTGTAACATATTCCAACTGAATTCAGGTATAAGTTATAGGAGAAATTTAAGAACTTGTTTCAACAACATGTTGACACTGACAGAATTGCACAGTCTGTAGAATCTTCTGACAGTTAATGTGACAATGGCTAGACAACAAATTATATAGGTTGAGATCAAATATATACCATTGTTTTATGAGTCATTGTGCAATTATCATCATAAGCTAAAGCAGAACTATTAACTACACGATCAGAAAGCACATCTGATGAAGCAATAAAGGCAGTTGGTATAATTACACTGTTTATGCTAGGACTAGGCCAAGTATACTGACATTCAGATATAATGTATAGTCATTTTAAAGTTTAATGTATGAACTGTAGTACCAATCATAAAAAACTATGAATAATGATACCTTAAAATCATATAATAATAACAACATAGAATATTTATTTATACATAATCCAACTGTTACTTGGATTCCAATAAACATAGTCCAATGATACGTTTTAAACTTTCAGCTCACAAATAAAAAGATTATTGCTTTCAGGGATTTGCAAGTAGTTAAGTTTGAACACTTATGTAGGTTACTATGTGATTTATAAATAGCTCAATGAAGTATATGCGTCATTGCTATATTTGCAAAGAAACAATTAGTGTTATATATAACAGAAATGATTTGACCTCACCAAAATGATAAATGGAATCAAAAATAGCCATAACAATAAAACCCCAAACAATAAAAATTATAAACAGTTAAAATAGTTTAAAAAATCAAAAATTCCATGACAAACATAATATTGCAAAAGTAGTTTAAGATTAACAATACCTAGATATAGATTTAATAATAAATGTCAACACGAAAGTGAAAACCCAAAAGTAGTGATAAAATAACAATGATTGTTGGACAAATAATTATCGATATAAATAAGTATTATAAAAATCAGTGTTAATGGAACCCATTTAAAGGAAATGTGAAAAAAATAGTAATATAAAATGCAGATATCAATGCTGCCATAGCAAGATGCGATGAACGTCGTAAAATGATGAACTTAAGTTCATATTCGGATTCCAGAAAATTAACAATGCAATGGAATGAATAAATTACTAGATAAAACTCACATGCCAATAATGAGAGCAGCGTGATACTTAAAAAGTATATTGTATAGACAAGAAGTAATAATTCAAGAAAACCGTCGCGTGCCAATGTGCTATTTTATAGGCTGGCCGCGAAAGTGAGACCAATGTCTCGAAAATATTGATTTTCCGACGCAAAACGTGTCGTAAAAGGAGCAACCGACAAGCACGAAAGAAAGAAGTTTTCACAGCGGCATAATTACTGACAAAGCGGTATTTACCATAACACTTGAAAAGTCATATTTTACTAAACAGCACCACACGCTCGCTTAGCAATGAGTCATAACCTTGAATCATATTCCAGTCCATGACAAAGAATCCATACTTTGCCATTATTAATCGCCTTTACGTGATTTTGAATTTTATCCGGCACGCGATTATTTCCGAGCACATTGGCATAGGAGAACGGAGTTTTTAACTTTTATACGTTGTTTCATGATTGTAATACATATTTAAATGCCTTACCTTCGAAGTCTCCTTGTGCTCGTAAAAAGCCGCACGTCGGCAATTCTCGTTACGAACTTTTTGCAAGAAAAACTCCTGAAACGTGCGGCTCGCGACTAGTAATGAAAAAAGGGGCAATAGATCCTAAACGCTAGTCCATCTGGCACGTTTGTGCGTGACGTTCGTGCGCATGTCTCCATCACCTGTCCTCATGGTCTCCTGTTTAAAACATTAATAAGGCACGTACACATTTTCTTTCCCTTGAGTCCTATTTTTCTTATAATTTACTACGTTTTATGTAGCCTGCTTGATTGATGACTAATTTGTACATACAAAATTTCTTAATATTGTAATAAGAAAATTTAATGCACAGTAGAAGTTTTTACAGAATTAAATCGTGGTTTCCAATAAAAATAAAACCGTTAACACTGTTGACATGGAATTTGTGGGTGTGTTCCGTAACACACTGTAAGCACTTACAGCATGGCGCTGATAAAGTATGCTGTGAAAGTGTTCCGAAATGATGTGACGTAGTATGAAGCACTGGTAGCACAGTAAAACGTAACGGTATAGTAAGTACATGAATCATGGTAGAAAAATTACAGTTACGAGGTGTCGGTCATTAAATGGCTTGGCATACTATTATATATTTTAAAAAATAATAGCAGAAGATAATTTTATATTCAATATTCGTCTGTGCGTCGATTAACGCTATTTCTACCAAGGATGCCGCCATTAGTATGAATCTGCCTCACCTCTGGGGCTGTAGTAACCGCAGCATGGAACTTAGGTTCGTACGAGGCACAAAAAATTCAATTAATAATTTCGCGCTACTAAAACTAGTATGCTGTAACGAATTTCGGAACACATTTTACAGTACTGCCAATGCTTACAGTGTGTTACGGAACACACCCTGTATGTTGGGTTGAAAGATAATAGTATTTTATACAACAAATTTATATAGATTTATTGACCGTAAGATTTACGAAAGTTTCATTTTTATAAGTGCTTTAGGAATCATATGAACTAAATGACATTTACAGGAAGAATTTTAAATCGCCTAAAAGAGACTTAAAATAATTATGACTAAATGTTACTGGTGTATCAACTAAATCTATTTGCACGAATAGAATTTAAATAGAGCGAACAATTGTAATAGAACGTTATTAGGTAATTTGTTTTTTATATATCAGTGCATCCAGTGACTGGACTCATGCCGATATAACATATGATACAAGGTAAGAATTTTTCTATCTGAAGAGAAATAACTAAATATCCGGTGCTTCAATATCGCAATCAATGCTTACACCAGATAAAATATACAGCATAGAATGCGATTAAGTAAAAAGTCTTTAAACGTCCAATTTCATGTCAAAATATAATCAAATAAAATCGAACTCATAATAAACACAGACTGTTTGGTATTGGACGAATTATAACAGATTTATCTTAGTAGCAGTTAGTCTTTTCGTATGTATATATAAATTTGAAATTACCGTACGATGAACTCGCAAGGTCATTCTTTAATCTGGAATAAAATATAGATTAATTTGATTAAAGATCTATGTATCGCGCCTATCTATTTTTCCGTTCAATATGGCCACACATACATCCAACATACTCGCGCTAAAGAAGCACAAAGTACAAATAAAAATAATTATCACATTACGTTTTACCGTCACTGACGTGCGGCCATTCACACGTTTTGTACGTGACAGATTTTACAATAACAGTAATAATGGCAATGATTATCATAGTCGAGTACCCAATACTCTCACTGTTTTCGGCACTCATTAATTGTACGCAATCTCTTTTTTTTCATTACTCGATTCTTCTCAGTTCCATCATCTTTCAATGTTGCTCGTATACAGCATATTCACTAAAGATAGAAAAACTCCACTCAGACTTCAGTGGATCCAGTAGGCTTAGCCTGCGTTCTTCGACGTGCAAGTTCTGACATAACAACAGGACCAACGTGAGGCGAACGCGGACTGCTTGACATTGCTTTGTATGTCGCCGCTACTGCACTCTGAAATCAATCAGACAGATTTATGATACTGTCATTCCTATGAATATTAATTTATAATACCTTGAAACTATGTGGATCTCTGGTAATATCTGGTAAGATTTTATAAGGAAGACGATGCCGATTGGCAATCCATGGATACTTCAAAATCGAAGCTGCGGTAGGCCGTCGAGTAGGATCAACGTGTAACATTCTTCTAACGAGTTCCTTAGCTTCATTTGATATCTGACACCAAACTCCACTTTCCACGTCTACGCGTCCAGGACCAATACGATCTAAAATATCGCTTGCACTGTCTCCAGGACTATTTGGAAATGGAGTATACCTGCGATAAGTCATATTCTGTTATTACTTGTTACGTATACCTAAAATTAGTATAATGAATCAATTCATATGTTTTATTAGTTGCCTGTTGATTACCCAGAGAGCATGATGTATAGCAAAACACCAAGCGACCAAATATCGCAAGCGGCGTCATATCCTTGACGCTTTAATACTTCAGGGGCTACGAAGTTTGCCGTGTAGCAAGGCGTCATTAAAAGGCCATTTTCAGCACGAAGCTGTTTTGCGAATCCAAGATCGCATATGCATAATGTAGTCGGATCACCTCCTGCTTTTGCGTATAAAATATTTGAAGGCTTCAGGTCCCGATGAACCACCTGTTATATAGAAACGTTCTTATAATGAGTTAGACCTTCGGGTTGTCATGGGAAAGTCAATAAAATGAATGGCACTCGCCCCATTTTCATGGAGATAATGAACTACACTGGTGATTGTATGAGTAACTTCTGCGGCCTCTCTTTCCGTAAAATTGCGCCGTTGTAGTAGACGGTCGAGTAACTCCCCACCGCGTAAAAGTTCTAGAACTAAATAGGCCCGCCTATCATCCTCGTGAACTGCACGCAGAGAAACAATATGTGGATGTCGACCATATCGTAAGAGGATCTCTATTTCCTCGGAAGGATCACGTTTTAATTTTTCAATGACCTAGAGAAGAAATTAATTGTACATATATGTTTGAATATGGAGCTGACCTTGAAATTGGTGTTATCGGCATTACCTTGATCGCGTACTCCATTTTTGTACCTTTGTGTACTGCTAAGTAAACGGTGCTATAACTTCCTTTACCAATTTCCTGTTTAAATTCGTACTCGTCGGTCACAGAAGTAGGATTGACGTAAGCTGGAAAGGTGTTACTAATACTTTCACATGTTTTAAATTCAGTCTGTCCTTTGGTATGTTCTTCTAGAAGGCAAGGCGCGACAAAACTAAATCCACGAAACAGTTCATGGGCATTTGCACTTGGTGGTATTCCAGGTGAATCTATAAATTATATAGATAAAACTCTCGCCAATTCTTCAAAATGGAAAATTAATTGATCTTCACGAAAGTCGATACCTTTAGGTGTTTTGCAGGTAAACTCACTGTCAAAATAAAACGCATCATCCTCTCGACTCACAGCAGGTTTAAATGGGGGCCTTATTTCTTTTCTGTAAAGTGCATCCCAGTCAATGGATGCAAAGAATACGTGACTTTTTATTTCCTCAACTCCACCTATAATATAAAAATTTTGATATACTGTAGAGGCGAGTACTTATTGCTAAGATTTTAGATTTTTACCTGAACCAAGTCTGTTGGCTGGATTTCTTTTGAAGAGCACTCGCAATAGTGCCTGCGCTTCAGGAGAAATGTTATGTGGCATGCCCAGTTTTGCTTTCAGTATCTGTGTCATGGTTTCTTTGCGATTCGTGCCTTGGAACGGAAGAGCCCCGGTCAGCATCTCAAACTATTAAGTTACTAGTTTACTAAAAAAATAATAGTTTAACGAATTTTCTGTATGATTGCTATGTCTGTTTACCATTAGAACACCAAAACTCCACCAATCGGCCGTAAATGAATGCCCTTTTCTATTGACGACTTCGGGAGCCATATATTCAACAGTTCCACAAAAGGAATATGTTTTTGTATCATCTAATGGCTGTTTGCTTAATCCGAAATCGGTCAGCGATATATGACCATCAGTATCCAATAGTATGCTAACATTAAAAAATTCAGTTTAGCGTTAATAATATTACCATGCTATTATGATCAATATACATTAGGATACAAACTTTTCAGGTTTAAGGTCACGGTAAATAATGCCAAGTTTGTGTATGTGATCTAGGGCTAAAGCTAATTCCGCTAAATAGAATTTAACATCATCTTCAGTGAACATCACCTGTGAAAAAAATCATTTAAAGTGTTAATATATTTTTATACAATTGATTCCATTGCAATTAGCTGACCTCTTTTGATAAACGTGAAAAGAGATCTCCACCGCGAAGAAAATCGAGGATCAGATACAATTTGCCTTCCGTTTGAAAAGCATAGTGTAAGCGGACGATAAACGGATGTTCAACATCCACTAAAATATTTCGTTCCATTTTTGTTCTCACTCTATCACGAACTAAAAATAAAAACATAAAGATATAAATGCTGCTGCAATGAAGAATTATAGTACATAATATGATTAAATTATTTTGATTATACCTTTGAGAGTAGCCTTTTTAAGCACCTTCATGGCATAAAGAGTACCACTATCTTTACCTACTACCTTCCGTACCAAAAAAACCTAAATAAATATAAATACAAAGTAACATTACTCCACTCAAGAAATATATTCGATACATCCAACTGATTGTGTTTATGTTAATTCACCTTTCCAAAGGAGCCCTGACCAAGAACTTTAAGGAGTTCAAAATGATTAGGCTCAGCCTTCTCATGTCCATCTCGAACGACTTCCCGTACTTCAATTTCATGCGACTCTGAACAGCCATTGGATCGTGGTTCAATCATGCTGCCCTTCATAACCATGGATTCTTCCTGATTTTCTGCTGGTAGGATTTCTGTGCTCTGATGCAACAGTACATTAAATAATGTTAACAATCATCTAGGTGCATCATACAAAATTAATTTCAATAATAATGCAGAATGGAGCACATGAGATAAAATAACTAAACTGAACGTGAAATCACGTTGAAAAATATCCGTCCCTGAAAAGCAATGCTCATCGCCATTTAGTAGATGCCGAGAAGGCCAAAAGTTTGAAAGCAAAATCTGTTACCTTTTCGGTTACATGTTGCTGATTCCAAGGTACTGTCAAAGTCGCCAACGGCATTATATTGGATGTCGTGCTTATTTTGAATAATATAATTGTTCGCAACCGATATTTTCTAAGGTACTAGCTGCGATCACCAACATTTAGCAAGTTTCAAAAATACCTGTGATCAATTTCAAGCGTCTGGCTTTATCACTATGATTAACGTTAATACAAGCACAGAAAACACAAGTTCGCGGTCAGCGCACGTATCGACCACAGATAACAGAATTACCGTGAAAAAACTCAAACCGGAACCACAATACTACGTGTAGTCCACGGCATGGTACAGATAAACGAGGCATAACCACTAACCATAGTATTTTGGTCCAGATAGCGCAGGATCCAACGACGCCATATTCAAAGCGACGTATCACTTTCAGGGGACTTATTTACGTTTTGGCTCGTAAAGAGATGGCACCTCAATGTGGCACCGATGTCACAGCGTGACTTCATACATACGAAAAGTCAGCCAATTAGAAGAGAGAGGGTCCAGTGACGTCACTATCCACATGCGTAGAACCTCTACTAACTATACCTTGTCTATTTTCACCTTGAACTACAGTACGTACATTACCTCGACACGTTTTTCCTTGCATTTACAAAATGATAATAATAACCACTGCAGAACCATTATTATTTTGAGATATTAAAAATTCAACCGCAGCACCAGTAATATGTTAAATACTATAATGTATGATACAGTTTAATTTTTTTTGTAATGACGAGTTTTTCTTATCAGCTACAATTGCATGACGAGATTACTGTGCGACGAGATAATATTTATACGACGTATTACTTCATTACGATTTTGACAATAAATTTTTCTGATTAGTTTCTTATCAACTTGCAAATATACATGTTCTATTTTAAATTTATTCATTGTAACATTTGCGATGCGGATTTAGTATCACAAGATATAATTTAACATTCGTCACACATTAAGAAAATTGATATTTGCATTATATATACTCGAGACCTCATTCAATTTTAATATGAGCTTTTAATGCTTTTAATTGAAAAAGGCATATTACCCTCATTTTAATTTTGCCCTCGTCGGGCAATAACGTTGTGCACTCATTTATTGCAAGGATTGACAACTGTAGCTTGATGAAAACTAGCATTAATACTGCGGCCGCTGTGACTTGTGAATGAACATAAGGTTCTGTCACTTTGGAATACTAATTCCATTTACTGGTAAATCGTTATGATGTGTACGCTAATGTTATAGATTAATTAAAGTCATTTACACAGTGCGGAAAGTGTCATCATAAAGCGGAGAGTGATAACGTGTACTTTATATATTGAAAGGATATTTGTACAAAAATAATATATTTTCATAAATGAAATGAGTATAACTCACATATAACCTAAAGTAACTCCAATAATGTTCAAACCATTCTACTTTTGGATTCATGTATTTATTTATCCTGCCATATAGTGATTTTGTTAACAGAAGTTGTAAAGTGATTGACGGTTCAGAAGAGACATTTGGTTTCCACAGAATAAGTTTACATAGTAGTAATCGTTATAAATATTTGCTTTACCAAAAATTTAAAAATGCCATGCTGGTACTATGAAAAAAAGGAATTACGGAATACACCATCAATCCAAGATGGTATTGATTACGATACAGAATGCAGATATAGAAAGGAAGGAGCACGTTTTATTATTGACACTGGTACTAAAATGGATCTTGGATATAATACTATGGCAACTGGTGTTGTTTATTTTCATCGGTTCTACATGTTCCACTCTTTCAAGAACTTTCCTCGTTATGTAAGAACTTTGTTTATTACTGTTACTTCGATTGTTGTGAAACAATAAGTAATAGCATAGGTCACATATTTAATTTTAGGTAACAGCATGTTGCTGTTTATTCTTGGCAGGAAAGGTGGAGGAGACTCCTAAAAAATGTAAAGATATAATAAAGACTGCCAAAACATTATTGACAGAACAAAAGTTTATGACGTTTGGTGAAGATCCCAAGGTATGTTACTCCAATGTTAGAATTATAGAGGAACCAATGTAGCCCCATTGTCATTTTCTGTATTTAGGACTCTCTGCTGCTCTAGTGTTAATTGTGATGAATTCAATTCAATATAAATATCTCAAATAATTTAAACATTTTCAGGAAGAAGTAATGACATTAGAAAGAATTTTATTGCAAACTATAAAATTTGACTTACAAGTTGAACATCCTTACAGTTACTTGTTGAAGTATGCAAAATGTCTAAAAGGTAACAACAGTTATGCATATGTAATATAAAAACATACAATATGGGATGATGATTATAACAAATTTTTAAAAATATTTTAGGTGATAAGAACAAATTACAAAAGATGGTGCAAATGGCGTGGACTTTTGTAAATGACAGGTAACACTCAAAATCAAACTATACCAATTATTGTATACTAAAAAAGAAAAATTTTAATTTGACAGTTTATGCACAACATTATCTCTACAATGGGAACCTGAAATAATTGCAGTAGCACTGATGTATTTAGCAGGCAAGTTAAGCAAATTTGAGGTAGTAGATTGGAATGGGAGACAACAGAAGCACTTGCGCTGGTGGGATATGTTTGTAGAAGATGTAACAATGGATCTTTTAGAAGGTTAGTAATACAAACTGTTTCTTTATTGAAATATGACTTTCTCTATACAATTTGATACATTATTTCTTTTCAGATATATGCCATCAAGTATTAGATCTTTATTCACAGGCAAATAGTACCAAGGCTCCAGATTCTCCACCTTTGGTACCATCTAACGAATCTACGAGAGACCGTATAATAATACCACCACCAATAGATTGTGCAAGCACAACTCCAAATGGTAAGTATTATCATTGAAATACTTTGAATAACATGAACTTTTATTCAACAAATTACTTTTTACTTTCAGTAACCCCTGGAAAAGTACCAAAAGCTGATGTTACTGCTGTACCAGCAAATGGCTGTCCTCCACCAGATATCGCGGATGGTACAAAACCATTAGAATTACCTACACATTTCCCACCATATCCAACGAACTTTCCTCCAGGAAGTGCGAGTTATTCCGCTGTTTTCCCACCAACAAACATCTCGGTACCTCCACCTCCGGTTAATGCAATGAATCACATTGTATCTGCCATGCATCATCTCGGTTCGTCGGGTTCAATTCGACCAACACCACCTGCACCTGCACATGGGCAACCACCTTTTCAACCCTACACATATCCCGCAAGTGCAACATATTTCCAAACTGGTAATCCTGCACCTCCAGCGAGTACGCAACGTACGTATTATCCCCCGCAACCATGAATTCCTTGATTTATTTCTTAGCTATTGCTATTATTAAAATTAGTATTGAAAATATTGTTATCATTATCTGCACGACCTTTATTTTTTTTTATTAATGGCAGGTAAAAAATTGAAGACTGCGATATACATGTAAAGGTTTCCTTTATTAAACAAACTTTCACCAATAAATGTGATCGGAGACTCTGTACAGTGTATTACTTCATTGAGTACGTTCACAAGTGGTTGTGCACTTCTGGAGTCAAGTGTAAAGTTATCTGTGTATAAGACATATAAAACTGCGGGTATTTCCATAATCTCTGCATAGGACATAACTGTAAAAGAAGGCATAAAATGAGATCAGGGATTTCCTTTGTTTTCAGGAGGTTCCTATGGATGGTTGTAATGTAGATGCTTTTAATTATATTAAACTTTTGTATACTTGACAAAAGAAATTCAAAACACAATAATCAAACAGTTTTTGTGTACAGTGATCCTAAATTGTAGGAATTAGATATTTCTATTGTAAATACATATGCAACAACTGCCTGAATTAAATGTGAAATTACAAATTGTAACTACAATATTGACCATTAATGTTCAGATATACATACATCTAATGAATAGTAAATCAATAAGATATTAGATAAGTTGTGAATGATACCTACTATTTTCACTTTGCCTATAGTATAATTTATTTATAATAAAACGTATTTTATACTATATGGTGTACTAACCTCCTGCCACAACACCTGTTATTATGTTTGGCTGTTCAAGACATTCTGTATTTTTTAATTTTAGTGAATCATCTGCATTTTTCGTAGCCAGTATTCTAAGAAATGTACCATCAGAAACAGAAGAACTTTTGTACTGCAACACGTGATTTGTAGTTATTGTGATTATTTTTTCAGCCTTTGATAAAAGGTCATTTACCTAAAAGGATAGATTTATTAGTAACTACTATACTCTGCAGTATTATAATAATATTCTAATAAATTCATCCACAACGTACTGCTTCAACAAATTCACTGGCATGTTTCATTTCTATATCGGTGCTTATGTTGCATATGAAAAGATCCTTGACTTTGTATATCACTGAGGGTTTTTGATGATCCCCATGATTTATAATGCCAATTTTGCTAGACTTTTGAGTTACACAGTTCTTCATAAAAGCTACAGAAACATTCATAATTATACACTGAATGAAAAAAAAATATGTGAAAAATTAGAAAATCATTCGTACCAGTCGCTTTGTCACCTTCTACCATTAGAAGCATTTTCATCTTACTTGGTACATCTTTAAACCACTGTATAGAAAAACTTCTATAATAAAATATTTTTAATTCGTTAGCAATTTTGATATATAACAAAACCAGAAGGCAAAATACATAATGTAAGAGAAGTACATAAGAGGTTATAGCATGGAAATAAAGAGTTACATTTTATTTTCAGAACTGGGAACTTCCTCCTCATCTTCATCGATCCAAAAAGCTCGAGAACTGGGATGTATAACTTCTCCAAAGTAACTTGCCATCTTATGCTAATAATCTTGATTGTACACTTATAAAAAAATGTTAATGTTTATGATCAATGCGCTTGTCATCACCTGAACCACCGAGAAGTAAGGTTATAATAACTTTACCGAAGATTTCAGTATTGGGGATAGACTAGTCTTATGAGACTGTGGAACTTTGTACCCGATAGAAAAACGGCACACACACACATGTTATACATTAGATTTCAGGCTCAGAACACACGAGGGCTGACTCTCAGCCCCCTCAGTGCATTTAACTGGTTAACACCAGAGTCAAGGAAAGGGCCTTTATGGAATAGGGCAAAGAGACAATGTTTTATATAATTTAGTCATACTTATTCTTTCAAGTTAATGTCTTTAGTATGAATTCAATTTGAATTGCACATGTGTAAGAAATTGAAAATTTATACAAAAATATTAGTACACTGGCTCTCTTTACTTGGCAAGGTGTTCTCAATTTCTAATCAAAGTTCGCTCTCTGAAGAATAATCAGTACACTTTATCACTATTAACTACTTTATTTATTAATCCATTTATCTAATAATAATTATGTCTCGATATCATGGAAAAGTATAAAATCTCTTAGTAAATTTCCTTATGCATCTGTATGTGAAATGTGTTTATCAACAATTATTCTACCTTAAATTCACTTTCAGTTTCACGTACTTATATTAATATCGTTTGACGATACTCAGATATACATATCCTCGTTCGTCCTACCACTAACTGTCAATGCACATTGCTTTCATTATGCAACATGTGATATTGTAAAACTAGAGAGAGCATTGTGTGTCTTTTATATATATAAAAAAATACTTTTATATTCTATAAACGTAATTCAGAGTACCTAATCTCGGCAATGACGTACTCAGAAGACTCGTTTTAAGATCATAAACCTAACGCGTGAGCAATATTCATCCCAGGCGGTGCCATAACGCCTTTTACAACGCGCATTGTCTCTTATCGCGCGGTACATTAATGTCAATGTACAACAAATAGCTGGGTAATACGCGAGGAAATGGCTCGTCAAACACATTGAAGCCATAGACCATTGCATTATCACATCACCCAAATAATTTGGATGTCTCACAAATCCCCAAAGACCAGACATTATCAACTTCTTACCACGTGGTGTTGGGATGGTTTCCAAGTCTGCAGAGTAAACAGGAATGTTTTTACAAACATCACATATAATATTAGAATGGAAGACTTAGTACATTGTACTTACGAGAAAGTGCCGGGGAGAGAGGATTCTTCCTGAATCCATTTTTCTGTGAATTACTCAACCTATATAATATGTAGCCAATCAGGAAACACAAAACAGGCACAGCTAGCAGATACTCCAGCTGCTCAATTCTGAAGGTAGAACGAAAATATTATTATTTATCAAACGTAGGTGTTATTACGTATTTCGTACAGTTCAGAAATTAATTTACTTGTGATGGAGCAAATATCTTGTACTCAGTGTGGATAAGAATGGGTATAGTAGGTGTCCGACACAAAGCATATAGCCAGTTCCTTCATATAGAAATTCAAAGGATGTGAGCAGAGAAGATTCAAATAAAAGGGTGTCCAAGCTATAAAATATCTGTAAAGATGCTGCTAGCAGTAGTGCTACATTCATTTTGCTCCAACTTGAGCTTCCGGACTCTTCTATTGATTTGACAATCATAATAGAATTTATAATGAGCTGTAGAGTAAATAGTTACGGTATTAATAAACAGTGAAGAAAGTTATTTCTATGAAAATAAAAAAAATATAGAATAATGATTACCGCTCCAATTACACCAGTACGACATAGAATCATCTTAAAATCCAACGGTCCAAATCTTGGATTTATTTCTCTACCTTGCCAGAAATCATATATGACATTATCAGTTGATGCATACATGTTAAGAACAGCAACAGATGCTCTACCGCCCTTAATATAAAGCACCAATGCCAAAAAAGCTCCAAGAATCCATCCACTGATTGATAATTGCAATGAGTTTTGCAAGATAAATTCGCTGATTCCATAATCATTATACTCGCTGATACCGAGTAATGAAAGTGACAGTATAGCAGCAATTATGCCTGAAGCAAAAGCAGGAGTTTCAATGAGATGATTAGCATTAAATTTATGAGTTACACGCGTTGAGTGTTACCATTTATGTGATACTGTAATATGCCAATTTTGCTGTGTTGACCGTCTACCAATTTACCAATCGGCAAAGATGAGACAAATGACACGAAAAACAGAAAGCCGGAGTACAGTAAGAAAGCTGGGACATTTAGATATGATTTCCAGTTTGTAGGTACTTGAGAGTATTGCGTGAAACTACAGCGTCCGTACTGGCAAGCAATTTGCGGCAGTATAACACTGGCAGGTAAGGCAAATATACAGCATAATGCTCCGATCCAACCACCCCATTCTTGGGGTTTGCTAACAAGATCCATTTCTTTTTTTGGCTTTTCAACAACGTCTGGTGTATCTGAGAATGTATCCTCTTCGTAATGCAAGATTTTGGCTATGTCCTAAAAATTTTTAATTACAAAGATATAGACATCGCTTGATTCAATTGAATATTATATTTCAAGTATTACATACTTGGTCTCTTTGTACTGAAAATCCTCTTTCCTTAGGTATGTATTCATATAATTGACTCTTCTTTTCTACAGGAAGCGAGGCAGCTCGGTCAATTTTTTTGGTTAAAACAATCAATTTATGATTGTATTCCAAGTTAATAGCACTTGACATTGTACGTATCGATCTACGCGTCACTGGTCCTGTTTCTCTCAATCGTGTTTGAAGAGATATTAACTCAGTAGGACTGTCTTCATCGATATCTCTCTTTTTTGCAATATCTTTTTCAATCCCATCGTTTGAATAAGCTGCATATAAATGTAATGTACATAACTTGAGATATAACAACCACTCATTTTAAGTATACATTTAAAATTATCATGTACCAGAAGATGTTTCTGTTTGAGCAGCTGATATCTTTGAGAGTCTTGTACTACGAAGAGGTAATCTTCTTGCACGTGTGTTAGGAGATCTGGCTGGAGACCTCCTACTGGGAGATTTTCTGCTAGGAGAGTTTCTTGATGGACTTTTTCTAGTTACTTTTCCACGTGATCTGGTTGTACTTCTAGAAGTTCTTTCTGCCTGTAGTCAATAATAAAGCATTATACATATATGACATTATAATCAGATATATTTTTAAATCAAAGTTCAACTCTTCTTTAATTATTATTAGAGGTTTACTTCAATTAACCAATACACCAAACATACCTTAATATCACTTTCATGAACAAGAAATTGTTCGCCTCCAGGAAATTTTATTTTATACTTGTCTCCTTTCACATTAAGAACTTTACCCCTCAAGTACTCCAGCGTATTAGGTGGCTTTGCGAGTACAGCATCACCCTCAGAAAACCTCATTTTACTTTTTATAAATTAAAAATTTCAACGTTCCTGAAATCTGTGGCAGCATACAATAGGAACTCTTAATCTATAAATAAAACTCCTTATTTAAACAGTAATTAGAACGAATTTCTATTAATAGAGAAGCAGAGGTACTTTACATAACAGTTTTCTAAAAGAATATGTGTTGGCTATACCAAATTATTGAACTAACTGCAATTCTATGGTGTAAACGCTTCAAATCATAGCATACAATAGACTCCAAATTGTTCGTTTTACGAAAAGATAAATTGCAAACTCTAAACTTGTGGCAATTACTACAAAAATTTTTCTACCAAAAAGGCGGATGAAATTTCAATGAAAATATAAACTGCTCAACTTATGATGCAACTCACTCAATACTTACTCTAATAAAGTACAAAATAGTATTGTATTCGCAGAATTTATAAAACTCTTTCAAGAAACGCAGCTTCCGCAAAACATGAGGTTATAATTAACACTATTTTTGTATCAAATCGGACAGACGCCACAACTCATTTTGTGTTCAAAAAACCATTGATTGGAGACCACGCGAAAGAGCGTCATTGACGCACTTAGTAGTGTGTTCGTAAAGCAATAATGTACTCATTTCTAACGGGACATTATTTTAATCTCATGCAACAGTGCAAATATTGTATTCACTCTATAAGAATAATAAATTCAAATCCTATCTTTCTCAAACTATCTTCTGGCAAAAGAAAGTCATTTGAGTTTTGGCTTCACTCAACAGCATTTCATAATCTGTTTGAAAAGTCAATATCCACCAACTGATCTATTTAAAAGCGAAAAAAACAGCAGATAAACGCTAGAAGTTGAAGTTGTGTCGTGAAAAATTGACAGGAAATGTTTCTCACTGCAATTCGCATCAATAGTTTGAAAAAATATATGAAATGTTGATAATTTCAGTAAAAAATCGTACAACTTCAATAATTGCAGTGAAATGGACGACGCTGAGCGCTCGGATGAATTATTTGAAAAAAGCGAAGAAGAATTCTTGGTGTGCAAACAAGAGTATATTACTATTGCTAAAATGACAAAACGATGTAACGTAAATCTTCTTAAAAAACAATTTATTTCAGGATAAACTAAGTACGGTCTTAAATTCCGCCGGGAACAATCTTCACAAATTTGTTGAGGAACAACCGAATAATTATTTAAATTCAGATTTAGATCGATGCTTGCAAAGTGTTGAAGTGGCAACACGAAAATTACATACAAACGTGCATTTACTAGTAGATCCTGTAATGTCGACAAAAACGAGTACGTATCTTACCGACCGTTGTCCGTCTCTTTACTGAGCGTACAATTACACTGTTGTCAGTACACAATTTTCTCATACACCCTAAATGCCAAATTTGACTGATTCCATGATCATAGAATTTACACTATCTTTCTGATAATCTTAAAACATACAAAGCGCCGTTTTAATTTTCCAGAAGAGACCATAAAAATGACTGAACTGCAATCCCGTTACGACGATCTCTATTCTAAATGGCAAAGTCAACAGAGACAACTGGAAAGTACACAGGCAGAAATATTTCGGCTGAAAAATCAAGTAGAACACTTAGAAAGCACTATTTTCACAATGCTGATAAGCCAACTTCCTACCACAGTTTGCATTCTATAATTAGCACGATTAACGCTCGTTATTTCTCTTTGTATAGATAATGCACCAGAGTACATTTTGCACAAGTTTAGGAGCTGTTTTGTGCAACTTGCTATGGCGAGCCTCGTATTTTACACAAAACGTACACGTCTGGCTATCCGGGGTAAATTTATCAACCAATCAATCTGTATAACGTTAACTATCCAGTTTCAGATGTTTCTCAAACTTTCCAGTTTCAATATTATCCATTCGCTCGTAAAGTTAAATCAACTGTAACACATAGTTCGAGTAAAATTATTACTTTTCAGTTTCAGAATAAAGTTGGTGAATTCTTGTGTATAGTAAACGGCTCGTTCGTTTCTTTCATCAATACCTATGGAGACGGTCTACCGTCAATGAATAGCGACGAATTTCAATTCATAATGGGTCTCCTTGGTATTGTAACAAACATGTCGTCGACTCCTGAAGGAAGAGAATTTTTAATCACAAACACAAATGGCAAGGACCTCGTGCAGAAACTTGTTATACGGATATCAGGGATACCTTTGCCCTCAGGGAATTCATTAAAGAGGTAAATTATTAACTAGTTGATAATAACCTAAGTTTCTTTACCAACAAGTCACTCGAGTTAATTACCAGAGACTTCATTCTGGGCTAGTATATTCGCAAAATAATGATTCTCGTTAGCAATATCACTGCTTGCGTAAGCCACACGTGCCGTGTTATCATTCTTATGTGCGATGTGTATAAGACAGTTATTGCACAGTGGATGTAACTTCGCGAGGAATAATTTGTAATATGTCACTCATATTATTTTTTATTAACAACAACATAGTATTAAACATATCTGCACTTATTTCTTTCTCCAGCTGGTACAGTCATTCTTGAGAAATCATATCTTTATTGTTCGATTTTTTTTTCTTTGCAAAGATAAATATTTATAATGTCCGGATGCGTTACACAAGCTCGGCTAAGTTCATTCGCCAGAAAAGACTCGTTGGAAAAGATGCTACAAACATCTTTACGTCGTTAAGTAAAATTATTTTGTAATTGATAATTAATGTAAAATTGTAATATTACATGCAGTATAATGTCTAGTGTATTATAAACTTATGATCACTCGTAAGAAAAATTCATAATTTCAGACTGATGCTGATGATCCTGTACAACGTGAGTGTCAATCAAACTGGTTTGCAATACTTGTTGGAATTGCGAGTCGGTGAAATTTTGGGAAAATGCTTCGAGGATTCAGTCCCTATGGAATTGCAAGTGCGCGCTCTGTGGTTCCTGCAATCCATTACGTATGACCTTAATGACGCTACGGCCCTGAAGGATATACTGAAGGCTGTGCCGATGATAAAAATTGAGAAGATGACAGAAAACGAGCAGGATCCAATGGCACCTATAGCCAAAGAGATATTAGAGAACTTGGAGAAGGCCAAAGCAACGTTAAACTTCGATGTCAGAAATAGCACAAATATTAATTAAAGGAGAAGAGAAAAGTAAAGTCCGACGTCTGTCATTACGTTAAAGTAATTCCTGTGTCGTTAATGATAACTGATCTTGAAAAATTGATGACACTGAAAGAGTTCGTTAATTCGTCCCTAAAGGTTGTCATAAAGTTCAGCAGAGTCACATGAGTTTTCATTAGGACCTGGCTTGATCTTTTAGTATTTCTGTGTTAAAGAATTTCAAGGTACATTCATGAAAATGATGGTTTGAACTTTTTACAAGGCAATCTAATCATTGTTATCCTGGACGATCAAATTTTTCAATTTACTTTGTTACATGTCTATGTAATTGTGAAAGACGTATCGATACAGATTGAAGCGAAGATAAAAGTCAAGTTAGACACGTAAGGTTGCTCGACACCGAAAGTGAGGCATCCCGTGTCTCATCCTTACGATTCTCGACCGTCAAGTATAGATTAAGTCTTTGTAAGACATAAAGAAATCTGTGAATCTCTTGGACGTGCGACACGTTCGAGACTGGTCCTAGGATGTTGATTATCGATCGAAGCGTAACGGGTGCGCGACGGTAGGAGAAAATCGCGCCTGCCTGGTAGTCCGGAGCGGGGCGTCGCGACGTCCGGCGTCGAGCAATCGAAAACCTCGGCAGGACGGCAGGAAGGAATAGAAGGCGACGGTCGGCGTCGGTTTATTGATCCCGGGGCGCCGCGGCGCAACCCACCCGCGGGATCAGCTGCGAATTTTCCACATTTCTCTACGATAATAACTCAAATCGTTCACATCGTTTCGGGAATCAGTGCTAAAGGAGACCGGAAAGAAAATTTGACAAAGTTAACGCGTCGCGGCGCTACCTTTAAGGCGTGGGATCCCAGCAGGAATACGAACGTGAAACGAAATCTCGCCGCTGTCACTGACATTTATCCTGTACGACACGCGAGCCAGATCAGCCTAAAAGTCAAACCCTGAGGATGGAATAATTCCGCCGGATAAAATATCGAAGTCTGGAAGTCAAGAAATTGAAGAGTGAATAAAAACCAGGACATTCGAGAAACTGGACTGTCAAAAAATCTGACATCCCGGGGCACGGAATAGAACCGTCCGTAGAATAATAGTAGAGTAGTGCACTCGTCCAAGAATTCGATAATCCAACAAGGATCCCCGAGCCTACGTGTCCTCGCAGAAAAAAGAATTTCCGACTGGTGCGATTACCTGGATAACAGCCAGCCGGCTGCTGATATACCGAATACGAGTTTTCGATCGAACTCAAAGTGAAACCTGAGAAAGACAAGACAAGGAAAAAACATTTAAAATACCTTAAGGTGGCCAAGCAGCTGTTTCTCGATCGTTCCCGGGCGGCCGCGTCAATGCGATCCTGCAAAAGAGACGACAGGCGAACCGGGAAGTCCGTCCGGCAAGGATCTTTCGAGGACGCCATATAATAAAGAATCCAGAAGAAAAAATCAAACTAATATATTAAACGAAGGGACCCTAGAAGGGAGAACGTAGAGAAGGGAAGAGAAGGAGAAAGTAATAGCAGGCGCCTCAGGGCTGAAATGGGCCCCGCCAGCAGCCGGGAGGGCCAGTTCGACGAACCGATTGGCGACGACGACGGCCTACAGATTAATCCACGAGTCTCAACGTTGAACCACGTAGTGAGTCAAACGTAGACAAGAATCCTTCGTAATGCACGTGTGTATTCCTTTCGTTCTTCCCTGTCTGCTTCGTTGAGTTTCGTTATGTAAGACTGTCTTGATTTCTTAAAATTACCCCTCCCCCCCTCTCCTTTCCAAATTTGCATTCAGAAGACAGAAGTGAGAAAAAAAATAAGAATCAGCATCTCTCGTCTTAGATTTACAACGATCGATTTGAAACAACCATTATCGTACATCCCTATCATCGCCGATAATACAAAAGATACCAGGCTCCTGCCAACAGCACAAAATCAATTTTAAATATACTTGGCCGTCACGCAGCCATACTAAGCGCATGTTCGTGGAAAAGCCCAGACCGCAATGCTGCAAGGTTTTTCAATATTTAATTTTCCTTTTATGTACGTCAAGACGCCCCCTTAACACCCCTTGACTTAATTGACACATATTATACCATAATGATCACAGTCATTGCACTTTAGCTTCGTGCATTGTTATTAATCTATGATAAGAATGGCGCACGTGGCTCTATATAATTTTTGCCACATATAAGTATAGAAGGGAACTCTTGATCGTCTGTTGACACCAGATTCTTTTCTCAGATTATCTGATATCTGGACGCACGCAGCTAGAACTTTGTACCTACGGTGGTTCACATTGTTTGTTGCGAACGTTTGTGAGGATCGTAAGTAATGTGAGTGCGTGAGCTTGGCGAAAGAGAATGAAGGAGACGCGCTTAGGGGACGAGGTGGGTGATGGAGCGAGATAAAGTCTTTAGAGTGGGGAATTGGATGGGACTACACATCCGAGAGTGATAAGTCAGTTCGAGCTGTCCGCATTTTAATATCGCTCGTTACATGGAATAGCTGGACACTGTCCAGTCCGGTGGTAACTCCTTTCCTCGTCGGGGTGCTTCTCAGTTTAGAGATTCCGTCGCTGTTTACTCGTAACCGGCGATGCCGCCCAAGAACAAGGTACGTAGGTGTCTCTGTAAATTAGAAGAAAACAAAAATTAAAACGCACGCCTCGAGTGATCTAAATAATATTTTGAAAAATTTACGAATTTCTTTTTAATCGAAAAGTTCAATGAAACTCTATATCAATGAGGATATTGATTTAATAATTTCATTTAAATTATTCCATCCGATCGAGATACTTTTGTACCGGAGGAAAGCTCTCGTTTTTTACATTTTTTTCAACCGAAACATTTTGCTGTTTACTGTACCACGTGTTTATGGTAGAGTGAACCCGAGAAACGTGGCAAAAATTACTGTATTATTTAACGGGGCGTAACCAGAGAGGAAGTGTGTCGATACTGTGAATTTATTGTGTCAAGTTTCCTTTGCACGTTTCGATATACGTGTCGGTTTAGAGAATTGTCGATGATTTGTGTATCACAACTTTACAAGTTATCAACGCGCCGTGCAGCTATTTACACCTGAAGACTTTTAATCTCTTACGATTGCGACATTAATCTTGCCTTGGTCGATTCGTTCGTAAATTAGAAAAAAGTAAGCATGCCAAGGATCAATGTAAAATAAGAGAGGCGATGAAAAGCCGGGCGTAGAAAACGACATGGAATTCCAAGTAGGTTGAGATCTGGATGTCTTGCGAATCGATTAATGAATATTAAAATCGTATTTTATCTCATTGATCGAAACGTCTTCTCATTGGTAGGTTATACCTCTGAACGATTAGCTTAAATATCAATTGAAGACAATATTACGTTATAAAAATTAGCGACGTTCCTAAACGTCGCCACCCAGCAAACACGTTTGTCACATTTTTATAACTTTTACGTAGCTACATGCTCACTGGGTATGGCTATATAATTTTATAAAAAGTTATGTATATATCTCTGGATACACTGTCGAGGGATCAAGATCGATCTAGGTGCGAGCATCTTATCTCTCTTAAGTGTTTATTGCATCTGCTATCAGGCTCTACTATCGTACGTTGAATTTACTTGATGACCAATATCTGATTGATTTTGCAATACTTGTACCTACTTTCATGAATATATCATATATGATATATACGATACGAAAGCTGACATAGGATGACCAAAATATATATTTGCTGGGGGTATAGATAATACTGAAAGAGAACAAGCAGTTTTAAAGAGATAAAATAGCAGTGGATAATCTTCGTAATTATTATACCAAAGATTTAACTAACCTGATAGGAGATTGGAGGTGACGTGGAATTATTTGGTCTTAGCTAATTCACCAATCGTCGTGTATAGGTATGGTCGACGATAAATGGACTATTTACAAGCTTTTAAGAAACCCGTAAGGAAAATGCATAAACATTGGCCTGACGTACATATTTTATTATCCATAGGTCTCTGCTGAACGTTGTATTGTATATTCATTCGCAATTCATTACTCATCGTATTTCCGACTGTTGCAGTCAGTCACAGTCCTGAACAAACTAGAACAACCGCGGGATCGGTCGTCTGGCTATCTGTACAGACAACAATGAAATCTTTTTCTGAGAATGAGTTATGGAAGTTCGTGACATCGACAAAACCTTTAATAAGCATTGATGAGTTGACGTACCTTTCCTTTGTCTTGCAATTCCGCTAAGAAATTTTACCACGAGTTTTTATCTTGATATGAGAAGCAGATGCTGTTTTCATGCGTCCGTGCGTCTGCTCTAATTGTCGCTGGTTATTATCTAATTAATTCATAAGCGTCATCAGACATACGAACATTGTGTAATGCAAACACGGTCCTGGATGAGATGAATATTCTTTTCGTACATCCATTGTCAGTATGTCATACTGCATGTAGAATGGAATAGAGTACAATGGGTATATACATATGTGTAGACTCTTTGAGTACAATTGACAGGTTATGGCACGGTTTTTTTCTTTTCTGAAATCTTATTGAATTGTTTGCGAAGACGTAATTTCACTTCAATTCGAAATGGTTGTATAACCGTCATTTGCATTATAAATGCTATGAATTCAGAATCTTCAATTCCAACCCTCAGCTTATTTATGTTATGCGACGCTGTTACAGTCCCAGATTCCAAAGCTTTCCAGATAATTTAATACAGCATTCAATTGCACGTGATGCTGCAACCTTGTGCAATGTAGTTTTAAATTCTAATGGTATACCTATATACACCTATATATACAAAATTCGCAGAGTCGTCGCAGGTCTAGACGAATTCAAAATACTAAAAAAAAATGCCTGTGTATTTTTAACACTTGAAATTCATTCTTGTGAAACAGATTCTACACGGTTCGTTGGGTTTCTATTTCAATATCAAAAAAGTATATGATAAACACACCGCTGGGGGTTAAAACTACAGCAGTCACTCAGTTCACCCCATTGATCACACTAGTCCCATTTGGAAATCCACCAAGGCAAATATCGGTGTAATTTTTATGTGAATGACGCGTCAGTTCTGAAAGAAATGTAATTCAGTGAAATATCGACGGAAAACTATTCGATCGTTACCAAGGAATAACTTTTGTATTTATTTACATGCAAACGAAAGTTAGGAACTTGATTGTCGGACTATACGGAGTAGTGGTAAATGAGGGGTGGTAAAAAAAAATGTGACAGTACATAGCGCACATGCGAAACCATCGAGATACCACCGTCAGTCTCATGGGTGGCAGTCGCTTGCGCGAGAAACGCGGCTTTAAGGCGTCGAGTGTTTTAGTTGGTCGTCGTGTTACGAAGGTGGGGAGTTTAAACGTTCACGAGGCGTCCCTGTTATAGGCGGTCACTTGATGTACACAAAGCGTAGTACTGTTCGGCAGAGAGCGGCGCTGCTTGGCCATCCTGACGGCGTGCTGCTCTCGTGGCGTCTACATTTCTCGCTCAATTTCCGTGGATCGTGTTAAAGTCGTTGACTAACAATCCGATTGACGGTAGAGTCGTGGGTCTGATTGTCGGGTAATAATTGGCTGGTCGTAATTTGATACTGCTAAGACAGGGTGAGGTGGTGGAGGTGATGGTTGAGGAAAGGCGGGAAAGACTCGCTCAGGCGAAAGGGTAACGCCAAGTTCTAATTTTAAGTCGATCCTCGTGAAGCCTTGCCAAGTGGCTCTCTGGCCACATCATCGGGTTTTCGTGGTGAAAAGACTGAGAGAAAAAGAAGGATTATTAAAAGTAAAAAGAAGGGAATAGAAAGGGAGCAAATAAGAAAGTGCCCACCGTTGGCGATGGGCGAAAAAGACATGAGCAACAATGGCATCGCCACTACGTGACAAGCACTACTGCTTTGTTTGGGAAGCGCTCTTGATATTCGAGGAATTAGTTCGCGCAGCTGCGAACCTCCAGCGTCACGGTGTATAAATAGAAGTTCCACTCGCGAAACTTCGTGAAGCCGAGGAGCGTGTCTCTCTCTTTGTTGGGGGGCGATTCGCAGGAAAGAAAGAGGGAATGTTATTGCCGTTGGCAGGGTCTATGGCGAGTGCTCTTAAAGGCTGTGAGACGTTCTGTATATATTGCAAAAGCCTATTGCGTGCTGGTAGGAGGGAGAAGCACGCTGTATGAGGATTGGGATAGGGCCTTTGGTCACCGCGGTTATTCTCTGGGTCTTTCCTCGCGCCGCGCGCCGACACCACCCCCTGCGTCATGGCACTTCGAATAAAGGAATAAAGAAGCAGTGCGAAAGATGGCAGCGGACTACGACGAGTGTTCCTAGTGCTCTCGGCGAGTGTTCACAGTATTTCGAAACATTTTGCGCGCAGCTGCGAGTAACGCGCGCGTTACGTATAAATAGAATCTCTCACGAGGAAGGAGAAACGAAGTAAGGCCCTCGTAGAATGTCGCGGGTGTCGCTCAACAAGTCGCAGTACAGCCAGTACGGCTCGCGTCGCGTACGCAAAATAAGCACGGTGCGTTTTACTCATGTTCCACTTTGCTAGAACTTAAGTTTCCCTTCTAATATCATCTCTTTTACTTCCCGTTGTCCTCCCTTGCTCCCAGTCCGAGATTCGCCATGCTTCCTAATCAGCTATATGAACTGAGGGTTAGGTGTGCCTCGCCTCAAGACACGTGACTAGCCTTGACAGTCGCCATAATTTGCACTTTTATGCTACTTCATTTCACATCTATTTTGTTTTAATCGTATTTTCTATGATGATTGTACTCTTTTTTATTATTTTTCTATCGTGCTCGATCAGTCGGACTTCGCACCTACGTACCTCGGAAAGTAATTTTACCTTATGTGTGATTTATATGTATATATGAAACTATGCCGATCGTGTAACACAAGGTCGGAATTCACGCAATTTGTTACCTTGTTCGGCCGCTTGGCGGCGCAGTAGTATAGCGATTTCGATGACAGTGTATCAGCTGATCGGATTTAGCTTTCGGCGCAGTCACTGCTGATCGGTTTAATAAATTTCTACTATAGCTCAAGGTTAACGTTTTTAAATGATAATGATACAACCTTTGGCATAAATGATTGATGTCGAAGGCGATCCTCCTGTGCCTAGAGTCTTCCTTGTTTTTTGCCAAGGGACATTCCACTGTGCACGATGTCTTAAGAATATCATGTTGCGAATCAGGTTTTCTCTTGGAGGCTATTTGTAAATGAAAACAGGAGTCTCTACTATAGCGAAATCCAAGAAAAACATGTATGTCACGGTGGTTCTTACGACATACGAGATAAACAAGCTGTTTCCGATCGACTCTATCTTGTGGATTTTGTTGGAAACCGGATGATTTGCACTCGAGATATTATGAGTTTATGGCTGTATCCTCTAAAACTTGTTATGCTCTAATTTGTTTTATAAATCTTATTTGATATTAATTGTTATTTGCAATTGCTTTTACTGAACAACTTACATTGTGGTATCGTAAAATTATTATGTACCTTGTCTCTCTTATCGTTACACCTGCTATAAACTGAATTTCTTATTTTTGTGTTTTACACAGTAAAGATCTATGAATTAAGTAAATCCTGAGATCTATCCATGATATTACATTTGCATTACTATGTGAATGATCTGTTAACATGTGAAATTCATTTCGATACACTCACAAAATAAATATAATTATTCTCAGTGTATTCTGATTGTTTACTCATTCTGTAAAAACAAGATATTTTCTTAATAATATATTCAAGGTGAACCACTTGCTAATTCAAGGCTAGCTTAGACAGCATAGCCACAATATGAAAAGTTGAACACAATCCTTTCCTACATCTATTATTGCATGTTCAAAAAAGATTTAGCACATATGAAGTGCACAGCAAATTATAATTAATTATTAACAGGTGTATGTATGTTATCTTATGCAGATGGCCTTTTTTAATCATTTTATGCCAAAGAGAAAGTTGTTTAGCTTTGTAAAAATAATATTATTGGATATGCATGTGATTGTCATTAAAAATATTGTAATATTGGGAATTTTCTTTCAGACGGAGAGCGAATATTCGGTCGAGGAGCAGGCAAGGCTGACAGGAGTCGATGGAGGGCCCGACGAAGCCTCCCCAGAGGATGAAGGAGGATCACTATGCGAATATCACGACATCCCACCACCGCCGGATGGTGGTTACGGTTGGGTGGTGGTATTCGCATCATTTATGTGTAATATGATAGTGGATGGCATTGCGTATACGTTCGGCATCTTCCTTACAGAATTTGTTAATTACTTTGGTGAAGGCAAAGGAAAAACTGCATGGGCTGGTTCCCTTTTGTCTGGCATGTACCTTAGTGCTGGTAAGACAATATGCTCCTGCAGACTGTATGATTCTTTTCTAGGTGCACTAATTCTCAAATTACATTAATTGTCAATAACTAGGTCCTGTGGTTAGCGCTCTGACAAACAAGTACGGATGTCGAGCAGTGTGTATGGCTGGTAGTTTCATTGGTGCGGCGGCATTTGTACTTTCAACATTTTCAACCTCTGTAAATATGCTTATGGTGACTTACGGTTTAATGGGAGGTTGGTATATTTTTTTATTCACCGTATATATGCATACGACAGAAGACACAAATGCATTTTCTATCCTTTATGCTAATTACAGGTATAGGATTTGGTTTGATATACCTACCTGCAGTGGTTTGCGTAGGCTATTATTTTGAAACTAAGAGATCTTTAGCTACGGGTATAGCGGTATGCGGCTCAGGATTTGGTACTTTCGCATTTGCACCGCTTGCTACCCTGTTAATAGAGACTTACACTTGGAAAGGAGCAAACTTAATTCTAGCTGGCCTCATTCTTAATTGTGCGGTGAGTAAACAACTGGTTAATAATTTGTGACTGTGTGTCACGTATCCCTGAGAGGCACTTAGTGATCAAGGTTGAGTACCGTACATCACTCAAATGGTAGTTTGAGTGGAGTCTATTCGATGAAGTGGCAATCAATTTATAATAAATAATTTGTAGGTATTCGGTGCAATGATGAGACCTTTGGAGTATCCAAAGACGGCGTCTGTTAAACCTCTGTTACAAAGAATGGCGGAAGAAAGAAGATTTCAAATGGAACGTGGGAGTATCGCGGGTTCATATTTCATGGTTCAATTACCAGATGGTTCCATGGAAAAGAGAATGAAAATGCCAATTAATGTTGATCCCGGTGTACACTCCAGCTTTAATCTAGACCAATTAGTGCCTGGTAGGAAAGTTATCTATAATAATACTAATCTCGCAACACTTTCCCTGTCACTTGGCTAATTCTTTTAAAAACGTCATCCGTTTATAATGAGTTTTGATTGCTTATACTCTTCAAGGAACGCCTTTAACACCAGTACCGACCGTACCAACACTACCGACTATATCTGAAGTTAAAGTACAAGAACACTCCTCCAGTGGGACAACTAGTGCTAGTGGCAGTATGGACTTAAAAAATACGTCGGCCAAGTCTAAGAGCAAGAAAACCGTTGAGGATACCAAAGACGCAAAAGAAACAACGGATAAGCCCGAGAGCGAGTTCAATAAGCCTAATATCCCAAGAAATGCTTCCCAGCCAGCTTTCACAACCCACGTTCAAGGATTGCCTAAGAATGGGTCTGTACCTTTCTTCGATAGAATTCGCAAGACCAGCACTGGTGAACGTTACAAACCGAGCTTGAGTGCTATAAAGAATTCTCGAACGACACTTAATTCTAACGGAGACATAAGGAAAAGCCTGCATTTAAGACTTTCTACGAGTAGTATGCTTGGATCTCGAAATAATAATACTGAGGTAGACGTAAGTAGCGCTGTTATTGCTCACTGATAATTAATCCTTACTGTTACACATATTTCTCATTGGTATATTAGCGTTAACTGACTGTTTTTACCTATCATGTCTGATATCTTCGAAGATGCAAAATTTCTATTACGTTCCGATCATGAGAAAACATTTTTAACGCTCACTTCGTCATTTTCACGTGTTCACGTCCTTAAACAATACCAATACGATTAATAGTATCACACTGTTACAAGACTGACAACTTGAAATCCTTAGCTTTGCTTGATCTAATATAGGCATTATGTATATATTGTATAATAAGAATTTCAGTTTTTTTTTTTAGGATGGTGAGAGTATCACTTTCACAACTAGTAAGTCTAGCATCCCAAAGGAAAAGCCTATGATTGTACGTCCTCTGTCAAGGAAAGATATTTTTTACAGTGGTAGCGTACTAACCCTGCCAGAATATCAGAGCCAGAAATCTCTTGCTAATTATCGCCAGAGTGTTATCTCCATACCGAAATCTATGCGAGGTGACGTTAAGGATGGCGATGTCGAAAAAGCCCCACAACGTAAGTGTTATATAAGATCTTTTATAAAAAGCAATTTGTAATTTAATGATAAGACATACTTGGATAAATTAAAAGCTTTTTAATTACTAGGTAAAAAAAGTAAGGATGTATTAATCTCATGAAAATTATATTGATATTCGAAAAATCTTTCAGAACCTCTATGCCCTTGTTTGGTACTTCCGGAATCCTTCAAGGAAGCTCTTGCAACCATGATGGACATGTCCTTGTTAAAAAATCCAGTATTCCTCTTGATTGGCATTAGCAATGTGTTCGGAATGGCCGGACTGTATGTGCCCTTCGTATACTTGGTGGACGCTGCTGAGGGAGATGTAAGTAAATCCGATGAGTCTTATAACTTGAAAAAAAAAACGTTAATGATCTGATATATATTAATATACAGTTGATAAATATTAATATATAATATAATTGATAGGGCATCGATAAAAGTTCCGCATCATTTTTGCTATCAATCATTGGAATCACAAATACAGTTGGTCGTGTGGCTTGCGGTTACGTTGCTGATTTTCCGCAAGTTAATTCGTTACTATTAAATAACGTTTGTTTGATCGTCTCGACAATTGCTGTGGCAGTAACACCATTCTGTCACACCTACCCAGCCTACATAGCCATGAGTATCTTCTTCGGACTAGCTATATGTAAGTTCAATTCTATTAGGAGCAGATGTAAAAGTGTCTTATAAGTCTCATTTAAAAGTGTAAGTATTTAACAAGCGTTTATTTTTAACGCGACAGCTGGCTACATCTCGTTGACTTCGATCATTCTCGTGGATCTCTTGGGACTGGACAAATTGACCAATGCCTTTGGACTTCTCATTTTATTTAGAGGAGCTGCCGCCATTGTTGGCTCGCCTTTGGCAGGTGCCGTTTATGACATTACGCAATCGTACAGCATCCCGTTCTTCATGGCAGGATTTTTCTTCCTCCTTAGTACTATTACCAGTTTTATGGCACCTGCCATGAAGCGCTGCATTAAGCCACAGGTATTGTTCCACATTTATTAATGATTATTACGTAGACGTGTTAATTATTGTATATATTTTATAAGTAACATTTGTTTTACAACTTGAACTGGTTTTCAGGCTCAACCTGTGATATTAGATACACTGACTCCAATTGATGAAGATATCGAGGAAGAGAATGAGGATGATATTCCTGAAATTGTAGAAACTGCTCCGTCACCTCAAGATCCACCTGAAAAGGAGATAAAGCAGATTGAATCTGTGCTATAATTGAACCTAAGGGTTTTTATCGATTTTTTTTTTTAATCGGTTTAATTTAGAAAGATCATAAATCCATCCAATATCTTTCTTCGATCATTTTCCTTTTTTCTAATTACAAAGATGAGCTTTTACTCCGAGAGCCATGCTGTGATAGGGCTGCTGTTTCTTGTGAAGATTATTACGGAGCTATTTCTTTTTATTGAATATTGAATGGACGAAGCACAAGATAGAAGCGTACCCACTTTAGAATTTTCTACGCCTTGTTAGCACCACAGCTAAATATCATTGATGACAAAATGAGCGCCATTGAAAATTTCACGTGGGGCGAATTGTTTTTATCTTATTTCTTTTTTTTAAGTTAAGACGGCGTATAAAGCGTATTAAACTTAATCAGTATCGAGTATCAGTATGAAAATTAACGAAAAGAAAAACTTACAAAAAATTTGCGCTTTTGCACGTGCATATCGAACAAAGTACTTTGACCCTTAAATTCCACATCTCGGTCACGCACCTTTAAATTTGACACTGGCTGGTTGCAGATTTGCACCAGTGTGGAATTTAAGGGTTATTCTGGATAATAAGTAGAAAGCAGTGATTTAAACTGATGTATGAATAATTTTTGTTGTTTAAAGCTGTTCTTGGGTTGATCCCGATAATTAAGCTTGGATTACCTGTGAAAAAAAAATAGATATATATTTCTCACATACGTGACATATGTACATAAACCGGATCACGTTATGTGGATTAATCCATTGATTAACATACGAAAAGAAATGAAACATAGTTTGCTGTTACGGAAAGAACTTGTAATTGTAAATAATATAAAACAATTTGTAAGATAGTAATGACAAATTGATAAGATTAGTTAATTGTCGTTGACGATAACGATAATTTCTATATTGGAGCACCGCTCCCGAGACGCTAATTAATATATACATTGTTTAACGAACAATTAACAATTAATATATTAATGAATAGAAAATAATTAATATATTAATTATTGAATTAGGGGGTTTCAATAATATACACACAACACTTCTCGTCCGCCACAACTGGTTTGTGTTAATTAATTAATGATTATCGAACAACTTGCTCGCTTAGTCGATTGCCTGTCGCTCGTCCAATTACTAAAATCTAAAGAAGCACGTTAATTAACACAAACTTAAAATTAATAAAGATATTGCATTACACGGAGGAAAGAAACAGGAAAAAAAAGACAAGAAAAATATGGCACACCGAATAATTGACACTTATTGTGTCGCTTGCGTTACGGAAGCCGCTATTTAATTGATTAATGACTATTGAATGATGAATATTGAAATTATGTGATTTATATATATACATACATACACATAAATATATATATATATATATATACACAAGGGCCCACGCGGCGACACTTAAAACACACCTATTACCTTTATACAATAACGAAAGGAAATCATTGTAAATTTAAATTGTTAATTGCGAAACAATCAATGTGTCGCGGTGTAAATAGTATATATGACATTATTATTATTACCGACAACTACCACAATTATTGCAAAACAGCTAATACTACTATTACACTATTGCTACTACTATTACTACTATTTACTATTGCTACTACTACCACTACTATTACTACCGGTATCAACACCATCATTATTATTATATTAATTTTTATCGTTGATCTTCAGAAGACAGCGTTTTGTGGTTCGACTCAAATATGATATGCATACTCGGGATTTCCGTGCGCGTAAAATCGTACAGACTATATGGGATTATTAATTATATTCATTTATAAATATAATTAATACGTGAGCCAATCCGTGTATGTTTGTAAATGACACGTGGGATAGAAAAATGGAAATGATATATAACTCACGTACTTATACGTGCACGCGCATACGTAATTATTAAAGTGCATACGCGCAATCGGATGTGTACATACACGAGGCGCGCTCAGGACGCGTGCATGTGTTAATATATGATATGGTACAAAGAAGGACAAATGTATTAGACGACGTTTATCGAAATTGAAGAGGAGTTATGAATTTTTATTATTGAAATTCAGCGCAGTCTTTCATTGCACCGCAATCCCCTCCCCCTCCAAAACCTAGCTAGCCTCTAATTAGACAAAGTATCAGTTCTCGATTTTTTTTAATCGCAATATCTTGCGACATATATTTATTAAAATTATATCGGGACATCGGTAACGAGCACTGAACCATTACCACCTCTTTCTCTTCGTGTTTACGTACTACGTATCTTACACGTTCTATATCGTATCAACTTCAATAATAAGATACGCACGTATATGGAATTATAAAAATTAGAAAAGTTCCGTCAAGAGTTACAGTCTATATGGTTATAGTATACTTATTGTTTAAAAGGTTGCGAAGATGTTCCATGGTTACAATATAATTTTATTATCTAGGGGTGCAGTCCGTTTTACGTGTACGTATGTCATGCATATGTAGAAGAAGAAAAAGTAACGTAAGAACCTGACGCTGTATACAGGCTGCAAGATACGTTTGGTAGGCGTTAACACAGACACGACCTATCTTAAGTAAACTTGCACTTTCGTTCGACTTTGTAATATACAGGTAGTAGGGGAAGCATAGGATAACGTATAACCAAGCATATGAGAACTACCCCCCCACCCCCCACTTAATTATACACGCGAATGCCGATTGGTTCGTTATAAAGAATTTCTTCATTCGAGTCACAACGTTCTTCTAAACTTTTATACATATTGTATACTGCCTTCACTGCCGTTATAGTTTTCCGAATACAGCAGCCGGCACTGCTGGAAGTTACTACGAAAACAGCATTAACTCGGCTGGTATCTAGTTTGTCCCGAGTTATCCGACACAGACTATATTTTTTACTTAACAGCCGTGGTTTGTATACGCGGGAGTTTAGTGCACGCGCACGCATTGCACATATGCATAGATACGTGTGGCCTGGGTTTTCTTCTTCTGACTAAATTTTGACGAAGATCCGGAAGACTGAGATCGCCAGCAGTACCGTCTTGTAAGCAGGTAAATTATATGTGAATCTTTTCGAAAGTTACCGACCGAGAATGCATCGTCGGAAAAAGGGAAACGTGGGGAGCATCATATGATTTTGGTTGTTACGCGTGGTGTTCTTTTTTTTTTCATTTTTTTTGACCCTAATTTTATCTTACTCTCACACACTCTCTCCCATGTTTTTCTCGATTTACTTCGATTTACGATACGGTGGCGCGCGCTCTCGCACGTGGCCTCACGAAACGAATCTTCAAGCTTCAATGGTATTTCTCTTCATTATTGGTTTATTTAAAATTTGTCAAACGAAGAAAATCGATGGCATACTTTGTTCGTATGTGGAATTAGACATTTAGAGCCTTGCGACAATGGGAACCGCACGTGCATTTATTTTTAAACTTTTGTATGTGTGTAGATTCGAATATCGAGTTAAGCTTCTTCGTATGAGTATAATTTCAATGATAACTCAATAAATCGGAGTATCGAAAAATTGATAAAAACAATTTACGAGTGGAATAACTTTGTCAATGCTTTAATATATACTTGAAATACACGCGTTTAAATATTTCTTTAAACTTTCTACGGCGATTATGTTTACAATAACAGATCGACGCTAATCGTATACACGCACTATTGCGTACAAAATTTGAAAGTCAATTCCACGACCTGGCAGTATTCGCAACTTGACTTTATCCATGGGATATAAAAAGAGTAAGCTCCTAACAAGACGACTATTTTATACGAATTTGAAAAAAATGGTATATCCTACGTTCGATAACTACTCAATTTCTCAATTGAAATTTCCCGCCTGTTCGCTGGATTAAAAGTTATGGAAATTTTTTAACGACTTACTTGCTGTGTTACGATAATTGATAATGAATAATCGGTCCTCGTCGGATTGCATGTATCTTTTGCATATATACATACTCTATGAGCTTCCTGTAATGTATGGTGTGTCTCATTCCGATGGAAACAAAGAGGAACGTCTAACTAAGCTTTTTGCTAAAAGTGTGAGACGAGGAAAAACAGAACGTTGTGCAAGTCCAAAGAGGACACTGCTCTGGTTGGATGATCGCGAGACGAATGTTGGTAAATAAATGTGAGCAAAAACGATAACAGAGAGAAATGGACTTTGTACAATGCACGTGCCTTACTGTCTATTAGTTTCGTTCAATAGCTACGTTCAGATCAGACATTCGGAACATTTCGATAAAGAACGCTATTCGAGCGCTCGAACAAGCATCGTCGATACGACGATCGAGCTTACTTTTAGTACGAGTCTCATACTGGTTTGACAAATTTCGAGAAAAGCACTTTGATCGTAGTCAACTATAAGTGAGAAATGAAAAGGAATAGAAAGAGCATTGTCAGTGATTATTATTTTACCGAAACACAATGCGAAGGTCATTCCGTCGCACGCGTCCGACCGTACGACAGTGCAACGACACGCTGTGCTTATTTTCGGAACTGAATACATCGAATTAACAAAAGAGTCGGTAAAAATGAAGTCGAAACAAGAACCGAAATTCTTTTACCAGGATCAAAAATGTATCTCGCCACCAAACTCTAGCAGCTCTAATCGAGTATCTCGATTATATATCTATTAAAATATGTGCGAAACCTTATCAATGTCGTCACACTTATTAGATTTGCCACCTGAGTCGATCAACGTTTTGACAAATTAAATACTGGTAAGAAATCGGTCATCGTATTTCACGAAAATTATCCGATCGATACATTTTTGCCGGCACATTCCCAGATCTACGTATGCATACGTGTGTTGTGCCAAATAAGCTACAAATCGATAACTCTTTCTTGTATTTTAAATAAGCAAATATTTTTGCACCTGTCTCACACTTTAACTTCGTAATAACCATGTCTACCAAATTTAACTTAAATATCTTATTCGACACCCTTTACAGGTTATGGGTCAGCCGTGACGTCAATCGATGATCCACAATGCCTGAAATCCAACTGTCCCTTTAACCTCAATTTTATAAAAACTATAAAAATTCTCGCTACGAGATATCAACTCCAATACGTATACACATTGACGTATTAAAATGAACAATTCCATTGAACTTTCTATTATACTCTGTGCAAATAGAATCGTGGACTCGCCAGTAGCTGATTAGTATCAGCGATTTATCGTAAACGAGGTTATTACCAGAGCCAATAAAGTACGGGGTCATCGTACGACCTAAGAATCAGCCGAGATGAATTTTACTGGATTAAAATAGGCAAAAGTAAAAAAAAAAAGGAATATCAAAAACAGAAAAACCCATCCAGTATCCACTGTACATCGTACCCAGTTTAAATGGCAAGGCCACGTAATCAGCAATTACAGGAATATATCGTGTGTAATGAAAACGTATGCCTTAACTTTCACTATTAATTATACGAAACGCATATTAGTAACATTTGTGGATACACTAAATATATATATACATACATAAAGTAAAGACAACATATTGGTTTCAGAGTGATAAGAGATGTTAAAGTCGCGCAGCACGTTAACGCTCTGTCGAAATTGGCTTTGCGATTAAAGAGTGATGAAATTAACGGTCTCTCATGGTACCCATTTATATGAAGGTTAGAAAGGTCTTTGCGACAGGTCAAGGTTTCGTGATCCCTTATCAATGATAAAACGGCGCCATACCCACCCACGTCTAAACTCCTCCAATTTGACTTCTCTTCGTTAAATCATGCTAGACTGTAAACTGCTTTTAGCTGCTCGACTCGACGTCGCGACGCTCGCATACATCATATTATTCGCCACGGTCAGTTTTCCTTCTCACGGGACGGTTCATTTGGCTTCCTGTAATAGTCCTGTTTCTTATACCACGTACTACCACAACCTGATCTCGGTCAGAATTTCAGCACGTGAAAATCATTTGGGTCCATCCTCTTCCCGGTAGATGCTCCGTGCATCGGAAAAGCTCTCTTTCAATCTCAATCCTCTTACAGGCTCTGGGAGAAATTGGACGAAATGTTTAAGTGCGATTCTCTCAGTGTCCTCTGTCAACGCCATACCTTTCTTCTTCTACTCTCTTTCCTTATCTCCCTCTCTCCCTCGCACTCTCTCTCTCTCTATCCGATACTCTTGTTCCCATCGTCACACGGAAGTCAAGAAGCGCGTATAGCTATAACTTTAACATAGGAAACGTATAAAGTACGCCTATCCAATTGGTGATATCGACGGGTTATTTATATACGTTTACTATCGAGAGAGGAGATTCTTGATATAAGACACCGATTAATCTTCCCCACTCGACACACTCGACCGTTGAATACTCGAAAAGCTTCTGGCAGAGTGACACAGTCAGATTTAATTTTCGCAGCTCCAAAACGATTATGGCGAGGACGACGGAGAATCAGGAGGAGCTGGAAGATCCTGCGGTAGAAAGGAATGGGTATAAGAGCAACGATATCCAATTGGAGGATTTTGGTGATAAGAATAACGAGGTGAGTGATTGATGATCGATTAGAAAAAAAAGAATGATAAAGGATAAACGAAGAAAAAATTTGATATGGGATATTATGATATGGGTACTTTGACCTATTGTACGTGCAGTCATATCGGTAATCTAAGGTTTTGTTATTGATTATAATATTTGCCATATGTGAAAACAGGAAATCGAAGTGGAGATGCTTGTTCCGCCGGATGGCGGGTGGGGCTGGGTGGTCGTAGCTGCCTCCTTCATGTGCAACGTCTTCGTGGATGGTATTATCTCCAGCTTTGGCATCTTCCTGAATGACATAGGCTCGACTTTTGGAGTCTCCAGGGCTAGGGTCGCTCTGGTCGGTTCCTTGCAGACTGGCTTCTATTTGATGGCTGGTCAGTCCGCCTTTAGTTCATCCTGGATGAGACTGACGAACGGAAGTTTCCTTTTGGATGGACGCTAACCTACCTTATTTTTCAGGACCCGTTGTCTCGGCCCTTGCGAATCGTTATGGTTTTAGGCTGGTCACTATACTGGGTAGCGTCATGAGCTGCATGGCCTTTTCGCTTTCTTATTTCAGTAATTCCATTGAATTTATCAGCATCACTTACGGTGTTCTCGGTAAGTCTCATGTAATTGGGAATAATTGAGGTGGGGTCCTGATTATCTACCATTTTTATATCACATTTCTATTTGATATTTTAGATTGATATTTAATAATCAAAATGATATCACTCGATCTCGTCGCGTGACTTAATTTTATTATATTGGATTGACAGGTGGCATCGGACTTGGTTTGATTTATATACCAGCGGTGATAATTACGGGATTTTATTTTGAAAGATGGCGAGCACTGGCTACCGGTATATCCGTATGCGGATCTGGTATCGGGACGTTTTTATTGGCACCGGTCATGGATTTGCTGAAAAAAAATTTCGATTGGAAAGTAACCCTGCTGGTACAAGGAGGTCAGTATGTGCACTGTTCCTTTTTTACATATGACATTTTTGCGAATCTTCCAAATTTTTTTGCTCAACTTCTTTTTCCCTCCACGATTCTTATTTTGTTGGCAGGAATGCTCCTGAGCTGCGTCATTTTCGGCGCTTTGTTTCGGCCGCTTAAACCGACGTTGATAAAGGTGAAGGCGAACGAGGATAATACTGAACTGGATGTGAAAACATCATTTATCGGTAAAGCCGTTTCAACGCGTTCCTTGTACCTCGATCATCCGCACAGCAGCCGTCTGTACGGTACCAACAATAACACACAGTATCCAACGGCCGCTGAGCTCATTGGCAGTAGTCCCAACATAGCAAAGTAATATTAAAAAAAAAAAAAAAAAAAAAAAAAAA